GTGAGGGAGAAATGGGCTCAAGACACTGTGAGACCAGTTTGCTTACCTTCATGAGTGCATCTCTAGTTTGTGTTTCATTGTTCACCTTCTTGTTTAATGTATAAAACTGACTGTTACTAATATCTTTGAAGCACCTGAGGTGCCCAGGAAGGCTACTCGTAAGGAAAAAGTGTCCGTTCCCATTGCCAAAGCACCAGAGCTTCCAACACCCAGAGGTACCTCTTTTCATGGATAACTTAACAAAGAAGATATTTTATCTTCTTCTCTTGAGTGTTGTCCTCCCTCTCTTGGCCTGTCTCTGTTTCCAAACAGAGATTCTCAGGACTGTGCATGCCTGGTAAACGGTGCCGTATGTGTGTGTAAGGTGATGAGCTGGCTGTGTGGTGATGCTCTGTATCTGCATTGCCCTGGATTTTGTTCCTATTTGGCATGTGCTTTCACCAGTGTAAAACAAAACACACTAATATCTTTGAAGCTCCTGAGACGCCTGAGGAGCCTGAGGCAGAGGAAGAGGAGGAGGAAGCACCTGAAGAAGTGGCACCAGTTGCTGAGGCTGGAGAGCCAGAAGCTCGTCCAGCTGAAGGTACACAGTGGCGTTCTGAAAGAGCCCGTTCTTCCTTCTATGTTTCCACAGTCCTGAGTGCTCTTTGCCCCTCTGTGTTCTGTGTGGCGGGGTGAGAGCAGCATTTGCTTGTGGTGTGTCCCTGTGTGCCTCTACATGCCTGCAAGAAAAAGTGGTGTTTGTCAGCAAGAGCTCTCTCATAAGTCCATGATTTGGCTCCTTGCTGAGAGTGGTCCTCCTGAAGGAAGTATGCTTCCCTAGAGAGGGCTCCCTCGTAGTCTGTCAAGGGTTTACTTTCCTGCTTCTGCTTGCCAGTTGGCTGATTTCTGATCTTTAGCACAGTCAAGTAAATGGGACCAATATCTTTAAAGTGCCTGAGGTGGCCGAGGAGGAAGAGCCAGAAGAGGAGGTGCCAGTGGTCACTCCCCCAAAGCCTGTGGCAGTGCCTAAGAAACCTGAGGCGACACCCAAGAAACCTGTGTCTTTGCCCAAGAAACCTGAGGCAGTACTCAAGAAACCTGTGGTTGTGCCCAAGAAATCCGAGCCTGTGGCTGTGCCAAAAATACCAGAGCCTCTGCCTGTCCTTAAAAAACATACAGTTCCTTCAGTTAAAGGTACATGCATCAATCACTGAGCCTCATTTTCTCTATTCTCAGAATGTTTTCACTTGTTTCATTGATGTATGCGGTGGTTATGTATATGAGGGAATAATCTGTCAGTTAATATGTTATTCTTACATTTTTCATTTCTTATAGTTTTTAGTTGTTGTACTTTTAAGTGTTGTATGTATATATTTATGTTATTTTTCACAAAATGATAATTTACTAATATCTTTAAGCTCCTGAAGTGGAGGAAAGTGCTGTCCCAGACGAGAAAGTGCCTCTTATAACACCTAAAGAGGAAGAATTTAAAAAGCCAGAACCTCCTCCAACCAAAGGTATACATTTGCAGGAGGCATCTCCTGAGAAGAAATATTTTCTTTTGTCTCTTTTCTTTGCTTGTAACTGAGTGTATAAAATGTGTCATGTGTACATAGACTACATTGGGAAAGACTGTTTGGAACAGTCTTTCATGGTTATGACTGTTGTTACTCACCATGATTTTCTGTGCTAAGTTTCCTTGTCATTTTTATGTATCGTATGTACATTTATGTACATGTCTGAAGATGAAATAATGTTTTTTAAAGTGCCTGAGGTGCCTAAGGAACCTGTCCCAGAGGAAAAAGTACCTGTTGCTGTCCCTAAAATACCTGAACCAGTACCAAGTGAAGGTTTGTGCCATCAGAGTTATTACTGTAAAAACAATCTTGTTCTTCCAAGCATAAGCCCCAAAATAGATGTCCTTTTTTTCCTATTGTAATGTATTTAAATTTTTCACTTAATATTTTAGATTATACCAGTCTATGTTTCATGTATCTACTATTATATTTTCATATTTTGAAGTAAAATATCAGTTTTAAAATCAAATATTTTCAAGTTACATATGGTCCTACACAGGACATTCCTAACAAAGTGTGTCTCTCTTTAAGATAATAATAAATTCCCAATAAATTTGAGTCTCTTAAACCCTAGTATTTATATTGCTATTATAATCTTAAATTAATTGAAAGCATTGAAGCTTTTATTCTTTCTAGTTACAACGACTCACCTACAGATTTAATGTTTAGTTTACGTTGTACACATTAAAAAATTGTACTTCAGTTTTTTCAAGAACATGCATTAACCGCAAAGGTAACAGATACTGCATTATTACTTACCTAACACGTTTTTGTTGGTGTCAGTTGTGGTAGCTTTCTTTTAAGTGATGTGCACACAATTATTCATGTGAAATCTTATCACTGACAACTTACACAAATTGTCAATATTCTTTAAAGAATATGAAATCATAAAGGACACTGAGCCTGAGGAAGAAGAAGAAATTCCAGTTGGAGAAGTAGAAGAACCTTTACCAGTTGAAGGTATACAATGTACCTACCTAGAGGCTGCTGGACACCTTTCTCATTTCCTTTCATTTCCTTTCATTTAATTTCATATGCAGTAGTTTTCTTGCTCTCTCATTCTTCAAACATGTACCTGTATGTTGCAGGTCTCTGCATAATTCTTCCTTTGCTCTCATTTCTGCTTTGGAAATTAGTTGTGATTTCTTAATTCTAAGGACAACATACAGATTATTTTAAATGTTTTCACTTTGTTTTGTGTCAACAAGAGTCTTCCTGTCATGTGGCTTCTCACCTCTGTTCTCATGTTATTAATATGCTTTTTTAAGTCAGCTTGGATGTTTTTACTGTGTGGGTGCTACAAAGCAATAGCCTAAGGCTCCTTCATACTCCAATTGAATTCAATGAGATTTTTCCACTGACTTCATTGAAAGGGAAAATTACCATCTTTACATGTGTACATTACTCTTCACATAACTGCTTATGGTCTTAAATTTATGCTAAATATACTTAATGTTATTCAAAGTGCCACCACCTGAAAAGAAGATCCCTGAAAAGCGAAAACCACTACCACCACCTACTCCACCAAAAGAGGATATTAAATTGGCAAAAGATCTACTTAAAGGTATAATCATCTGAAGCCACAATTAACAGTGTGAACTCGAATAATCCCTTTAAGTTATACTGATGAATCTTGAAAAGCATGCTTTTGAACATATCACTCTGGGTATTTTGGGGATTGTTTTGGTTTTTATTTCTCTCTTCTCTTCTTTCTATCTCTTCTTCTCCCCTTCCCTTCCCTTCCCTTCCCTTCCCTTCCCTTCCCTTCCCTTCCCTTCCCTTCCCTTCCCTTCCCTTCCCTTCCCTTCCCTTCCCTTCCCTTCCCTTCCCTTCCCTTCCCTTCCCTTCCCTTGCTTTTTTTTCCTTTTTCCTTTTTCCTTTTTCCTTTTCCTTTTTCCTTTTTCCTCCTCTGTCCCCTCCCTTTCCCTTTCCCTTTCCCTTTCCCTTTCCCTTTCCCTTTCCCTTTCCCTTTCCTTTTCTTTTCTTCTTTTCTTCTTTTCTTTCTTTTCTACTGCTTTAACAGTGCACCTTACTGATGCTCATTCCTTACGATTTTTTACTAGTTTTATGCCAAGTTAGTTTATATGGGTTCTTTTTTAATAGTTATGGAAATCAATTTATTAAAAAAAATCTTAACCAAGTTAACACATTCTTCTATCTTTAACATAATTCTTCTATCTTTAACATGTTCTTACAAATGAAAAGAATCCCCAGCAATAATTTACTGGTGTTACTTTTTAATATTGATATCAGACCAACTGTTCTTCCTGCATCATCTGACTGCTTCTAAACACTTAGCCAAAATCTTAGCTGTGAAGCTCTTGTCTTTCTGTTATATCAACAATATTAATCAATTTTTTAAATTATTTTTTAGGAAGTTCTCTTTTTTTCTAATCTTATTATGTGTGTTGTAAAATTCAAATAACTTTCTTTAAAGCTCCTGGATCAAGGAAGAAAGTTGTGACTGAAAAACCCGGTGAACCTCCAAAACTGGAACCGCCACCTGCTAAAGGTGCTCAGCAAATATAAGAGTCTTACTCAAATTAAGCCTCTCATGATCATAAAGTTGTAGCTCTTGGTATCTAATTCTGTAATTTGCTCAGAACTATCAAAAAGCTGTCTATGTTAGATTATGCTCAACAGTGGACGCCGGTCTTGGATGTATATGTTCATGTCCACTTTAATCTCCCATCATGCAGTACAATGAGATGCAAGAGACAGAATCACAGAAGTGTGAGAGTTTTTATGAGTTTCTGTCACTTTTGTACATGCTCATTTGGTTGTCTGCTTAGGGAGGAATAAAATATAATTTACTGTTTAAATATATACATCATTGTTCAAACATACTTGGTTTATTATTTGTCTGAAATGTAGCTTATTTTTGTTAGAGGACACTCCAAAGATGGAGATGAATAACAAATTGAGCAAGCCACTTTACAAGTACTCCCTTATATTTTTCATATGTATGGGAGCTTAAGACAAGCTAAGCAGATAAGCAGGGAATGCTTCTTCTTAATGCTGTTCCAAGTTTATAAATTAAACTGAGTGGATCCATAAAAAAATCACAGATAGCCAGTTCAGATGAATAGATATGTAACATAAACCTGTAATGAAAGAGGAAATGGAGATAAAAATGTTACTATAACTCTTTGAATACATAACCTTTATAGTTTTGTCAAAGCATGCTTCTCTTTTGATGATTTGTAAGAAAGTTTCCTCTTACACATAAGCCTAGAAGACAACGGTATGCAAATAATATAGAATTATATTCTATTATTATAGTATAAAAACTATCAATTTCAATCTGTCAGTTTTACCTTTGCTTTTAATATTCAGGAGTGGACTAGCATTTGATTTGTGTGTTTGGAATGGTTAAGTGTTGCTTAGACCTTATTACTGTTATGAACCCATAATAAAATAATAAAATAATATTCTTTTAAGTGCCTGGACTTGTAAAGAAACCTCGCAAAATAATTCCCGAAGTTACTCCTCCACCAGAAGAAGTTGTTTTGAAAAAAGGTATAGTAACTCGTCTCTGTTTAAAAAATCCCCTAGCATATTAACGTTGTTCAGTATATTCCCCTAAGCAACACTGGTTTATGTGTGGTATGCAAAATTAGACAAAGTACTATCTGATGTCTGCTTCTTGGAGCAAGCCTTTATAGTTGCAGGGTTGGAGTGAGAATATCCCGAAAATCTGTCAGATCTAAAGAATCTGTGATGAAAACAGAGCAGAACACTGAAAATGTGGTTCCCTATAAATCTCTCCTGTTCTCCTAATCTCTATAGAGTTGACAGTTTTCCACTGTCTTCAGCTTCTGGACCCTTAAATATATTCCAGTGACAGAGTAAATATTAAAGTCACATATGTACCATCTGCATTCTTTTCTATGGTTTCCTTAGAAGTACTGCACAGATCGCATAACCCTGTGTTACTATCAGACATCAGTCTCCTTTCCTGGCAAAGTTTGGTGCATTCTGAATCATTTCATGCTCAATTATTGCTTAGAAAAAGGAAGCACTAATTTGAATTATCTTGGAAATACTACAGCGTGATGATTCATTCCTGTGTACCTTGCAGCTGAGCTTCAGATTTCAAGCGTAATAAAATACAGATATTCACTTTTTCAGGAGGCAGTCTCATTAGGTATGCAAGATAGGTATCTGACAGGTCAAAAAAATTTTGAAATAAGTAAAATGAAAAAGAGACATTATATAAATTCGGGCTCTCCAAATACAACGCTTGAAGATTCAGTCTTGCCTTCTCACTGGAGTTAATAATAGTGAATAACTGTAGCTACAGTTATTAATGTATAATTCTATATAGTAATTCATCATTTAAATATGATAAGAAGTGTGTGATATTATAAGAAATTTTCTATCATTGACAGTTAGCACCTTTCTTCCCAGATGGACTTCTCTTAATAAAACTATCTCTTTGCTCTACATGAGTTTGAATTTTAAAAAGTTTTCAGAATAGTATCTTGGACAGTTAAAAGAATATCTTCCATTTATATCAAACTAAATATTTTACATTCCTGTTTCTTCATAATTACTGATATATTTCAATCTTTTTTTCTTGTTCACCATCTTTTGTTTACCTGTGCTTTAAAAACTGAAATTCCTTTTCTTTTAAAGTTCTTAGAAAGGAAAAAGAAGAGGAAGAACCTAAACCAGAAAAAGAACCTAAACCAGAAGTTAAACCAGTACCTACACCAGTAGAAAAAATTAAGAAACCTGAAGGTACTAATTTACATTCAAATCTATCCAGTGAAGTATAATTAAAAAAAAAAATAAAAAATCCAATTTTCAAGAATGTTCACTGCAATTCAGAAATGAAAGTGAGATTTTAAATGATGGCTTGTGTTAATCTGTTTAAATTAAAGATTCTCAGAAAGCCTAACTAAACCTGACATCCACATTTGGGTCTGAATTGTGCACTTTGGAATTGCTTTCCAATCTTCAGTGTTTATATAAGAGAATTCTACAAATATTTTATAATATTGATGAAAATATAACTACAGCAAAACAGTTAACCCAAGCATTCTTTTAGTTAACATTTTACAAATATTTGTCCTGTTGTCCATTTATTATTTCTAATGTACTCAAATCTCACTCTTAAAAGTACATATTCCTGAATCTTATGAACATCTGAAACTGCTTATGTCTACAAAAATGAAAAATTTAAATACACTGGAGGTAATACATTTGGGGATTCAAGGTGGTTTAATATATCTTACAAAATAAAAATAATATTTTAAAGTCCCAGAGGTTCCTAAGAAGAAAACGGAGATACCTGATATAAAAAAAGAGGAGAAATATGTGCCCAAACCTCCAAAAGGTACAGATGCGTGGTGCTCTTTTTCCTTACGGCAGCAACTAAATTATATTCATTGCTGAATATCGTGCTATATTAACCTAATGCATTACTATCAACCAGCCTGTTCATGACTAACAACTTTGCATTCTTCTGGATTTCTTGTTGTCTTTACTTCTTCAGTGCTTGAAAAATTTATCTTTATTCCATCGTATCTTGCTTTTGAAGATTTTATCTCAAGTTAATTTCTTGATTTTTGGCTAAATTAAATGTAGAAAAATAAATTCTGTCTTTGATTAATTCTCTCTGTTGCTTCTAACTTTGACATTCAATGGGATTACAACCAATGTACATTAACCTATTTGTAATTGTTGTGTTTGAAATGACAGAACCTAAGCAAGCAGCTATCCCACTTCCTGGGTCTGAGCCTAAACCTGCAGTGGGTAAGAATTCTTTAGTTATTAATATCATTGAAGCCTTTCCTGTGAATCTAGTATTTTCCATTCAGAGACTTCTGGCTAAAAGGATATTCATAGACTCATAGAATACCAGGTTGACAAGATGCCCCAGTGCCCTGTCCAGCTGAATTTTAGAAGTGTTCTTACATTAAACAAATGTCTTTAGTATTGCTAAGACTGGAACTTGTATACAATCTAGAGAATGTTTTAAAGAACATCTTACTTTAAAAAAAAAAATTAAAACAAATATATGAGAACCCTTTTGGGGTTGTTTTTTTTTTCTCTACAGCTCTAAAATCTCCAAAACCAGCAGCAGAACCAGCACCAGCTGTTACTACTCCAGTGACAGTCCCAGTGGTTGGAAAGAAAGCAGGTATTTATGATTATTTTATGCTATATATAGGGGTTTTCTCTCTGAGATACTAAATACCTCCAGGATAAAAGGAATGAAGACGTACAATTACATAACTCATTCATTGCAGGAAGATTTGAGGTCCTTTTCAAGGGTCTCTTTATTCCAGGCACTGTCACCTAATCTTAAAAGTGTCTCTGATACACCATAGAGATCAATCTGTGCTCTTGCTCCTGGATAGTGATATGTGTGCCTTTATTTATTGTCCTGCTATGAAATCTGTGTATTCTGTTGATTCCTTCATGGTTTTTGTTTCCTGATATATGTCTTGTGAACTCTGTCTTGTTTTTTTCTGTATAGAAAACAATTCTAAATTGTTTCTAAACAATTCTTGTGTTTGGTTTTCTGCTTTAATTTGTTATTGAGTCTGAGGAAAAGGGGCAGGGCTGCTGAAGAACTAGAGTACTGCTACTTTCATTTGATATGTTTAGGACCCTTGATCATTCCCTGCCAAGAAAAAAGAATTATGAAGAGTCCAGTTCCACTGAAGCACCTTGAGCTTGAGGTCATTGTTATAGAGCTGATGTACATGCTGCTCGCACATCATTCAAAGGATCTCAGGTTGCAATAGAGCTCAGGTCTCGGGTACTGGAGAAGCTTAATTATTCATATCTCTTGGTCATTTATTTGCTGATGTAGCCAGACCTGCTACATCTCCAAATGAAGCTAGGCATAACTAACTCATTTTATGTAGGTGGCCAGATAGTCATTAGAAAGCTGCTTTTAACCTGGATTGGATTTAAATTGACAAGCTTGCAGGACAATGCTCTATACCATAATAGTGGTTTAATTAGGTCTTCTGTACTGTTTGTGAGTGCCTTTCTTATGTGATTGTGTTGTACGTTTCTATTGTGTGGAGATGTTCTATGTTCATTTTATTTCAGGTATAGCTGGAAATTTTGTCTTAAAATATACTGTTCCTGATGCTTATTCTTATGGATTTTAACTCTCTAAATTACCTGTGAAACCTTTGTAGCTGCAGAAAAGCCTGATGCGCCATCTCTACTAAAGCATAGAGATAAAATGCCCCCAGTGGAAGAAGAAAAGCCTGAGACAATTGTGTTAAAGAAGATTTTGGTTGAGAAACGCTTGCACATAAAAGAGAGAGTAAGTCCTACGGAGTCAGTTCCAGAAATTCAGACAGTAGAGCCACTTGAGCTCAAAATCTCACTGGAAACAGCTGATAGAATACTGAAACCAGAGGCAGATAAGCAGGAGAAAGTGACTCTTAAATATTTTATACTGACTCCCGAAGAAGAGGAGTCAGAAATTACACCTATGGTTTCAAGAAAGACTACCTTTACAGGTGAGGAAACAGAAATTACAATAGATAACAATATTTATGCGAAGGATGAACCACCACTACCCAATGAAGAATTGAAACTGATTTCTATGGCGTCTGAATGTATGGAAAGAGATTCTGGAGAAGAAAAAGGGGAGAAAATTAAATTGGTTGTTCATAGGGAAGATGCTATAGAGAAAGTCTCTGACAAGTTTAGCATTCTGCAGGAAGAAAAGATTCCTGTGCATGAAAAAGAGGAAATTGAGTCAATTTATGTACCTAAACATATGCCCAGAGAGTCACATGAGCCCAGGGACCAGAAAAGACTTCTAGTAAAAGACAGTAATTCAAAAATCAGTTTGCAACCTGAAGAATTTCTCATTAAATGTAAAACTTCATTTGTAAAGGGTATCACAGAGGCAGGCATAGCTGAAACTCCTCTGCTGATAAGTGAAGAAGAGAGAGGAAGTTTTATCCTGGAGAAATCTGAAGTTCCTCCTGGAAAATCCATGAAGGAGCGTGGCATACAAAGTAAAGCTCAGTGGATGAATAAATCTGGTACTGTAGGAGTGGAAATGCCTGTAGATAAGATTTTTAATAAAGAAAAGAAAATTGAAGTTATTCAAGCTAATGAGAAACATGGGAATCTGGACTTCACATCAGCAGAACTGTCTGAGGTGACTGAACCCACAGAGGGAAAAAGTATTGACCTAGAACACCCCACTGAAGATGAGGATGTTTCCAGAGGAAAAGCGCACATAATCTTTAAGCCATCTGTTCTTAAGCCAGAAAGAGTGGAAAGGAAAGCAAGAGAAAAATATTCTCCAGAGAAAGGAGAAGTTCATTATGAGAAGGGTTCGGGACAGTTGTTGACTGAGAAAGCAATCCTAGCTGATAATAAAACAGGCAAAAAGATTATACCAGAGAAGGAAGAGAAAACTCTTTTTAGCACCCACTTCAAAAAAGACAAAATTATACAGTCAAATGCCCCTGAAAAGGTGCCTGTGGAAAAAGAATTTGGTACAGTTATTACAGGAGAAGGAAGTGAAGCTTCCATAGGAGAACATGAAAAAGAAGTCAGAGATGAAACAGTTTGCAGATCTGAGTCAGTAAAGAAAATTCAGCTACCAAGGAATCAAGTTGACAAACAGTTTCAAGAAGTTAATATAATTGAAGATGGACATAAAGAAACTCCATCTCTCAAAAGCAGCAAATTAAAAATGGAAGAAAAGAAATCTTATTTGACTATGGAAGAAGTAAAGCTTTCAGGAGAAGAGTTTCCAGTGACAGAAGGTAAATCAGATGCAAAAACATCAGCTAAATACGGCACTGGAATTAAAACAGCTGTCACCATGAAAAAGGAGAAGGGGAAGCTTTCAGACAAAATACCATCAAGCAAGGGAACCCCTGCAAGTGGAGAAGTTACTTACTCCTCAAGCATAGGTAAGATAACTTCCAGGAAAGGAGGAGGAGATAAAGAATTCCAGAAATCAGAACCTGCTCACATGAATGAGCAGGCCATTAAACTTTTGAGTGAGAACAGGAATTTGAATGCATCTGGGGAACGACATGAAGTTCTGGATGTTCCTGCAAAGGCTCATGCAAAGCGAGGTGAGGAAGACCTCTGCCAGATTCTTCCACAAAGTTCTTGTTCTATTTGTTTCAGGAGAATATCATTTCCCATTGTAATGTTTTCTTTCTTTAACACTGTTCAGATTTCCATCTAGTCTGTTAGCTGGCTGTACTGGCATTCAGCCACTCTTTACATGTTTGTCTTACCTGTCTGTTCATGCACCTGTGTGATCAATGTTCATTGTCTTAGTCTTACACTTTCATATGACTGCATAAATCATGTTGTGTACCATTATCTTCTCAGAAAACTCACAAACTCACACATTTGTTTCTAGTATTCATTTTTCCATCCACCACAATAAAATCTGTCCTGCATTTCATTCATACCATTCTCCCATTAAAAATATCTTTCGTATTTCCTTTCACAGAAGATGATAAAAAGCAACATAGCATGGGAATTCCTTTTCAAAAGTCTGAGATGATTCATCACAAGTTGGGCAACTAACAGAACATCCCTCACTTGTGAAAATAATGCATTGTCCTGAAATATGTATTAGATTTATACAACTTATATTTTTGTTGTCTTCATTAGTAACTGTGTGCTTCTTCTAAAAAAATATATATATAATTTGTAATAGGTACTTAAGCTACTTTGGTTGACAGGTGGCTATTGATCAAGGGCCTAAATGTGAGTAAAGTGTCAGAGAATGGCAGAATTTTACAAAATAATGGGCAGGACAATAGATTGAGGAAGTAGGTGCTCCTAGCTGCCTTTCATTCTCCACTGCTGAGTATGTCTTTCGGATGTTTGAAGATACTGAACTCATCACTGAGATATAGACAATGTATGTTGTATAAATACATACATATATTAATATCTTCCTCCCTTTGAATGTGTATATACCTAAAGGAAGAGAAAATCAAATTTGTAAAATAATTTTTGTCTTAATTTTAGTTAACTTTATCTTAATTTGTTGAACTACATTCCTAATAATATTGCTGTTCTACTTCAGAGACCAAGACACCAAAAGAAGAAACTCCAAAGGGTATCAGTCCAGTCAAAGGTAGGATACTACAATCAATACCTACAAGCAAAAGCAATAAATTAGGGTTAGTTTATTAATTTCTGAATTCTAATTGCAGCCAAGAAGACACCTTCACCAGCAGATGCAGAAAAAAGGAAACTCAGGCCAGGCAGTGGTGGTGAAAAACCTCCTGAAGAGCCTCCATTCACTTACCAACTCAAAGCTGTACCACTGAAGTTTGTCAAGGAGATGAAAGATATAGTGCTAACAGAAGCTGAGTCTGTTGGGTCTTCTGCAATCTTTGAAGTCCTTATTTCACCATCCACTGCAATTACCAGCTGGATGAAAGATGGAAGTAACATACGAGAGAGTCCAAAGCACAAGTTTATTGCTGATGGCAAAGATAGGAAGCTGCATATTATTGACGTCCAGCTGTCAGATGCTGGTGAATATACTTGTGTATTACGACTGGGCAACAAAGAGAAGACCTCTACAGCCAAACTCATTGTTGAAGGTATTCCCTATTTCAAGTTTATCAATAATTTAAAGGCTAGTTACTCCTTAAGCTGGAAGTACTGGTATGTAGTAAATTACAGTGGTTGGTGGATGCTTCCTTTTGTTTCCATCAATCATTACACATGCTGATTTAATATGTAAGGCATTTCTGCAGCACACCTTCTGTATGTAGATGAGACAAACAAAAATTCTGTGTTACCCACAGAACTCCCAGTGCGGTTTGTGAAACCTCTTGAAGAAGAAGTCACTGTGATTAAAGGCCAGCCACTGTACTTGACATGTGAACTTAACAAAGAAAGAAGTGTGGTCTGGAGAAAGGATGGGAAGATCATTAAAGATGTGCCTGGGAAGTTTGCTCTGGGCATTATTGGTTTGTCACATACCCTCATGATCACTGATTCAGATGATGCTGATGCTGGCACTTACACTGTTACCGTTGAAGGCACTGAGCTCTCATGCTCATCTTGTGTTAAGGTAGTAGGTAAGCAATAAAAATCCTGTTCTCCTTTCTCTTTATAATATTTGAGCTGTTTTAAAATTAGGAAAGTTTTTCCTCATTGTAAAATATAAATGAACAGATAAGATTTTTACAGTTACTAAAAGCTTGTTGTAATACAAAATCTGTAAGGTCTATTTCTTTTATTTATGACCCATGTATTTTTAGTAGAAGTATGCTAAGCTGTATTTTTATGTAACTTTTTGTCATGCAGAAGTGATAAGAGACTGGTTAGTAAAACCCATAAGAGATCAGCATGTGAAACCAAAAGGAACAGCTACATTCACGTGTGACATTGTCAAGGATACGCCAAACTTTAAATGGTTTAAAGGAGATGAGGAAATCCCTTCTGAACCCACTGACAAGACAGAAGTCTTGAAAGAGGGAAATAAAATTTTCCTGAAAATCAAGAATGCTGGCCCTGCTGATGTTGGGGAATATTCAGTGGAAGTTGAAGGTCGCAGGTACCCAGCAAAACTGACCCTTGGAGGTAAGGATGCTTTTATTTGAAATATATTGAATTAGCCTATAGGCCAATGTTCAAAAACCTCTAAACAATCAAACAAAAAAAGCAACCTAAATTATTGTAAAGCTCTATCAAAACTTGATCTATATATGTGTTCATTTGTGCATTCTAGAACGTGAAGTTGAACTTCTGAAACCATTAGAGGATGTTACCATTTACGAAAAGGAAACAGCAAACTTTGATACAGAAATATCTGAGGATGATATTCCTGGTGAATGGAAACTGAAAGGAGAAATCCTGAGACCCTCACCTGTAAGCATCCTTACAACAAAATTTATTTAAATTAAACATTGTGAACAGGTTGAGTCTTTATGGTAAGGTCCTTGCAGGTCTGCCATTACTACTCAGTCCAGAATGTAGAAAGGCTAAGCAGTCTGGTAATTAAAAAAACACCAGTTCTCTAAGTAAAAATTATATTCCATTACAGCTAAGTTTTCTCAAAGGATTACAGCACATTATTCAGAAAATAAAAATATCCTAAACACATTGCTAGGTATTATGCTGACATTCAAAAGAAATATGCTTCAGGGGGGTTTTATTATTGAGGGGAAGTGTTAACTTTCCTTGAAAAGCAATTTCAATCTTTCTAGCTGACTTTTAACATGTCTCTAGAATCTGTTTATTAAAACCACCTAGCAGTAAGTCTTTAGCATTGTATTTACAGATTGTATTTTATTCTATCTTCAGACATGTGAAATTAAAGCTGAAGGAGGAAAACGCTTCCTAACTTTGCACAAAGTGAAGTTAGAGCAAGCTGGTGAAGTCCTTTACCAGGCACTTAATGCAGTTACTACAGCTATCCTGACTGTGAAAGGTATGATGCACCATGGAATATGATACCAACTTAAACAGAGTTCACATTGAGCATATTACAAGCTCTATGTTCTGATTTGCTTCCAGAAATTGAACTGGACTTTGCTGTACCCCTAAAAGATGTTACTGTTCCTGAGAGGCGCCAAGCAAGGTTTGAATGTGTCCTTACCAGAGAAGCCAATGTTATTTGGTCTAAGGGCACTGATATACTCAAGATCGGAGAAAAATTTGACATCATTGCAGATGGAAAGAAGCATATTCTTGTAATCAATGATTCTCAGTTTGATGATGAGGGAGAATACACTGCTGAAGTTGATGGCAAGAAAAGCACAGCAAGACTGTTTGTGGAAGGCAAGTGTCTTCTTTAATGAAAGAAAAAAAATAAAAAAATGGATTAAGAATGTATCTTTTAGAACTACATTGGCCTTTTTTCTGATGGTATTTATGTGTCTACAGGTGTGAGACTGAAGTTCATCTCACCTCTACAGGATCAAACAGTGAAAGAAGGGGAAACAGCTCACTTTCAGTTTGAGCTTTCTCATGAAGACATGCTAGTGAAATGGTACAAAAATGACAAGAGACTCCACACAAGCAGAACAGTTTTCATTACTTCAGAAGGCAAAGTTCATAAACTAGAACTTAGAGAAGTAACACTTGATGATATCTCCGAAATAAAGGCCACAGTCAAGGACTTGAACACACAAGCAAACCTGAAAGTCTTAGGTGATTACATAAATAATTTTAAATATGTTATATAATATGAATAAAAAACTTATAAGTAGGATGTTACAAAATATTGATGTTCTAGTAAATTTATACTACTAATTTACCACTTCATATCCATTATGCCTTTTGTAGAGGCTGATCCATATTTCACTGTGAAATTACAAGACTACAGTGCTGTGGAGAAAGATGATATTACTCTGGAGTGTGAACTTAGCAAAGATGTGCCAGTAAAATGGTACAAAGATGGTGAAGAACTAGTAGCTTCCAACAGAATTTCCATGAAAACAGATGGCTTGCGCCGTATCCTGAAAATCAAGAAGGTTGCAGAGAGTGATAAGGGTGTTTATGAGTGCGACTGTGGAACCGACAAGACAACTGCTAATGTCAGCGTTGAGCGTAAGTTATCATGCCTTGCCTCAGGGAAAGTACTGAAACCTTTGTAAAACAGAATAGACAGACACCTTTTGGAATACAACACCAAAAGTTGTGCTTTTAGAAAACATGCTGTTGTGATGAATAGCTGAAATATCCAGATTTACAATTATTAAGAGTATTTACAAGAGGAAAAATATCTTAAGATATATAAATGGCTGTTGTGAAGACAGTGATAATCAATTATTCTCTATGTCCATTTACAGTCAGGAAAAGAAAAGCAGTTAATTTAATTCACTGTAACAGATACCTACGTTAATTATGAGGAAAAATATTCTTAAAAAAAAATAACTAAACTTTCAGATATATCTTGTGGTTTAAACCCAGCTGAAACCAGGACAACACATTATAGAAGGAGGTTGTAGACTGCCCAAACTTGCATCATTTTAAAAAGAGGTTAGACAAATGTTTATCAGTGATAGCATTTCAATGCACTAAAGAAGAGATAGGAAGAGAGTTTAGATCCTTTCCAGTATTACCTTTTTATGATACAAAATGAGTGAGTAAACAGATGTGAACTTCTGGTGTTTCTTTTTCATTTTAGCTCGCTTAATCAAAGTGGAGCGCCCACTTTATGGAGTGGAAGTATTTGTTGGTGAAACAGCGCGTTTTGAAATTGAAATTTCTGAGCCTGATGTTCATCCTATATGGAAGCTAAAGGATGAAACACTAACACCTTCACCTGTAAGGCTTTTTCATTATTTTTAGGCCACAGCTTACACCAGGGAAAAAAAAAAGAAAAAAAAAAAAAAGCAGCTTCTGAATGGTTTCTTAGAGTAGTTTAAGAATATTCTAATATGTGTGTACGGCAATGTGTCTTTACCACCAGGACTGTGAAATCATTGAAGACGGGAAGAAGCATACTCTTGTCCTTCATAACTGCAAACTTGATATGACTGGAGAAGTATCTTTCCAAGCTGCTAACGTTAAAAGTGCTGCTAATCTGAAAGTAAAAGGTACAGTCTGCACTTTGCCAGTATTTCCATACATATCTTAGGGCATTAGAACAAATCTAGAAGCATAAAGGTCTCTATAAACCTAGCTCTGAGCTGAAAGTGTTCTTTGATTTCAGAATTGCCTCTCATCTTTATCACTCCACTAAGTGATGTAAAGGTCTTTGAGAAAGATGAAGCAAAGTTTGAATGCGAGACATCCAGAGAACCTAAGACTTTCCACTGGTTGAAAGGAACAGAAGAAATAACTCCAGATGAAAGATACGAAATTATTTCAGATGGAACAAAGCACACTCTGATTATTAAATCTGCTGCCTTTGAGGATGAAGCTAAATACATGTTTGAAGCTGAGGATAAGAGAACAAGTGCCAAGCTAATTATTGAAGGTTGGCCTGACTTTGCCTTTCTAGGAAAGATTTGCACCATACTCCTTGGATAGTTTTTATTTATAACATTATTGTGAATTAAACATTTTGTTGTTATAGGTATCCGCCTAAAATTCATTACTCCTCTCAAGGATGTAACAAAAAAGGAGCGAGAAACTGCAGTGTTCACTGTAGAACTCTCCCACGAAAATATCACTGTTGTCTGGTTCAAGAATGACCAGAGATTACATACCAGCAAAGTGGTTTCAATGACAGATGATGGCAAATTCCATTCACTCACAATCAAAGATCTTACTATTGATGATACTTCTCAGATTAGAGTGGAAGCTATGGACAAATCATCAGAAGCTAAACTCACTGTTCTTGGTAAGAATGCCCCACAGAATTTACATGTTGTATATTATCAGAAGAGTCTTACTAATGAAAAATGGTGATCAAAAAATCTTAGGGCTGGTTTTGGTTTGCTTTGGTGGGTTGTTTTTTTTTTGTTGTTGTTGTTGGTTGGTTGGTTGTTGGCTTTTTTTTTTTTTTTTTTGTTATTTATTTGGATTAATCTATATTTTAATTTTTGACTGTTTTACAATTTGTCTTTGGGTCTCCATTTCCCCATTCAGAAAGAATAAATAAAATAACTTAAAAATGTCATACAACTGTTGCAAAATTATCTGTTAGAAATTTAAACATTGCTCTGAAACTCCTAAAGCATGAAAGCAGTGTTTTCAGTAGTATTAGTAATACACTGAATTGTTTCTTAGGCATTTGCTGTTTACTCATTTTGCAACAGAACTGTGTAATATTTGTAACAACTGTATTTAATCCTCCTTGCAGGGACTAAACAAGAAATGTATTTTATGGTAAGAATTAATTGTTTTTTTTCTGAAAGACTAGCTTCAGACTGAAATATCTTAATCTTTGCTTGCAGAGGGAGATCCTTACTTCACTGGGAAGTTGCAGGATTACACTGCTGTAGAGAAAGATGAAGTAATTTTACAATGTGAAATCAGCAAAGCAGATGCTCCAGTGAAATGGATGAAGGATGGCAAACCAATTACTCCATCAAAGAATGTTGTTATTAAGGCTGATGGTAAAAAACGAATCCTTATCCTCAAGAAAGCATTGAAGAAAGACATTGGACAGTACACTTGTGACTGTGGTACTGATCAAACCGCTGCGAAACTCAATATTGAAGGTACAGCTACTTTACTGGGCTTCTCTGTAGAAAAGATCTTTTGTGGTCTGTTGGAGACTGAGGGAATCAATCACTTTTTTTTTTTTTTTTTCCTCCAGATCGGGATATTGAGATTATACGTCCACTATACAGTGTGGAGGTGATTGAGACAGAGACTGCCCGTTTTGATATTGAAATCTCTGAAGAAGGTGTCCATGGCAATTGGAGGTTAAAAGGAGAACCCCTGACTGAATCAGCTGTAAGCAAATATTTCAGGATGTTTCTTACGTGTGTCTCAAAAATTTGTGGGGAGGAAGTGTGAGGGAGAAGAAGGTGGCTGCAGAAATAAAGTGAAATCACAGGAACTAAGTGAAATCCGTATCTATCTGCTTTCAGTAAGGACCACATTAATAACTTTTAAAATGTAATATAGAATTAATCAAAAATGTTGCATAAAATATCAAAATAATAAATTATTTTACATAAGTAAGTGCATTGCTGTTCCCTAATAATATGTATCCAAAGAGCAAAGACCTCATAGAATTCACTTAAACATAATGGCTTTTAAAAATACAAGCTTTGGATTGTCTTCATTTACTTTTGTTTTTTGAGCTATGGCTGGTTTAAATAGACATAGAACACATTTTCAAAATCTTTTCCATTAGTATGATGGCAAAAATTGATTTAAAAGTGTGTAAGACTTAATCAAATATTCTGAATTCTTTGCTGGAAGGATCTGAAAAGTTAAGAAACAATGCAATCGTGACTGGCAATAATTTCACAACCATTTAATGTAACAGTAAGTTACATTGTGAGTAAATCACAAAGATCATAAGTTCCATGAAAATCAATGTCTGGATAAGACATCAAGACCCTTCTCAAGTAAAGGTCACAGTGCAGTTTTGGAAACTTCTAGTTCCCTTAGGCCTCTGACTGTTCTACACATGGATATATTGGCTAGTTAATCAGCACATATCATTCACCAACACAACTGTGTTGTCTCTGGCCCTTTCCTTCTAAGCAGAAGCAGACAGTATTAGGAAGGGACTTTGAAAGGAAAGGCATATGAATGAAAGTTTATAAGGTATATCACAAGTGGCAGTGAGCCTAAGTGTTGTGAATGGAGGAGGAGATAACGTATGCATGGTAGGAGAAGTAAGTAAGGGCTCTTGTGCAACACACACAGAAAAGACACTGAAAAATTACTTTCACTTTGTTGCAGGAATGTGAAATCAAGGAGGAAGGCAGAAAGCACTTCCTTACACTGTACAATGTACGCTTAGATCAAGCTGGTGGAGTAGATTTCCAAGCAGCAAATGCCAAATCTGGTGCTCACCTCCGAGTGAAACGTAAGTGTCTTTCAAACTGAAATTAATTAATCTAGTGAAAACCAGGTACTTATTGCTTCTTGGAATTGGTGGACAAATCTCAATAATCATTGAACCAACAGAAATGCTTTCCAGAACAACAACGGCAGGATTAATTATTCAAGCCACCTTATTTTTTTAGTTAAGGAATTTCTTGTATGTTTTTTAATCTTGTGCATAGTTTATTCATACAGGGGGAGTAAAAATAAGGAGATGGCCTTGAAGGCTGCTATTATTACACAATCAAAGTTTTACAGGCAAAGGCTTTCCTGCATAGAAGCATGTTAACCTGAAACGACGGGATCACAGTGATATCTAGGGATAAGGTTAAGAGTTTGATGGGCAGGGACAGGCTACACGGTTGAAGACCACTTGTTTCACACTCCAATCCTAGCCCTCGCTATTTTGGAAAACACATGCCTTATCTAGTAAGAGGCATGCAAGGCTTGGCAGGGAGACAGATGCACGGCAACTTTCCTGCTGACCTTGTTCAATTTAAAGAAACACGCTCTGCAAATAGGAAATTTTAGGTGACCAGCCCTCCCCCTAAAAACCCCTGGTGGCCTCTTCTATTTAGGGAATTTAAAGAGTGGCATTGCGATGTCTGTCTCTCTTGAGGGAAGCCACCATGGAGATTAGTACATAAGGGCAGCAGCTCTCTCTTGGGTAGAAGAAACTGATCTGAGAATGATGTCTTCTTACCAAGCTCGAGTAATTGGCTTGCTGAGACCCCTCAAGGATGTAACAGTGACAGCTGGGGAATCAGCAACCTTCGACTGCGAACTCTCTTATGAGGGAATTCCAGTAGAGTGGTTCCTGAAAGGAAAGAAACTGGAGCCCGGTGAAAAGGTAAAGAAAGTAAACTTTCTTTTTCCTCATGTTTCCTCCTTCTTCCTCTCTTTCAACTCTCCCTTCTTTATTTCTCATTTACTCTCTTAATCAGAAGTATTAAGGTATAGCTGTTGTGTATATACATACAGTAGTGCTGTTGTGCCAAATAGTAAATTTTCACTAAATCAGATATAGGTTTGTTTGGTCTTTTTCTCCAGAAATTACAGTATTCTCGAATACCACAAGCATTTATTTTACAAAGGGAAACAAAGGCTCCAAAATATCAATCATTACAATGGTGATTTTGTGCCTGATTCTGTCAGGATTACTGAATTATTTTTGTCCAGTTAAATTGTAGTTACACTGAGAGGATTTTGAAAGTTACTATCAGGAAATGTTTTTTTTCTCCTGAATTCTGAGTTGCAGTCCAGTCCTGCTTATAAGGGGATTAAGAGGAGTCAAATTCCATTTCAGGCATTTGTTCTGGCTCTCCAGATAACTTTCTGGGCAGATTTGCTTGTCAAGCACTTCTCACTAGCTAATTTTAACCCTTCATCAAGTGCTGGCTCTTAACTCTCAGATCTGAGCAGCCTGGAATGCAGTCAGTTTAAAGATAATAGTAGGAGAAATACATAAAGAAACACATTAAAAACCATGAAATATAAATGTATATAACTGGTTTTAAGACTTCTTTTTCACACACTAGGCCAAGAGAAATAATACAAATTGGAAACCTCAGTCAAAGCAACCTTTTAAGGCATTACATGACCTAGCAGAGTTTCGGAACCTGCAATAATGCTGCTAATAATATTTTTGTGCAGATTTTTTTTCTGTCACATACAGTTTTTAGCGTATTATTTTCAGGTTTTATTAGATCTTCCCAAGCTCCACCAAATTTGCCTAAATGAAAAATATTTAAATAAAAAAATAGAATATAGAAATAGGAAAAGGAAAATTGATCATGCTGATAGGCGACCCTATTGCAATATTTAAGGGCAGATAAAATTGAAACTCAGCAGATGACATGTAATAATTCAAGGTAATTGCTTCTGAGTCTAGGAATAAAAATACAGAAAGCTATTGATCAGTGACATGGCTTGATAGTTATTACGCCTAGCAAGAAAAATATTATATGTTCAATATTCTGTATGATGGAACATTATTTTCTGCTTACCTGTCTGAGCTATCATTTTAATTACATGAAAAAAATAAAATCCAGATTTCATTCAGTTTACACATACAGTCAAAACTGTCACTTGACTTCACTTGAAATTTTATCAAGAAGAAATCCAGAGTAAACCGTATTTTTACTTGATGTATCACTTTCTGCTCATTTAAAATAGCCTCTTGAAACACTTCGGTTACAGTTGTCAAGAATTAATTTAATTGTACAAGTTTTTAATTTCAGCTGGTTTTAATTCAAACCATTATTTTACCTCTGTGGCTGTCATTTGTCTGTAACCTTTATTGAAGTGACTTTTGTTTATCTCTTCTGTCTATCGTGGTCAAATACGTATTTGGCTTCATCTCAATCTCTTTTGAATAAGCATTAACTAGAGCTAGGTTTCAGGAACACAATAAGGAAGGACAGCCACTTGGTTCCTTCCTTCCCCCTGAAGCAAAAGAGACTGCCTTCTCAATCTTTTTTGCTTCTTCCTTAGCGGAAGCTCATTTTTCCCCTTTATTTTTCTAAACCAGCATATACTATGTGATCATGTATGTCTCTGAAAATAAATAAATAGGATTCTTCAAGAGCTGTTAAAATCTATGGGATGAATGAGTGGCAACCCTTTTCATGGTTGCAATGCAGGATGTGTCCTTGAAGCCTCCAAGTTCACACCTAGAGAAAAGGGGTGTTTGTGTAGAAGTCCAGTTCAAACTCAAATTTGCAAAGTAGTTTCAGCAATAGGTCAACACAGAAATGTCTGGGGGGTTTTTTATGCAGAAATTTCTACCAAAATTTAGTAATAGTCAATTTGATAGTTACAAAAGAGTGTAATGAGGGGGGTTCCAAACTACTTTAGATGTAGCCAGGAGTAACATGAACTTTTTCCCATAAACTTACTTATATTAGTACTTGTTCATAATAAACAAGATCTCAAGTCAGCCTCATTCTGAACTTTTATAGTAGACTCACGTTTTCTAATACAAGGACACAAATAAATTAAAACATGGGGAAAATTAAAATTGCAATTTCTTGTAAGTGAAAAGACAAAACAGAAATGATTCTCAAAATCCTCAAAGCATTTGTCTTGAGGTATATATAGTATATACAAAAGGAAATTACCAAAATTTCATATAAAATTAAACCAAACTCCATAGATAACAATAAATAGCAGTACTATTTCATTAAATGTTTATTAAATACTTCTTGTAGATACATACAAAAGTTTTTTTATGTACTTTATAAGGTCGTGACACGTGCTGAAGGGAGAGTTCACACACTTATTCTAAGAGATGTCAAGTTAACAGATGCAGGAGAGGTATCACTGACAGCAAAAGATTTCAGAACTCAAGCAAATCTTTTTGTGAAAGGTAAGTCAGTCATTTTCATTATATCATGGTAATTGTTAATGGCCCATTCACGATTCATCCTGGAATAGGATGTTAATATAAACCATATATCCAATGAATAGGACCATACAGACAGTATTTGACTGATAGATAATTCTCCTGATTAAAAAACAAACTTAAAATGTTTATGCTTCATGGAAGAGCTGAGAAAAGGGGGAAATACTGCAAATGTGTCAGACCTGGCAGATGAACCAGTTCATTAGGATTTCCAGGGCTTTATTGCAGACTTGAAGAGTCAATTGGCCTCAAGATGGCCTGCAAAAACTGCCCTTTATGGCTCCCCATGCATTTTTCAGTCCTTTGGAGTATCCAGAAACATATGAGAGCACAACTACATCATCAGTCGACTGACATACATCGTCTGTATGCCCACTTGCACTGTTTGCAAGCTATGTATGGCTAAGAAGTCAAAAACTCCACACACTTCTAACTGATATAGTAATTCAAGGAAATTACTCCTTAAGTTTGGGGTATAAATTCAGAGCCACTGAGATCATATGGCTATAGTTCAGCTAAAGAAACTGAGTTGCAAGGCTTTGGGATAATTTGTGAGTAAAAACTCCACGGACAAGGATATCACTCAGTCTACCTTTACAGTAGGCTGAAAATAAGGAAATTAGCAAAATTAACTGAGCATGTCTGGGCATTTAAAATAATTAAAAAAAACCAAAACAAAACAACACCAGCAGAGACATCTAAGAGCCTTTCTGATTATTCAGACAAAGAAAATTAGTACTGATGCATGCAACAATTCACTACTGGCAGAGGGCTGGCTATACTTTAGGTATTTTCTATAAAAAAATTTATCTGTTTCTTTTAGAACCCCCAGTTGAATTTACTAAACCACTTGAGGATCAGACTGTTGAAGAAGAGGCCACTGCAATACTGGAATGTGAAGTTTCCAGGGAAAACGCAAAAGTTCAATGGTTCAAAAATGGTGAAGAAATTCATAAAACAAAGAAGTATGATATAATTTCTGATGGCAGGGTCAGAAAACTCATTATCCATGGCTGCACACTGGATGATGCAAAAACATATACTTGTAAAGTTAAGGATTTTAAGACATCCTGCTTCCTCAATGTAGAACGTAAGTCATTAAAAATTTTATGCAAAATATTTAAGTGCTATAAACTTTATATGGTAGTGTCTATGACTGACAATAATAGCAATGTCAGCAATTTATTGTTCTCTACTGGAGAATTTCTTGTACTAAAAATCTTCTTTTTTCTTATAGCTATTCGTCTTGAGTTCCTGAAGCCCCTAACTGATCTTGAAGTGAAAGAAAAAGAATCTGCTCGGTTTGAATGTGAAATTTCCCGTCCAGGGGTCAAGGTCAATAATAATAATACTTTTGAATCTGAGTAACTCCTTCAACTAGTGTTGTGGGTTTTTTTTTTAACTGACAACTTTATTATCTTATTAGAAATGAACATATGACTGAAATTTATGATGAGCATGTTAATATTAGTGACCATGTTTATTTGCTCTGAAACAGGTGAAGTGGTTTAAAGATGGCATTGAAATTAGAAAAGGCAAGAAGTATGACATCATTTCCAAAGGAGCAGAACACATACTTGTTGTCAATAAATGTACCTTCGATGATGAAGCTGAATATGCCTGTGAAGCAAAAACAGCTCGAACATCAGGACTACTTACAGTGATAGGTAAAGACAGTTTTAGAATCTAATATGTGAACAAGAAAAAAAGGGGATTTGATGAAAGGATTTAATCATCTTTTAAAATTCTTGTTGCAGAGGAAGAGGCTGTTTTCACAAAAAATCTTCCTGATCTTGAAGTGAATGAAAATGACACTGTAAAATTGATCTGTGAAGTTTCAAAACCTAATGCTGAAGTTACTTGGTTTAAAGAAGATGAGGAGGTGCCTGATGGTGCTAGATTTGAACATATTTCTGATGGTCGAAAGAGAATTCTTCTCATCCATAATGCTCATCCTGAGGATGCTGGCAAATATACTTGCAAGCTCCCAAGCTCTAGTACAACAGGAAAACTTACCGTACATGGTAAGAGAGTTACTTTGGTGGCCTTGCTTTCTGAACAAACAAACAAAATAAAACAAACAGTAAGAGTACACAACTTGGTTTATTCTCTTCATAGTAAAAAACATAAAATAAATTAATATATATCTACAAAATATTTTCTTTCAGAACTTACACCACAGTTTCTTACCAGACCACAAAATCTTGAGGTTCTTGAAGGAGACAAAGCCGAATTTGTCTGTTCAGTATCCAAAGAGGCAATTTCGGTACAGTGGCTGAGGGATGACACAGTCCTGGAGCCTGGTGATAAATACGACATCATTTCAGACGGCAAAAAGAGAACACTTGTAGTTAAAGACTCTATTCTAGGAGATGCAGGAAAGTATACTGTCACGGTTGGTGAAGCTAAAGCTACAGCGCGTTTAACAGTGATTGGTAAGCTTTATTTTATCAATGTGCAGGTGCATATTTTGCTGAATTCCTTATAATAGATGGTGTTCTATTACTTTTTTTTCCTCAATTTCAGAAAAACTCAGGATTATAACTCCCCTTAAGGACCAAGAAGTTGGTGAGGGTCAAGAAATTATCTTCAACTGTGAAGTCAATAAAGAAGGTGCCAAAGAGAAGTGGTACAAAAATGATGAGGCAATATTTGACAGTGCAAAATACATTATTGTTCATAAGGATTTAGTTTACACTCTCAGAATCAGAGATGCACAGCTGAAAGATCAAGCTACCTACACCATTGCAGTGTCAAACCAGAGAGGTGAACATGTCAAAAGCTTTGCTGCCTTAACTGTATTAGGTAAATAACTTTTACTATATTAAAATTATTTCATCACCTTACATTCAATTTCACATTACAATCATGAGGATGTAAATTAATCACTTTGGGGGTTTTGTCTTAATAGAGGAGGATCTCAGAATTGTTGAGCCCCTTGAAGACATTGAGACAATGGAAAAGAAAACTGTCACATTTTGGTGTAAAGTCAATCGCCTTAATGCAACCCTTAAATGGACAAAGAATGGTGAAGAGATCACATTCGACAGGCGCATATTGTACAAAATTGATAAATACAAACACTCACTCATCATTAAAGACTGTGGGTTTATAGATGAAGGTGAGTACACTGTCACTGCTGGACAAGACAAATCCATTGCAGAGCTTCTCATCACAGAAGCACCAGCAGATTTCATCGAACATCTTCGGGACGAGACCGTCACAGAATTTGATGATGCTGTCTTTACATGCCAACTTTCCAAAGAGAAAGCCAGTGTAAAATGGTACAGAAATGGAAGAGAGATAAAAGAAGGCAAAAAGTATGTACATTTTATTATGCCTTTTAATATGCTAGACATGCTTGCTTCACTTTGTTACCTTATCTGGAAACTAAAATGCTGCTTACTTACTCCCCCATAAAGATACCATTTTGAAAAAGATGGAAATCTGCACAGACTAATCATTAAAGACTGCAGACTAGATGATGAGTGTGAATATTCCTGTGGCGTAGATGACAGGAAATCTAGGGCAAGACTTTTTGTTGAAGGTATGTGTAAAATGAAACAGGACTTATTTCTTCATTGTTTAGTCATAATAGAAACAACACATAAATGACATCGAATGAACTGACATTTCTTTCAGAAATCCCTGTTGAGATCATCCGACCACCACAAGATATTTATGAACCTCCTGGTACAGATGTCATCTTCATGGCTGAGTTGAACAAAGATGGTGTGGAGGTCAAGTGGTTGAGAAACAACATGATTATTGTCCAAGGTGACAAACATCAGATGATGAGTGAAGGAAAGGTCCACAGGCTGCAGGTGTGCGATATAAAGCCCCGTGACCAAGGGGAATACAGATTTATTGCCAAAGATAAGGAAGCTAGAGCTAAGCTTGAATTAGCTGGTAAGATGCTTGCTTTGTGTTTCTTTTATAAACTCTTAGGTTAGTGAGTTAACTAAATTGACTTTTCTTCTTTCAAAGAGTTGAATTAAAATGAATACACAATCAGGCTGAGATACAAGTCTTTAAACTGTAAGAATTATAATTCAGGCAACAAACATTTTTTATTCTTCCACCTTGATCCAAATGCTGAGCAAAAGTACAGGTTACTTTTCAGTGTCTATACAAAGAGTATGGACTGAACTTAAAGGAAACAGAACCTTTTCATTAGGTCTCTGCAGATCTAAACCATGAAAATTATTTGGCCTACTCCCTTCAGTCATATAAAACATTTAATTCCTAATTTTTCTATTTTACAGGATCAGACTGGTGATCCTCCCTTTATAGGAGGACACAGTACATGCCAACCAGACTGAGCTTATTTCTCTGGAGCAATCCAATAAGTGTATTAAGGATTTGCTCAGCATTCGTACAACAGCTCCTTCAATTTTCTATGTTAGCTTCTATACAACAGCTCCTTTAATTTTCTATGTTAGCTGACTAAAAATACACCTTTTTTTAAGAAAAAATATGTAAGTACTTATTTGTCATATTCATCCACCTTAGCTGCACCCAGAATCAAGACTGGTGATCAAAACCTTGTGGTTGATGTTGGGAAGCCTTTAACTATGACTGTTCCATATGATGCCTACCCAAGAGCAGAAGCTGAATGGTTGAAAGGGGAAGAAAATCTGCCCACAACAACTGTTGATACCACAACTGACTGTACTACCTTCAAAATTTATGAAGCAAAGAAATCAGATAAGGGAAGGTACAAGGTTATACTTCGAAACAAACATGGCCAGGCAGAAGCATTCATCAACGTAAAGGTCATTGGTAAATACTCCTATTATTAAAATCTTGCTTACATTTATTTAAGCCAGAGGGAAAAAAAAAAAAAAAAAAAGGAGATGCAATGCCCTAAACTATTGTCATATTCCTTCTAGATGTTCCAGGTCCAGTTAGAAACTTGGAAGTCACTGAAATTTATGATGGTGAAGTTGGCCTTGCCTGGCAAGAACCAGAAAGTGATGGTGGAAGTAAAATAATAGGCTATGTTGTTGAAAGACGTGATATCAAGCGCAAAACCTGGATTATGGTCACTGATCGTGCTGAAAATTGTGAATACACTGTTACTGGACTACAAAAAGGAGGTGTTGAGTACCTCTTCCGTGTTAGCGCACGGAACAGAGTGGGCACTGGTGAGCCTGTGGAAACAGATACACCTGTGGAAGCTAAGAGCAAATTTGGTGAGCAGTAGTTATGAAAAATTCAGTGTTTGGTGACAGTGTAAGCAAAGCAGTACAAACTCAAACAGTAGGTAAAACCCACATACCTTGTTCTTCCTTTCCCCCTAAAATAAAATGCAGATGTTCCTGGACCTCCTCAGAATGTAGAAGTTACTGATGTGAACAGGTTTGGAGCTACACTTACCTGGGAACCACCTGAGTACGATGGAGGATCTCCAATTACTGGCTACGTTATTGAACTGCGTAACAGAGCTTCCATCAAATGGGAGCCAACTATGACCACTGGAGCTGATGAACTGTCAGCTCTCCTGACTGATGTTGTGGAAAATGAAGAATATTTCTTCAGAGTAAGAGCTCAAAACATGATCGGAGTTGGCAAACCAAGTCCTGCTACACGTGCAGTAAAAATTATGGACCCAATCAGTAAGTATGCAAACGCTGATTGTGACTGCATTATGAGACAGGGACATTTTGGCTGGCTTTATATTATGTGTGCACCATCTGGTTCAGTAAGAATTCCAAATACTTTTTCTCTGAAATTAGAATCCAACCAATTAAAAAAAAAAAAAAAAGGGTTAAAAAAAAAGCTGTGCAATGGTTTTAAAAATAGTGCTTCAAGGTATAGACAGCTGATATGCAAACCCATCCTCCTTTATAAGCTGCAAAAAGCATTTTTCTCTCAAATTATTTTCAGAGAGACCAAGTCCTCCCATTAACCTTGATCATTCAGATCAAACTAAGTCATCAGTGCAGCTCACATGGGAACCTCCTCTTGATGATGGAGGAAGTCCAGTCTTAGGCTATATTGTTGAAAGGCAAGAAGACGGCACAGACAAGTGGATTCGCTGTAACCCAAAATTAGTACCTGCTCTTACTTTTAAGGTAAGATGTTCTGTTCATCAACAAAATAATCAAAATGTGCAGATCATCTTATTAGTATGAGTTTTAAAATTATTATTTGTGTTGTTTAGGTTACTGGATTGAAACCAGGATCCAGTTATTACTACAGAGTCTCAGCAGAAAATGCAGCTGGTGTGTCAGACCCAGCAGAGGCTATTGGACCATTAACTGCAGATGATACTTTTGGTAAGCCATATGCTATTTATTAAAGATAATTAATCAGATAAGGGACACAAGTGCATCTTGTGCATAATATGTATATTTTCACCAAATAACTGCTGTGCCAACTAGTATAAAGAGCCTTAGGCTTTTGAGATTGAGCTTTTTTCTCCTGTTATGAATTATGCAGATAATTAGGTGTACTATTAGAGACAGACCTGTTAGGTTGCCTGAAGAGCATTCTTCCTTATATGTAACCTTAACTTCTCCTATGTAAGTTCTTAACTTCTGACTATGTAAGTCATCTCCTTTGTAAGTTTAAACCCATTACCCCTTGTCCTATCACTACAGTCCCTGATGAAGTATCCCTCCCCAGCACCCATATAGCCCCACTTCAGATACTGGAAGGCTGCTATGAGGTCTCCACGCAGCCTTCTCTTCTCCAGGCTGAACAGCCCCATCTTTCTCAGCCTGTCTTCATACGGGAGGTGCTCCAGTCCTCTGATCATCCTCATGGCCCTCTTCTGGACTTGTTCCAACAGTTCCATGTCCTTCCTATGTCAAGGACATCAGAACTGTACACACTGCTCCACTTTGTGCACAGTTTGGGCCTGGAGCAAGCAGTCCTGCTTCCTCTCAACTTCCCCGATATCTCTTAGTCTCCTCATAGCCTCCGGCAGCTCAGCTACCTGATGCAGGAGTACTTCCAGCAGGGCGTAATGAGCGCAGCCCTGCCATTGTGCACCCCCGCCTCAGGAGATCAGTGCAGGCACTTTCTGCCCCCTGAGCTCTGCGCTGCAGCCTCCCCTCTCATCGGCTCTGTCCGGGTGCCGACGCTGCCTCCGCCGGGGCAGCCAGCGCAGAGCTCCCAAACTGGGCCCTGGCCCCTGCGCCGAGGGATCACCACCTCGCTAGAGCTGGAGGCAAACGGCCCTGTTTGTCGCGCTCCCTGGGGCGAGTTTTACCCGCTCAGGGCGGTGCCGTCCCTTCCTGGCACCGCCTCCTATGAGTCGCGGCTTGCCTCAGCAAAGCTGGAGGCTCCTGGGCAAGGGCTGGCGAGGGCTGGAAGCTCTCTCGGTGGCTCTTGCTCCTCAGAATTGAGGCTCCTGGGCACGTTGTTTCCACTTGCCCCAGTGTTGAAGGCTCCTGTCTGGAGATACTTACCTTGGAAAAAAATAAAATAAATAAAATTAGCCATTTCAGAATATCTGAAAAGATTTCACCAAATCAATTTTGTGCTTTTTCCAGTTGGACCTACAATGGACCTAAGTGCATTCAAAGACGGGCTGGAAGTTATTGTTCCGGAGCCAATCAAGATCCATGTTCCTATCACTGGTTACCCTGTGCCAACTGCCACATGGTATTTTGGTGACCAAGTCTTAGAAGAGGGTGATCGTGTAACAATGAAGACAACTGCCTCCTTTGCAGAACTTGTAATTACTCCAAGTGAATGTCCAGACAAGGGAATTTATTCCTTAACATTAGAAAACCCTGTGTCATCTGTTTCAGGAGAAATTAACGTTAATGTCATCAGTAAGTGGACATGCATATATTCTAGGAATAACATTCGCTATTTATATTGCTAAAACATATTTAGGTTAATAATGTGAAATCACACAACTTTCAGTAAACCACATATATTAAAATATAACTAAAACCTAAAAATCCATCATCAAAAAGACCCTCTTTTCTGGTTTTCCATATCCAAGTTTGCTGTTTAAGGAAGCATGACTAAGAAGAGTAAATCTTCCGGCAGACAGATTACATAGAGATCATCTGCCAAATTCTGATTACAAAATATTTAATATGATTTCTATGGTTTCTAGCTCGTCCAAGTGCACCAACAGAACTCAAAGTTTTAGACATAATCAGGAACACAGTACAGCTGTCATGGGAACCTCCAGAGGATGATGGTGGAAGTCCAGTTACTGGCTATATAATTGAAAAACGTGAAGTAAGCCGGAAAACATGGAGCAAAGTAAGTTCATTCTGTCTCATTTCAATTTCTATTTGCCATATTGTTTCCACATGTGCTACTGGATTTTATGTCTTATTTTGATAACTGCCCTTTGGAAATAGATTTTAGAAACACATTGGATCCTTCCTTCTCTCTAGGTTATGGATCATGTTGTTGACCAAGAGTTCACTGTACCTGACCTCATCCAAGGAAAAGAATATTTGTTCAGAGTTTCTGCATGCAATAAATGTGGCCCAGGAGAACCTGCGTATATTGATGAACCAGTAAATATGTCAGCACCAGCAAGTAAGTCAAGTGTTTCACATTGCTGCTGATTTTCTGTTTCTGAAATCTTGTTGATTTTCTTTAAAATAAAATTAAAATTAAAAAAAAAAAAAACAACCTTCCTTGGACTGGTTTCTAAGACCCCATTTGGTTTTTATTTTTAATAGCGGTGCCTGATCCACCAGAGAATGTTAAATGGAGGAACCCAACATCAAAAGGAATCTTCCTAACATGGGAGCCTCCTAAATATGATGGTGGCGCCCGCATTAAAGGTTATCTGGTAGAAAAATCTCAGCGTGGTACAGACAAGTGGGAGACTTGTGGGGAACCTGTTGTTGAAACAAAGTAAGTAAATTAACATCAGAAGATATATCCTTTAAACTGTGTATCCTCACCATTTTAAATATCTGGATTTTTTTGTTTGTTTAACAAACAGGATGGAAGTAACAAAACTCAAGGAAGGAGAGTGGTACGCATATCGGGTTAAGGCTTTGAACAGAATAGGAGCTAGCAAGCCAAGTAAGCCAACAGATGATATTCAAGCCATTGATGCAAAAGGTAATTACTTCAATCACTGAATTACAATAGCTGCTTTATTTTACTAATCTCTGAAATACTGTTTCTATAACAATGATTTTATTATCTCCTAAATCAGAGGCTCCAGAAATTTTCTTAGATGTGAAGCTTCTTGCTGGACTTACAGTGAAAGCTGGAACTAAAATTGAGCTGCCAGCTAAAGTGGTTGGAAAGCCTGAGCCCCAGATTACTTGGACCAAGGCTGACAAAATTTTGAGGCCTGATGACAGAATCACCATTGAAACCAAACCGGGTCATTCTACAGTCACTATTACAGACAGCAAGAGGAGTGACAGTGGAACCTATATTATAGAAGCTGTAAATACCAGTGGACGTGCTACTGCTGTTGTTGAAGTTAATGTTCTTGGTATGCATGTATTTTATGTTGTGTATAAAAATCATGAGTAACGTCCTGAGGTATGTAAGCAGAAGATTAACATTCATATCTTGTCCTCTCCAGATAAACCTGGGCCACCAGCTGCATTTGATGTATCAGAAATCACAAATGAATCCTGTCTTCTGACATGGAATCCTCCCCGAGATGATGGGGGTTCTAAAATTACCAACTATGTCCTTGAGAAAAGAGCTACAGACAGTGAAATATGGCACAAGTTGTCATCAACTGTAAAGGATACAAATTTCAGAGCTACCAATTTAACTCCTCATAAAGAATATGTGTTCCGAGTCAGTGCCGAGAACATGTATGGTATTGGGGAGCCAGTAGAGTGTAGCCCCATCATTGCAAAATATTCATTTGGTTAGTTGATTAAATTGTTAAATTTTTTTCTTTTTTTTTTGTGTGGGGGGGGCGGTGTGGGGTGTGAGGACCAGAAGAAAGCATATATTGATGACTTTGGGTTTTGTTTTTTATTAATTTGCACAGATCCACCAGGCCCTCCAACAGGTCTCAAGCCTACAGAGGTCACTAAAGATTCAGTCACCCTAACATGGAATGAACCAGATGAAGATGGTGGTAGCCCCATAACTGGCTACTGGGTTGAAAGATATGATCCTGAGCAGGATAAATGGATAAAATGCAATAAAATGCCAGTGAAAGATACAACATTCAAGTAAGACTATAGTCAGTTTAGTCTGAAATAGGTCACAGAGACATAAAAATGTAACAGAAGCCTTTTAAACAAGTTTTATGTTGCCCTTGATCTTTTTTCCTTGCTTCCATGAGTTCAGAACAAACTAACACAGAATCATAGAATGGTTCAGGTTGGAAAGGCTGGTAAGATCATCTAGCTCCAGTCCCCTGCCATGGGCAAGGATGCCTCACCCTAGACCATGTCGTCCAAAGCTTTGTCCAGCCTGACCTTGGACACTGCCAGGGCTGGAGCATTTACCACTTCTTTGGGCAACCTGTTCCAGTGCCTCACCCCCCCCCCCCCAGTAAAGAAGTTCTTCCTGCTATGTAACCTGAACTTCACCTGTTTCAGTTCAAACCCATTACCCCTTGTCCTATCACTACAGTCCTTGATTAAGAGTCCCTCTGGGGCATCCTTTGTAGGGTCTCCATGCAGCCTTCACTTCTCCAGGCTGAACAGCCCCAATTTTGTCAGCCTGTCTTCATACGGGAGGTGCTTCAGCCCCCTGATTATCCTCGTGGCCCTCTTCTGGATTTCATCAGCTCCATGTCCTTCTTTTGTTAAGGACACCAGAACTGCACACAATACTCCAAGTGGAGTCTCACAAGAGCATCTGGTGACATACTTGTTTTGATAATTAATTTTTAACAATGTCTTTACAGAAGAGTAAATAATCTGTCTCTTTTTTAATGTATGCTTTATAACTTCTGTCCAACATGATAATTAGCAAACATACCTGTCTCAAGTATCAATTTGCCAAAACCCTGGGATTTCTTTTCTCCTGATACTTGTATTAACTAACAACCATGGAAAATGCAAAAATGAAGATGGCTCTCAAACCACTGGTTTCTGTGTCATGGCGCACAATTTTACTGTTGGCGATATACATATTTTGAATGTTCACGATTTCATAAAATAACATTAGCAGTAATTTGGGTGTAATGGAGTACCTCAGGAGTCGGTGCTGGGACCAGTGCTGTTTAATATTTTCATCAATGACCCGGACTAAGTGTGCCCTCAGCAAGTTTGCTGATGATACTAAACTGGGAGGAGTGGCTGACACACCAGAAGGCTGTGTTGCCATTCAGCGAGACCTGAACAGACTGGAGAGGTTGGGCGGGGAGAAACTTGATGAAATTCAACAAGGGCAAGTGTAGAGTCTTGCATCTGGGGAAGAACAACCCCATGTATCAGTACAGGTTGGGGGTTGACCTGCTGGAAAGTAGTGAAGGGGAAAGGGACCTGGGGGTCCTGGTGGATAGGAGGATGACCATGAGCCAGCAATGTGCTTCTGTGGCCAAGAAGGCCAATGGCATCCTAGGGTGTATTAGAAAGGGTGTGGTTAGTAGGTCAAGAGATGTTCTCCTCCCCCTCTACTCTGCCTTGGTGAGGCCGCATCTGGAATATTGTGTCCAGTTCTGGGCGCCTCAGTTCAAGGACAGGGAATTGCTTGAAAGAGTCCAGCGCAGAGCCACAAAGACGATTAAGGGAGTGGAACATCTCCCTTATGAGGAGAGGCTGAGAGAGCTGGGTCTCTTTAGCTTGGAGGATACTGAGGGGTGACCTCATCAATGTTTACAAATATGTAAAGGGTAAGTGTCAGGATGATGGAGCTAGGTTTTTTTCAGTGATGTCCAGTGACAGGACAAGGAGAAACGGGTGTAAACTGGAGCATAGGAGGTTCCATATGGACATTAGGAAAAACTTCTTTACTGTGAGAGTGACAGAGCACTGGAACAGGTTGCCCAGGGGGGTTGTGGAGTCTCCTACATTGGAGATATTCAAAGCTCACCTGGACAAGTTCCTGTGTGATGTACTCTAGGTTACCCTTGCAGGGGGGTTGGACTAGATGATCTTTTGAGGTCCCTTCCAACCCTTGGGATTCTGTGATTTTCAGATTTTCCCCGTAAACTGTAGTATAAAGAGTAGAGAGAATAATGTCTTAGGCACAAGTTAATGTGTAGATTTGGTTTAATCAAACTTAATTTTTATTTCCAGAGTTAAAGGTCTTACGAATAAGAAGAAATATAAGTTCCGTGTCTTGGCAGAGAATCTTGCAGGACCTGGAAAACCAAGCAAGGAAACAGAGCCAATCTTAGTGAAAGACCCAATTGGTATAATGAATGCATTTTTTACGATTTAGTTTAACAAAAACAAAAAAAAAAATCATTTCTGTCATGTAATTAATATTGGACTTCTGTCTAGATCCACCATGGCCTCCCGGAAAGCCAACTGTGAAAGATGTTGGCAAGACATCATTATCCCTTAGCTGGACAAAACCAGAACATGATGGAGGGGCAAAGATTGAATCTTATGTCATTGAACTATTAAAGACTGGAACAGATGAGTGGGTGAGAGTGGCTGAAGGAGTTCCCACAACTGAGCACTTCCTTAAAGGGCTTATGGAGAAACAAGAATATTCATTCCGTGTAAGAGCTGTGAATAAGGCTGGCGAGAGTGAGCCCAGTGAACCCAGTGACCCTGTGCTGTGCAAGGAGAGGCTCTGTAAGTATCGTTTCAGAACATGCTGCTGCTCCAAATACACTATAAAAGAGCCATGTCTGCTTGTCTCTGTAGATACCAAGTGAATTCCTGGAAGGCTTATGAAATATTAAAATCTGTTCTGCTTCACCTAAAAAAATACTACGTTTTAATAGTATGTATTCCCTGTCTTACAAGACCTTTGATGGTAAATACTATAACCTGTTTTATTTTCTTATTATATTTTACAGATCCTCCTTCACCACCTCGGTGGCTTGAGGTTATTAATATTACTAAAAACACAGCAGATCTTAAATGGACAGTACCAGAGAAGGATGGAGGTTCCCCAATTACCAACTACATTGTTGAAAAGAGAGATGTAAGGCGTAAAGGCTGGCAGACAGTTGATACAACAGTGAAAGATACCAAGTACACAGTGAGCCCACTGACTGAAGGCTCCTTGTATGTGTTCCGTGTGGCTGCTGAAAATGCCATTGGACAGAGTGACTATTGTGAAATAGAAGATTCAGTGCTTGCTAAAGATACTTTCAGTAAGTTTGAGATTTGTTTACCAAGTGATCTGAAGAAAGAGCTCACGTGTAATGGATTCTTATTCTAATATGTACATTTTTTTCCTTAGCAACTCCTGGGCCTCCATATGCTCTTACAATAGTTGAAGTGACAAAAGGTCATGTAGATTTAAAATGGGAACCACCTAAGAATGACGGTGGCAGACCAATTCAAAGGTAAGTTTTAAGTTTGTGCAGTGTTTCCTATAGATTAAGATATTTTAATGAATCAATATGTTTCTTTCAAAATGTTTAAATTTTAAATGGACATTTTTAATATGGAAAAGAGATGGATGAATGTAAAAGAGAAGCCATGTGGTCAAAGTAATTAAGGGTTTGATTTTAAAATGTGAAAATTATGTAAGTATAAATAACCTAATGTGAATGAACAATGAATGTTTGCCAACATCCTCAAAACATCTAATCAGATTAAATTGAACTATATATAAAATATAAAAAAAAATGAATGAAACTGTCTTCAGTTCCTCCAGAGCTGTAGCCACTTAAATCTGTCTACCAAGTAATATAGTTACATTTTCCTTCTGCCTTAATTTCTTATTCAACCTTTATACACTGGGCTAAGATGAAGCTTCATCACTTTTCTGTTCATTCTCCTCTTTATCACACTTTTCAAGCATTTAGACTGTTGAAAACAGTCCAAAACAAGACTGGTTTACTCCTTTGGGTTGCTTCTAGCTTACTGTTTTTCTTTGGTTTCTAAACTGTCTGTCCTCTGAAATTCACCTTAAATAGGGCTTAAGGGGCTGAATTGTGAAGTAAAGCCCACTGTGACTCTCTCAACTTTTTTTTCCATTGTCTAAACTATTCTAATCTCTATTTATCTCTTTTATTGAGCAAGAACTCTGAAGTGTTCATATTGCAAGTGCCTCATAGTATTCTCCCCCATTTATTCAGATATGTTATTGAAAAGAAAGAAAAACTAGCCACTCGCTGGGTAAAAGCTGGCAAGACGGCTGGTCCAGACTGCAATTTCAGAGTAACGGATGTCATCGAAGGTACAGATGTACAGTTCCAGGTTCGTGCAGAAAATGAAGCTGGTTGTGGTCACCCCAGTGAACCAACTGACCTCATTCATATTGAAGATCCAACAAGTAAGTAATAGTGTAATATGCAGTGTATTATAGAAGCAAAGTACTGTGTTGAATAGATATTATGGAATAAAAATTACACAATTCTTTTCTGTATCTGCAGGTCCTCCTTCACCTCCTCAGGATTTACATGTTACAGATGCAGGACGAAAGCATATTTGCATTGCATGGAAACCACCTGAGAAGAATGGTGGAAGCCCTATTATTGGTTATAATGTTGAAATGTGCGAAGCAGGAACAGAAAAATGGATGCGGATCAATTCTCGTCCAATAAAAGATCTAAAATGTAAAGTGGAGGAAGGTGTTGTTCCAGACAAAGAGTATGTGCTGAGAGTCAGAGCAGTCAATGCTGTTGGAGCTAGTGAGCCATCAGACATCTCAGAAAAAGTTGTTGCCAAGGACCCAGACTGTAAGAAAAGATTGTTTTTGTTTTTTTGTTGTGTTTTTTTTTTTTTGTCAGATCTGCATAACTGAAAAAGTAAGGAGTTTGGCAACTTTTTAGTAATATTATACTTACTTTTACAGGTAATCCCACCATTGATCTACAAACTCGTGACATTGTTGTTGTGAAAGGACAGAAATTAAGTATTCCCGTACCCTTCAGAGCTGTTCCATCGCCAACTATCACGTGGCACAAAGATGGCAAAGAGTTGAAAGCTGGTGACAGAACAACAATGAAGAGTGATTACACCTCTGCATTGCTTGAAGTCATAGACAGTGTTCATGCTGATGCTGGTGTTTATACCATCACATTGGAAAACAAGCTGGCATCAACGACTGGTTCAGTCAATGTCAAAGTCATAGGTAACTAGGCTTCTTATCCTCACTTGTGCCCTGCAGGTGACAGAAAAAAGGACTAGAAAAACCTTTTTCTGCCATGTGGAGAAGTCACTTCAACTCAGACACACATAGATTGCCGTAAAGGCATTAATCTTACAAAATCCCACAAAGAGACCCCAAGACTTTACACCAAATTGGTCTAACTATTCAGTGGCTGCTTAAAGCCAAATTATTATGAATAGTCATCTTACACATATGAAAATGCCTATAAGAATTCTGAATATTTTTCACCCCTAGGAGCATAAATTTATATATATAGATATATAGTGTGTAGCAAACATTTGTGGGTTTGGTCTTCTTTCTGCAAAACAAAGAAATGTAATGCACTTTCATTATTTGTAGGAATACAGTTTCCCATCTATTTAGTTTTATTATTTTTGTTTGAAACAGGTCCACCTGGACAGTGTAAAGACATTAAGGCAAGCGAAGTAACTAAGAATTCTTGCAAAATATCCTGGGAACCTCCAGACTTTGATGGTGGCACTCCTATTCTGCATTATGTTCTGGAGCGCAGAGAAGCTGGTCGTAGAACATATATCCCAGTCATGTCTGGTGAAAATAAGCTTTCATGGCAAGTCAAAGATCTTATCCCAAACAGTGAATATTATTTCCGTGTTAAAGCTGTCAATAAGATTGGAGGAGGTGAATATCTTGAACTAAGAAATCCAATCATTGCAGAAGACCCAAAACGTAAGATTTTTTTTTTTTACTACTAATCACCAAATTGAATTTTAACTAAAATCTTTAAACTTTCTTTTCTCATATAATCCCTCTTTTGCTACTCTTCCACAGAGCCTCCAGATCCTCCTGTTGACCTTGAAGTTCATAATCCAACATCAAAATCAGTAACACTTACATGGAAACCACCCCTGTTTGATGGTGGAAGCAAGATTATGGGCTACATAATAGAAAAGCTCGCTAAGGGCAAGGAGAGATGGGAGAGGTGCAATGACTATCTGGTACCTCTGTTAACTTATCCAGTGAAAGGTCTTGAGGAAGGAAAGGAATATCAGTTTCGTGTTCGTGCTGAGAATGCTGCTGGCATTAGTGAGCCTTCTCGGATTACTCCTTTTGTGAAAGCTGTGGATCCTATTGGTATGAATTGCTCATTTGATTGTTTGTAGTAGTTGCCATACATCCTCAAATATATTGGAATATTCTACTCTCCGTTTATTATTCTGTGTTATTACAGAGGCTCCAAAGGTCTTCCTAGCAGCAAACCTACAGTCTGGCCTTGAGGTGAAAAGAGGTGATGAGATCATACTTGAGGCACATATTTCAGGGTCACCTTATCCATCTATCACTTGGCTGAGGAATGATGAAGTTGTCACACCAGAGGAAATCAAAAAGAGAGTGCCAACATATACAAGGAAGAAGAAGGATGAAGCTGAAGAAGAGAAACCTTTCCAGCTTTCACTGCCAGAACGTATGAGTATTGACAACCATAAAGAAGGAGAGTCTATACTATCAATTCGTGACTCCATCAGAGCTGACCATGGCACATTTACAATTAAAGTGGAAAATGATCACGGTGTTGCAAAAGCCTCATGTGAAGTCAATGTTTTAGGTATATTGTGAATGTCCTTAAAAACACTAAGTTGTTCAGAGTATTGGGTAAGAATTGCACAAGATGATTACTCATAATTTTTATTGCTTTACCAACAGATACACCCGGGCCTCCAATCAACTTTGTATTTGAAGATGTCAGGAAAGATTCTGTCATTTGCAAGTGGGAGCCTCCCCTTGATGATGGTGGAAGTGAAATCCTAAACTATGTACTGGAAAAGAAAGACAATACCAAAGCTGAAATGGGCTGGGTCACTGTCAGTTCAACACTCAGGCATTGCAAATTCCATGTAACAAAACTGATTGAAGGAAAAGAATATCTCTTCCGTGTATTTGCTGAAAATAGAGTTGGATCAGGGCCACCATGTGTTTCAAAACCAATGACAGCAAAAGATCCTTTCTGTAAGTTTTAATTTTGAAATACAACCTTTTCAGAAAACCAGTGTAAAACTACACAGACTCTTAGAATACTCAGCTTCATCTATGTGAAAGTTTCCCACAAGAAGTTTGAGCAATATAATTATTATTTATTGCATATTTTAAACCATTGAAATAAAGGGAAATATTGAAAACAATCTAATTTCAATGGTAAGGAAATAAGAATGGCAATCACTGTCTTAAAACCCTGACGTTTGAATAGAGACATTTTCTATGTTCAGTAAACTAATATTCTTATGAAAAGAGAGAACCATTGATCACTGATTGCAGTTAGAAATCAAAGTTCCTCAGAAAGAGAGTAGAAGAACTATGAATTACTTAAAATTAGTAATTTCTCATATCTTAGTTCTCTCTTGGCTTTGAGTAAGCTCTGAGAAAGACAAGAATGATGACGAAATTACAATTCTTTTTTTTCAGCTCCACCAGATCCACCTAATAAGCCTGATGTGGAGGATGTTACCAGCAACAGTATGTTAGTTAAATGGAATGAACCAAAAGACAATGGCAGCCCAATCATAGGATATTGGATTGAAAAACGTGAAATTAATAGTACTCATTGGGCTCGGGTCAACAGGAGCCTTGTGAATGCTCTGGAAATAAAAGTTGACGGACTATTGGAAGGTTTAACCTACATCTTTAGAGTATGTGCTGAAAATGCAGCTGGTCCTGGGAAATTTAGTCCCCCATCAGATCCAAAAACTGCACAGGACCCAATAAGTAAGTAGCTTATCAGAAGCTAATAGCAGACAGGAGACAGAGCAGGATCCACCTTAAACCTTTAACCTTGATTTGCACCTATTTATTTATAGTGCCACCTGGTCCACCGGTTCCAAAGGTTGCTGATACAAGCTCAACTTCTATTGAATTAGAATGGGAGCCTCCTGCATATAATGGTGGTGGAGATATCACTGGTTACCATGTATATAAACAACTGGTGGGAGTAAACGAGTGGTCACGTTGCACAGAGAAGCCCATTAAGGTCCGACAGTATACTGTTAAAGAAGTCAGAGAAGGTGCAGACTATAAACTTCGTGTTACTGCACTTAATGCAGCTGGTGAAGGACCACCTGGTGAAACTGAACCCACAACAGTTGCAGAACCTAAAGGTATTGCAATTGTATTAGTTTCAAGAAATATCCAACTGCTTAAAAAGTCTTTTTGAATCTCTACTTTGAATTAATGAACTGTTTCTCTCTTTTCTGCAGAGCCTCCCACAGTTGAGCTGGATGTTTCTGTCAAAGCAGGTATTCAGGTCATGGCTGGGCAAACTATTAAAATTCCTGCTACTGTGACAGGACGTCCTACTCCCACCATTGTATGGGCTCTGGAAGAGGGTGAATTAGACAAAGATCGAGTTGTTATTGAAAATGTCGGCACAAAATCTGAATTAACCATTAAGAATGCATTAAGAAAAGACCATGGAAGATACGTAATTACTGCTACCAATAGCAGTGGCTCCAAATCTGCAGGAACCAGAGTAGAAGTATTTGGTAAGAAAAAAAATTGATCAACTGAGCATTTCTTCTGGTGAGAAAACCTTTGGGCTTTATCCTACTTGTTTGATTTTGTTTTTCAGATGTTCCTGGGCCAGTCCTTGACCTAAAGCCAGTGGTCACAAACAGAAAGATGTGTTTGCTGAACTGGTCTGATCCTGAAGACGATGGTGGCAGTGATATCACAGGCTTTATTGTTGAGCGGAAGGATGCCAAAATGCATACATGGAGACTAGCTGTAGACACAGAGAGATCTAAATGTGATATAACAGGTTTAGTTGAGGGGCAAGAATATAAATTCCGTGTCAGTGCCAAGAATAAGTTTGGTACTGGTCCACCTGTTGAAATAGGACCTATTCTCGCAGTTGATCCATTAGGTAAGATGACTAATTTTATGGGGGGTTTTAAACAATTTTTAATTGTAGGTTAATAAACCAGTATTATTTTGTGGATTCTGCAATTAACAAAAGTTTCTTGAGAAGTTGAGACCCATAGTTCCTGGAAGGAAAGTAGGGTGATGTGTTTCAGCAAGGAAGGGGACTACCAGCACAATCCTGAAGTGATGAATGCAGCATCTCAGAGGCATACCAGTTGTTGATGCCAGTAATTCCCAAACTCCAAAGCCAGAAGGAACTCTGCATATTTATTAGTGAAAACCCAGGACATGTATTTACAAGAGCATCCTTATAATACAAGATTTGATGCCTATTTTTCTCTCACTTGTGTAAATCCTTGCTGAAATTTGTTTCTGCATCTGTGAAAGAGGGCTATTGACATTCACTTTGATTTCTTTGGATGCAAATTGTCTGGCATGCAATTTTTTTCTTGTCTTGGGAGACCAGTGTTTGTAACTGGACCTGAAGAAGTGGTGACTTCAGAACCTTTTAGATCTGCAAGCAGTTACCTTACTGAGCTCATACATACCAGTAGGTATGCACTTGCCTTGTCAAACCAGTGCCTTCTGGAAAATTCAGCATTGGCATAACTGGAATCCCCATGCCCACAGGCAGGGCAGTGACAGCACCGGTGTGAAGATGTGCAAAGATATCTGTGTTGTCTATCTAGAAGTCTAATTGCTCTCTGGACCTACTTAGGCATATTTCCCAGTGTTTTCATTACAACTTGCTATTTGTGAACAGTGACAGAAGAAAATAACAGCTCTTCACTGTTCACAGCCTGCTGCTCTGCAGTTTGATGCTCAACTGAATTTACCCGGCAGAGTGGTCAGAGACAGCTGCCAGGCTGAAGCACTGAGATCAGCTGCAATGGCTGCAGAATCATGAGAACAGCTGACAAAATAAACCAGCCCCATAATAATATTACTCCTGGGGAGATTCTGACTGGCCACAAGATGAAAAATTTTCACCATGAGAACAACCAGACACTGCAATAATCTCCCCGGAAAGTGGGAGATGGCCCAGCATTGGATTTGGCTGGACAGGGTGCTCGGACATCTAGCCTAGGTCATGCTTGGCCTAGAAAGGTTGGACCAGATGATCTCTGAGGTCCCTTCCAACCTGCTACCCAATGATTCCTTTCTATCTAGAAAGTGTATTTACTTTTCTACTGGTTGAAGCATCTGCCTTAGATTAGTGACTTCAGTCAGATCCCTGAGTCAGTTCTGTGAAACTACTATGGTTCTTTATGTAACAACATACTGATATCTACTGAGACATTATTTGTTACTTTTTTATCCACATACATGAGAAACTTTATCCTTAACCATACTCACATACTTTGCATACAAAAGCTATGGCTTTAAAAAGCCAGATATACTGTATTTGTATGATTATAAATTCTCTGATTTTTAGATTTTTTTTCATTATGATTTTCCATGTTAATAGGTCCTCCAACAGCACCTGAGAGGTTTATGTACACAGAGAGGACAAAGTCAAGCATTACGCTTGATTGGAAACCTCCACGTAGTGATGGTGGCAGTCCAGTCTTAGGATATATTGTTGAGAAGAGGAGACATGATTCTAAAGACTATGAAAGAGTTAATGCAAGGCTCTGTCCAACAACATCTCTTCTTGTTGATAAACTTGATGAACTTCATATGTATGAATTCCGTGTCAAAGCTGTCAATGCTATTGGAGAAAGTGAACCATCATTGCCTCTCAATGTAGTTATACAAGATGATGAAGGTATATCTGCTTTAAAGAAATCCACACAAATATCTCCAGAGCACTGCAAGGCAATTTCTCTGTTTTATCTCGATCTTTAATCTGCCATTTTTCTTCTTGTTTTCAGTACCTCCAACTGTTACATTACGCTTGGCTGTGAGAGGAGATACTATCAAAGTGAAGGCAGGAGAACCAGTTAATATTCCTGCTGATGTGACAGGTCTGCCAATGCCAAAGATTGAATGGGACAAGAATGAAGTTTTAATTGACCAAACATCCGATGCACTTAAGATAACCAAGGAAGAAGTATCTAGAAGTGAGGCAAAAACTGAACTTATCCTGCCTGCAGCAGTGAGGGCTGATAAAGGCACTTACACTGTGAGAGCGTCCAATCGTCTTGGCACTGCATTTCGCAATGTGCATGTTGAAGTGTATGGTAAGGATGCAACATTTTTTAAAAAATGACAGCTTAATAGAATTCTTTTGCCTTTTTCTTAATGTGATTCTATGCTCTGTTGCTTTCATACAGATCGTCCTTCTCCACCAAGAAATCTTGCTGTTTCTGATATTAAAGCAGAATCATGCTATTTAACATGGGATGCACCTCTTGATAATGGTGGTAGTGAAATTACTCATTACATTATTGAGAAACGTGATGCTAGTAGGAAGAAAGCTGAGTGGGAAGAAGTCTCCAAAAGTGTTGTTGACAGAAGATTTGGGGTAATTTATAAAATATCTTTATTACATACTTTAGTATGCATAAAAAATAACAATAATGCACATCTAACGAAAACTGATATTTGCAGATACCTGCTCATGCTCCATTTAGACTCCAGAATCATTGGATGAATGTTGTCCATCTATGTCTGGTGTTTTCCTTATGTGAGAAAAAAAAAAAAAAGTTCTCTTTTGCTACTTAATCTCAGATTAATTTAGAAGACATCTTCCTCTCCATTTTTCAGCATTATTCATAACTTTACCAACTGCAAAACCAAAACACTTTTAAAGTTTGGTCTCATGCATGTGAAATAACAATATATCTAGGGTGTTATATACAGCTGTGTAGTACATAAGCATAGGTGTGTCACTAAGAGTCCAAGACATAATTTAAAGCAAAAACTGCTGTGTAACATCAAATTTATTTGAGTTTATTCTGAAAGTAGCCAAGTATTGATTTAAATCTTACTTTCAGGTATGGAATCTTGCAACAAATGAAAAATACCAATTTAGAGTCCGGGCTGTAAACAAATACGGAATAAGTGATGAATGCCTCTCAGAAAAAGTTGTTATTAAGGATCCCTATGGCCTTCCTGGACCCCCTGGCAAGCCAAAAATTTTAGATCGCACCAGATCATCAATGCTGGTGACTTGGGAGCCTCCTTTGAATGATGGTGGCAGCCCAATAACTGGCTATTGGTTGGAGAAAAGAGAGGTGGGAGGTGTCTACTGGTCACGTGTTAACAGGGCTCCAGTAACAAAGCCATCAGTAAAAGGTCTACAGTACAACGTGCTTCGTTTGGCTGAAGGTGTTGAATACCAGTTTAGAGTTATGGCTGAAAATCTTGCTGGAATTGGTCCTCCCAGTGAACCATCAGATCCTGCTTTAGCAGCAGATCCCATATGTAAGTATATAATTTGTGTGACTGTTTTAAAAGATTATATCACACCAGAACCAAAATGTGCTGCTATAATTTAAATTGAATTTAATACAATTAATCCAATGCTTTGTTTTCATTAAGCCAAAAAGAATATATTGACTCAAAAAGTAGTTTTCTGATTTGCTGTTAGACAGCGTTTTGAAAATAATTAGCTTTAATTTTTTTTACCTCTTTTAAGAACCTTAAATTGTGATTACACCAGTGCAAACACTACCAAATGAACCTGAGTTCAGAATCAGATTTTTATATTATTGTTTTTCTTTATTCTTGAAGAGTTCAATTTTTATGCCTTGTAACCTTAAGTATCTCTTAATAATGTACTATATGTAATTAGCATGCATATTCTGTGATTATATACTATGCATGGCAAAAGAAAGTGAAAATACTTGCATTCTTCTAGAAAATATTCAGAAAAAATGTATGCAGACACTAACTCTCAGGTAATATTTACTTGCTCTTGTTTTACAAGTTGTTCCTGGTCCACCATCTTGCCCAGAGGTCAAAGATAAAACCAAATCATCTGTAGCTCTTGCATGGAAGCCTCCACAAAAGGATGGTGGCAGTCCTATAAAAGGATATATAGTTGAAATGCAAGATGAAGGTAGTTCTGACTGGAAGAAGGTGAATGAAGGAGACAAACTCTTTCCTACTTGTGAATGTGTTATTCCCAACTTGAAAGAGCTCAGAAAATATCGATTTAGGGTGAAAGCTGTAAATGCTGCTGGAGAATCAGAACCAAGTCCTGCAACTTCAGAAATACCTGTCCAAGATATTCTAGGTATGTGTTCTGGGAATTAATTTAGGTATTTGCACCTAAATGCCACCTACTAGTGTGAATGTCAAAGCAGGTTACCAACCAAGCTAAAGTCAAAACAGAGCAATTATGCAAAAATGTAACAAAAGATTGACAAGCATTTTTGAAAGTGTCATGATGACCATTACCAGGGCAGGATCCATTAGAAAACTGATGAGCACCTCTGTCATATTGAGGAAATAATGTGTATTTTATGAAGAAATGACTACAACACATTTTTCTGTTAATCCATTTCCCAGATTCCTTTTCACACACCCAACCTTTCTTCCTTAGTCCTGCATGCTGCATGTTTATGTGGGGTTTTAGATGAGTGCTGACAGAAACTTACTTTCAGTACCTCTTAAAATTTATATATTTAAACATTTTTGCAGAGGAACCAGAAATCTTCCTTGATATTGGAGCACAGGATTTTCTCTCTTGTCGTGCTGGCACAACAATTAAAATCCCAGCTGTTATCAAGGGTCGTCCAGTTCCAAAAACGTTTTGGGAGTTTGAAGGAAAAGCAAAGACAGCAGCAAAGGTTAGTAAAAGAAAAAAAGCTTCTTTCTACATGTGTTTCTAGACATTTAAACCTATCACCTTTCATATTTACATCATTTTGTTTTGTTTACAGGAGGGTGGTCATAATATACCTGAAGAAGCTCAGGTAAAGCAAATATTTTTTGTATTATTGTTGCATTTTATAATATAGTGTTGCATTTTTTGAACAGAAGTATTTAAAGTAGATCTATTACTTCTCTTTCTATAATGCACAGGTGGAAGCAACTGAAACACGTTCAGCGATTATCATCCCTGAGTGCAACAGAAGTCATTCTGGACGATACAGTATTACGGCAAAGAACAAAGCAGGACAAAAAACTGTGCATGTCAGAGTCAATGTGCTTGGTATGTCTTACAGACATTGAAGTATTTGATACTAGATTTTAGTCTTTATTTTTCTATGTACTTACATAAAATTGTTGTGCTTTTGTCTTAACAGATGTCCCAGGTCCACCAAAAGACCTAAAAGTAAGTGATATCACAAGAGGTAGTTGTAAACTTTCATGGAAGATGCCAGATGATGATGGTGGGGATAGAATCAGAGGCTATGTTATAGAGAAAAGAACTATTGATGGGAAGGCCTGGACTAAAGTCAATGCAAACTGTGGAAGCACTTCCTTTGTTGTACCTGATCTCATATCTGGCCAAGAGTATTTCTTCCGGGTGCGTGCAGAAAACCGTTTTGGTGTTGGCCCTCCTGCAGAAACCATTCAACGGACCACAGCCAGGGATCCAATCCGTGAGTAAAATCAAAGTCAAACAAATTCTTTAAAGTCAGATGGCACTGTATGGTGGATTTATTCACGTTTTTGTTTTGTTTGTGAAGATCCTCCTGATCCACCTATTAAACTAAAGATTGGCCTTGTAACCAAGAACACAGTGAGTTTGACATGGAAACCACCAAAGAATGATGGTGGGGCTCCTGTTACACATTATAATGTTGAATGTCTCCGCTGGGATCGTACGGGAGAAGTGAAGGAGACTTGGAAGCAATGCAACAGACGTGACGTGGAAGAAACAAAATTTACTGTTGAGGATCTTGTCGAAGGTGGAGAATATGAATTCAGAGTCAAAGCTGTAAATATAGCAGGTCCTAGTAGGCCTTCAGCCACTGTTGGCCCACTTGTTGTCAAAGACCAGACTTGTAAGTACTAACTGATACCAACAGATACAAATTCCATTTTAAAATTAAAAAGTATTTTTGTATCTTAATTTTTTCAATATTTTCTGTAGGCCCACCATCTGTTGAACTCAAAGAATTCATGGAAGTTGAAGAAGGAACAGATGTCAACATTGTAGCCAAGATAAAGGGTGTACCCTTCCCCACATTAACATGGCTAAAAGCTTCTCCAAAGAAACCAGATGACAAAACACCAGTGACATATGATCAACATGTCAACAAGATTGTTGGTGAAGATAGCTGCACTTTATTAATTCAACAGTCTCGCAGGAATGATACAGGCTTATATACTATAACAGCTGTAAATAATCTGGGAACTGCTTCAAAGGAGATGAGACTAAACGTTCTGGGTAGGTATCAAGAACTCATATGCATTGCATCAATTTATACCATTCATGTGTTACTTAATTTTAATAGCATTTTAATTAATTCTTCTTTATAAATTGTGTCTTTTAGGCCGTCCTGGACCTCCAGTGGGACCTATTAAATTTGAATCAATTTTGGCTGATAAAATGACAATATCATGGCTTCCTCCATTAGATGATGGTGGTTCTAAGATTACAAACTATGTTATAGAGAAAAAAGAAGCAAATAGGAAGACATGGGTACCTGTTACTAATGAGCCTAAGGAATGCTTATTCACTGTTCCCAAGTTGATGGAAGGCCATGAATATGTGTTCCGCATTATGGCACAAAACAAATATGGTATTGGAGAACCTTTGGATAGTGAACCAGAAACAGCACGAAACCTTTTCAGTAAGTACAAATACACTTCCAAATTATGTCAGTTGTTTTAGTATGCTGGTATGTGTACAGCATCTGTTAAAAACCACCACTACTGTCTTCATGTAAATAGGTTTCCTAGACTAGCTTGAAGAGTTTTAGCATCAGTAGTTAGTTCTTAAAGGCACATGGAGTGCTTAAAACCACTTTTTTCCCTCAGTGTTATATATTAAAATGCAATCTAAAGCTTTTTTAAGGTTTTAATGTATGAAAAAGGATTTATCTGATAAGATTCAGGTCATTCTGTTTTGTTTGAGACATTTTTGACATGATAGATCAGGAAAGGTCAATTATCTGACTTCAATTTTGAAAGATAAATTAGGCAGAATAGCTCTGATGTAGGAAAAATACTAGGCTTTCACTAGCAAATCATTCTTAAAACATCCAAGGTTAGGCTGGGCAGTGAAATTAGATAGATCCAGTAAGGCAAAATAAACAAGGTTTTTACAGTTGTAATTTGAAGGGAAGATATTTTACGTTTCACAGAAGTATATGTACCTGAACAGGAAGGTGAGAGGGCCAGTGTCTCATGCAGATAGGTAACTACCTAATGCAACTGTGACCATGTGAGTGCATAGCTCTTCTTTGCATTCTAGCTATCTCTATGTTTCTTTAGTGTTTTTTTACAAGCTGTATGTCATTTTTTTCACCCAGCTGTTCCTGGACCTTGTGACAAGCCAACAGTTAGCAGTATAACACGTGACTCAATGACTGTAAACTGGGAAGAACCAGAACACGATGGTGGCTCTCCTATTACTGGTTACTGGTTGGAACGCAAAGAGACTAGTGGAAAGAGATGGACCAGGGTTAATCGTGATCCTATCAAACCTATGACACTAGGAGTTTCATACAAAGTTACAGGTCTTATTGAAGGCTCAGAATATCAGTTCCGTGTTTCAGCTATCAATGCAGCTGGTGTTGGTCCACCAAGCATGCCATCTGATCCAGCAGTTGCTAGAGATCCTATTGGTAAGTATACTAGATTCCTATTTTTGAATGTGAAAATATTCAGATAAGAGCATAGAACATATTGTTATGCTGTAATGATGATGTATGATGATATTTTTCAGCCCCGCCTGGCCCTCCTATTCCAAAAGTTACTGATTGGACAAAGTCTTCTGTGGATTTGGAATGGTCTCCACCACTAAAGGATGGTGGTTCCAGGGTCACAGGCTACATTGTGGAGTATAAAGAGGAAGGAAAGGAAGAATGGGAACGGGTAAGTAGAAGAATGTTGTGGTATCTGCATTTATTTTCTCTGTGTGCCTATCAAAATAAACCTCTCAAAAATGTATTTTTACATATTTTCACTATGCAAGTTATTTTTTAAAATTTCATATTTTTGCACCATAATTATCTTCATTTGTTTAAAAATCAGTAATTCCCCCTCCACAACATCAAGTTCATTTTGCAGTTTCCCAAATTGCAAAAAAAAAAAAAAAAAAAATTACATTTCTGTGTAAAGATGTGAGAACATATGTAGGTAATCGTGGTAGAAGAACAGAAGACAAGACTAAGTGAGAACTGACACAAAAGTAAGTCTCACTGGTATCAGACTGTACCAAATCATTTGCAATTACTATGTCCCTATATTTTCAGAGAATGTAGAATCATATAATGGTTGGGTTAGAAGGGACCTTAAAGATCATCTAGTGACAACTCCCCTACCAGGAACTGTTGTGGTTTTTTTTTAATAGTTCATTACTGAAATATTTTTTCAATAATGTACTACAGATTTTTTTTTATTTTTTTAATAATCATGGAATCACAGAATGATCTGTGTTAGAAGAGACATTAAAGATTATCTAGTTCCAATCCCCCTGCCACAGACAGAGACATCTTCCACTAGACCAGGTAGCTCAAAACCCCAACTTGGCCTTAAACACAACCAGTTTTACCAGCTTCTCTGGGCAACCTGTTCCAGTGCCTTACCACCCTCATAATAAAGAATTTTTTCTTAATGTCTAATCTAAATCTACCCTCTTTCAGTTTAAAGGCATTATCCCTTGTCCTGTCTCTACATGACCTTGTAAAATGTCCCTCTTCAGATTTCTTGTAGGAATCCTTTAGGTATTGTATGGCTGTTTTAAGGTCTCCTTGGAGCCTTCTCTTCTCCAGGCTAAACAAGCCCAACTTTCAGCCTGCCTTCATAGGAGAGGTGCTCCAGCCCTCTGATCATCTTCATTGTCCTCCTCTGAACTTGTTTGAGAAGGTCCGCATCCCCTTGTGTTGGGGGCCCCAGAGCTGAACATGGTACTGCAGGTGGGGGTCTCACCAGAGCAGAGTAAAGGGGGAGAATCCTCTCCCTTGACCTGCTGGCCATACTCCTTTTCATGCAGCCCAGCCTACAGTTGGCTTTCTGGGCTGCCAAACACACGCTGCTGGCTCATACAGACCTCATCAGTCAACACCCCCAAATCCTCCTGAGGGTTGCTTTCAATCTATCCTCCACCCACCCTGCAGTTGTGCTTGGAGTTGCTCCAACCCAGGTATAGGACCTTGCACTTGGCCTTGTTGAACTTAATGAGGTTTATGCTGGTCCACCTCTCAAGCCCACCTGAGCTTGGAGGATGTGATCCTTGAATATTGTGCAGCTTTCCTGGGCTTCTCTTCCCTCCAGGGTTTTATCCCATGGAAGTCCACCAAGCAGAACCCTAAAGAGGCCAAAGTCCATTCTCCTGAAGTTCATCTTACTGTGCACCCTCCTTGCCACCCTAAGAATCTCAGACTGTATGGTCACTGCATCCAAGGCTGCCCTTCAGCTTCACATTCCCCACCAGCCCCTCCAGAAAAACCCCCCTCCTTTTTGATTTTTCTGCATTACTTAAAATTTAACTGATTCGTAACTTAGCTATTTTTGTATTTCCATAAACATTTGGGTGCATCTTAAGTAATACCTAAATTTGCTGCACTATTTCCAGGTAAACAGGCTTCATATTGGGTTTAAAAGGATCAAAGCTTTTTTTGATTTTTTTTCCACTGCCATCTACATAAGTTTATTTGTCCAAAATACATGTAATTATTCTGAATCCATGGACTATTAAAAGTGTTATAACATCATTGTCTGTTAGAATTATTAGGAAGGTGGATCTTCAAATTAGCTTGCATGCCTATGTCCTGCATTTCTGTACACAGATTCTGAAGAACTGTATGTGAGCTAGATCCACATATGCTTAAGACTGTCTTGTGCTTGTAAATCTGAAACAACTTCTGGTCTAAAATTCACTTCAAACATCACAAAGAAATTGATGATACCTTGATGTTAGCTGATGGTATAATATTTTTTTCCAGGTAAAAGATAAAGAAATTAGAGGAACAAAGTTCGTTGTGGCAGGATTAAAAGAAGGATGTTTTTACAAATTTAGAGTTAGAGCAGTGAATGCTGCTGGCATTGGAGAGCCTGGAGAAGTTACAGACATTATCGAAATGAAGGACAGAATTGGTATTTATCATTTACATTTACATTTTCAGTACCTCTAAGCGAAAGTGGGGGAAAAAAAATCATAAAATTTTTTTTTGTTCACCTCCCACAGTGGCTCCTGATATTAATTTGGATGCAAGTGTCAGGGACAGAATTGTTGTTCATGCTGGAGGAGTAATTCGAATCATAGCGTATGTCTCTGGAAAACCAACTCCAACAGTGACTTGGAGTAGGGATGACCAAGCTTTACCAGAAGAAGCCAAAATTGAAGAGACAGCTATTAGTTCTTCTTTGGTTATCAAGAACTGCAAGAGGAGCCATCAGGGTCTATACACTTTACTTGCTAAAAATGCCGGTGGTGAGCGGAAGAAGACTATTATTGTTGATGTACTAGGTAAATAGCAACTTCATCCTTATGAACAAGTAAAATTTCATGACGTTCAGCACCTGTGCTTAAATACTTCTTTGCTTTCAGATGTGCCAGGCCCAGTTGGAATGCCATTCCTTACTGAGAACCTGACCAATGACTCTTGCAAATTGACATGGTTTACTCCAGAAGATGATGGTGGTTCTCCTATTACCAACTATATAATTGAAAAACGTGAATCTGACCATAGAGCTTGGACTCCAGTAAGCTACACAGTTACAAGACAAAATGCTACTGTTCAGGGACTCATTGAAGGGAAAGCTTACTTTTTCCGAATTGCAGCTGAGAATATAATTGGCATGGGTCCATTCACAGAGACTACCAAAGAAATTGTTATTAGATCTCCTATAAGTAAGTATATTTTCAGATTTGGATTACTGTCATATGAAATGAATATGCAGAAAAATGTATTTACTGTATTTTCCTGTTGTCCACAGCTGTTCCTGACCGTCCAGAAGACCTGGAAGTAAAAGCAGTTACCAAGAACTCTGTTACATTAACTTGGAATCCTCCAAAATACGATGGAGGCTCAGAAATCACCATGTATGTTCTAGAGAGCCGTCTCATTGGAAAAGAGAAATTCCACAAAGTTACAAAGGAGAAAATGCTTGATAGGAAATACACTGTAGAAGGCTTGAAAGAAGGTGACACCTATGAGTATCGTGTGAGTGCTTGCAATATTGTGGGGCAAGGCAAACCATCATTTTGCACAAAACCAATCACCTGCAAGGATGAAATTGGTATGTATCATTGTCACATTTCTTTTTAAAACAGTGATTAGATTTACTGATTCCTTACTTTTTCTTACTTAGATTGCTGACATCTGTGGTCATTGTGTCTTTAATATCATCTTTCAGCTCCTCCATCACTTGACCTTGACTTCAGAGACAAGCTTATTGTTAGGGTTGGTGAAGCTTTCAGCCTGACTGGACGTTATTCAGGCAAGCCCACACCAAAGGTTACTTGGCTAAAGGATGATATTGTTGTAAAAGAAGATGACCGTACAAAGATCAAGACAACTCCAACAACTCTTTGCCTGGGGATAGTAAAGTCTGTCCGTGAAGACTCAGGCAAATATTGTGTTACTGTGGAAAACAGCACAGGATCAAGAAAAGGATTTTGTCAAGTTAATGTTGTCGGTAGGTTTTACTGAACAACGGTATTGTCTGTGATTTGTAGTAGTGATTAGAATTCATTGAACTATATAAAATGTGAATATTAAAATGTGTTTTTATTGCAATAATATTATTTACTACATTCTCATTTATACTGAAATACTATTTATTAATTTAGAGTACATAGTTAACTCTGGATTAAGTTATTCAGCATGAACAGTTTAATGTCTTTACAAGCATTTAGAGAATGTCAACACTGTAGAAAATGTGAATCACCAAATACTTTATAAGCATTAAGGAATTAAGTCCAGTAATTCAAACACATATTAAAGAGGAATAGTTTTGAGGTGTTGATTCCTTATTAAAACTGTGATGCCATGTTTATACTTCCATAGTATATTTACTGTATCAACACTGTTTAATCTATGTATTATGTGAAGTTCATATATAGCATGGTTATGCTTTATTTTTTTCTTAAACAGATCGCCCATCACCTCCAGTAGGCCCAGTTATATTCGATGAAGTTCATAAAGATCACATGATAGTTTCCTGGAAACCTCCCTTAGATGATGGAGGCAGTGAAATTACAAATTACATTATTGAGAAGAAGGATACACACAGAGACTTGTGGATGCCAGTTACATCAGCCACAGTAAAGACCACATGCAAAATTCCGAAGCTGCTTGAAGGAAGAGAATATCAAATTCGAATTTATGCTGAAAATCTTTATGGCATAAGTGATCCTCTCATCTCTGATGAGATGAAAGCCAAGGACCGTTTCCGTATGTTATTCATTTGCAATCTTACTTTGATACTTTAATCTTTACTCTTTTTTTAGAGCTCATAAACTATTTTTGTCCTTTTTTTTTTTTTTTTCTCCAGGTGTTCCTGATGCACCTGAGCAACCAATCATTAAGGATGTTACCAAAGACTCTGCAGTAGTGGTTTGGAATAAACCATATGATGGAGGCAAGCCAATAACAAACTATATTGTAGAAAAGAAGGAAACAATGGCTCCAAGATGGGTCAGAGTTACCAAAGACCCAATTTTCCCTGGTACTCAGTTCAAAGTACCTGACCTCCTTGAAGGCTGTCAGTATGAATTCCGTGTTTCAGCAGAAAATGAAATTGGTGTTGGTGATCCTAGTCCACCATCAAAACCAATTTTTGCTAGAGATCCAATCGGTAAAGTATTACACATAATTTCTCATTGAAATTTTAATGCACTCTTCAGCTAGAAAATAATTTTATTTATTTTCCTTATTTTTTTTTCTTTTTTGTAACAGCAAAACCAAGTCCACCCATAAATCCGGAAGCAGTAGATAAAACTAAAAATTCAGTTGATTTATCTTGGCAACCACCTCGTCATGATGGTAATGGCAAGATAATTGGCTACCTTGTTGAATATCAGAAGGTTGGAGATGAAGAATGGAAAAAGGCTAATCTTACAGCAGATTCTTGTCCTGAAACAAAATACAAAGTCACTGGCCTTACTGAGGGTTTGACCTATAAATTCAGGGTCAAGGCAGTCAATGCAGCAGGTGAATCTGAACCAGCCTATGTTCCTGATCCAGTAGAAGTAAAGGACAGACTTGGTGAGTTTAATAAATTCAGATAAGTTTACCTAAGAAGAGATTTTTTCTTCATTTTCTAAAACCACATCATTTTGATTCCAGAACCTCCTGAGCTGATACTTGATGCTAACATGGCCCGAGAACAGCATGTAAAAGCTGGAGATACCCTGAGACTTAGTGCTGTTATTAAAGGTGTTCCATTCCCAAAAGTCACATGGAAGAAAGAAGATCATGAGGTCTCACCCAAAGCTGATATTGAGGTTACAGGAGTTGGCAGTAAGCTTGAAATTCGTAACACTGTCCATGAAGATGGTGGAATTTACTCCTTGACAGTTGAAAATCCAGCTGGTTCAAAGACTGTTTCAGTAAAAGTTGTGGTCTTAGGTAATCTTTTTGATATTCCTTTTATAATGCATGTTTTCATTCTATAATTAGGCATGAAGAAATAAATTGATTTCTGGAAAATATCAATAAACTGAGTTATAAAAATACACAGTAGAAAAAGGACTAAAAATTGCATGATCTATATTAATTTATCTTGACATTTACTAAGTTTTGTAAAAAAATATTTTGATTATCAAATAAATAATGAGTTCGATTTTTGTCAATATTAGATAAGCCTGGTCCACCCAGAAATCTGCAAGTCAGTGAAGTTAGAAGCGATTCTTGCTATCTCACATGGATGGAACCAGAAGATGATGGTGGCTCTGTCATTACCAACTATGTGGTGGAAAGAAAAGATGTAGCTTCTGCACAGTGGGTAGCCATCTCATCATCCTCCAAGAAACGTAGTCACTTGGCTAAATATCTGATGGAAGGCACTCAGTATGTCTTCCGAGTTGCAGCTGAGAATCAGTATGGTAGAGGTCCATATGTGGAAACGCTCAAGCCTATTAAAGCTATAGATCCACTGCGTAAGTGTTCTTCAGTTATATGATTCGTTTTGTTCATATTGTTCTTGGTAATTTTTGAGATTATCTTGTTGGTACTAATGTGAATGTAGCACACTGCTACCATAGATTAGCCATCGTAGTAACCATTTCTTCTTTTGCCATTTAAAAGATCCTCCAGGGCCACCAAAGAATCTGCATCATGTAGATGTTGACAAGACTGAAGTTTCCCTTGTTTGGAATAAACCAGATCGTGATGGTGGTGCTGAGATAACTGGATATTTGGTGGAATATCAAGAAGATGGTGCAGATGAGTGGACAAAGTTCCAGACAGTCCCTATGCTAGACTGTGTTGTTACAGGCCTACAAAAAGGAAAAATATACAAATTCCGTGTGAAAGCTCAGAATATTGTTGGTCTTAGCCTTCCAGATACAACTATACCAATAGAGTGTCAAGAAAAACTGGGTAATTTTTAGTTTTGCATGTTGTTTCACTGATTATTTTTCTCTTTAAGCATTTCCCCTGAAAAGGTAATTTCTATTTTTCTCCAATTTCAGTACCTCCATCTGTGGACCTAGATGTGAAATTAATTGAAGGTCTTGTTGTTAAAGCTGGCACCACAGTAAGACTTCCTGCGATTATGAGAGGTGTGCCAGTTCCCACTGCAAAATGGGCTACTGATGGCACTGAAATTAAACCAGATGGCAGATACAAGATTGAGACTGACAATTATTCGACTGTACTTACCATCAAAGACTGCATAAGGAAAGATACAGGAGAGTATCTACTCACAGTATCTAATGCAGCTGGCAGCAAAACTGTTGCTCTACATCTTACAGTTTTGGATGTTCCTGGCCCACCAACTGGTCCTGTTAATATTCTTGAAATAACACCAGAACATATGGTTATTTCTTGGCGCCCTCCTAAAGATGATGGTGGGAGTCCTATAATAAATTATATTGTTGAGAAGCGTCAATCAAAGAAAGAAACCTGGGGAGTGGTTAGCTCTGGAACAAGTCACACAAAAATTAAGATTCCACGACTGCAGAAAGGCTGTGAATATATTTTCCGTGTCCGGGCAGAAAATAAGATAGGCATTGGTGCACCCCTTGATTCAGAACCAACAGTTGCTAAACATATGTTTGATCCACCATCCCCACCTGGTAAACCAACTGTTTATGATATTACAGAAAATGCTGCAACAGTATCTTGGACCCTACCAAAATCTGATGGTGGAACTCCAATAACTGGTTATATACTTGAACGGCGGGAAGCATCTGGTAAATGGGTGCGTGTCAATAAGGCACCAATACTTGATATGAAATACAGAGTCACTGGTCTTTTTGAAGGCAACACATATGAATTCAGAGTTTTTGCAGAAAACATGGTGGGCTTAAGCAAACCATCTCCAAGCTCTGATCCAATAAAAGCCTCACGTCCTATCTCTCCTCCTGGACCACCTATTAATCCGAAACTAAAAGACAAAACCAAAGAAACAGCTGATCTTGTGTGGACAAAGCCCCTCAAAGATGGTGGCAGCCCGATCCTGGGATACATTGTGGAATGTCAGAAAACTGGAACTACTCAGTGGAATAGGATCAATAAAGATGAACTCATTAGACAGTGTGCTTTCAGAGTACCTGGGTTAATAGAAGGAAATGAATATAAATTCCGAATAAAAGCTGTCAACATTGTGGGAGAGGGAGAACCAAGAGAACTGGCAGAAACTGTACTTGCAAAGGATATTCTTTCTCCTCCAGAAGTAAGCCTAGATGTGACCTGTCGAGATATAATTACTGTCCGAGTAGGCCAAACAATCCGGATTACTGGTAAAGTAAAAGGCAGGCCAGATCCTGACATAACTTGGTCTAAAGATGGCAAAATATTAGTCCAAGAAAAACGTGTTGAAATACTCCAAGATCTACCTAATGTTGAACTACAGGTGAAAGAAGCCAAAAGATCTGATCATGGCAAATATATAATAGCAGCTAAGAACAGCTGTGGACATGCTCAAGCTTTTGCTGTTGTTAATGTACTTGACAGACCTGGGCCATGTCAGAACCTGAAAATAAGCTATGTCACAAAAGATTCTTGTATGATTGCTTGGGAGAGTCCAGTGGATAATGGTGGCTCTGAAATTACAAATTACATAGTAGAGTGCCGTCAACCAAACCAGAGGGGGTGGTCAATTGTCTCCTCTGATATCACTAAACGATTAATAAAGGCAAACCTGATAGAGAACCGTGAATACTTCTTCAGGGTTTGTGCAGAAAACAAAATAGGTCCAGGTCCTTGCATTGAGACCAAGACTCCTATCCTTGCCATCAATCCTATTGACAAGCCTGGAGAGCCAGAAAATCTTCACATTGCAGAGAAAGGAAAGACATTTGTATATCTGAAATGGAGAAGGCCAGATTATGATGGTGGAAGTCCCAATTTAAGTTATCATGTTGAGAGAAAACTGAAAGATTCAGATGAATGGGAAAGGGTTCACAAAGGTAGCATTAAGGAAACACACTACATGGTAGATAAATGTATTGAAAATAAGATTTACGAATTCAGAGTTCAAACCAAGAACGAGGCAGGTGAAAGTAACTGGGTAAAAACAGGTGAAGTTGTTGTGAAAGAAGATCTTCAGAAACCAGTTCTAGACTTAAAGTTAAGCGGTGTGCTAACTGTAAAAGCAGGTGACACAATTAGAATTGAGGCTGGAGTCAGAGGAAAACCACAGCCTGAAGTTGTATGGACAAAAGACAAAGATGCCACAGATCTGACTAGATCTCCAAGAGTCAGCATTGAAACAACTTCTGACACATCTAAATTTGTTCTCACAAAATCAAGGCGTAGTGATGGTGGGAAATACGTGATCACTGCAACTAACACAGCTGGTAGTTTCGTAGCATATGCTACTGTTATTGTCTTGGATAAACCAGGTCCTGTAAGAAACTTGAAAGTCACTGACATTTCAAGTGATAGATGTACTGTTACTTGGGACCCTCCAGAAGATGATGGTGGTTGTGAAATACAGAACTACATCCTGGAAAAATGTGAAAGCAAGCGTATGGTTTGGTCTACGTACTCTTCCTCTGTTTTAACAAACTATGCGAATGTGACACGGCTTATTGAAGGTAATGAATATATATTTAGAGTTCGTGCAGAGAATAAAATGGGCACTGGTCCACCAACAGAAACACACCCAATTATTGCAAAAACAAAATATGATAGACCTGGACGCCCTGACCCTCCAGACGTCACAAGAGTTAGCAAAGAAGAGATGACTGTAGTTTGGAATCCACCAGAATATGATGGTGGCAAATCAATTACAGGATACATTTTAGAGAAGAAAGAGAAACGATCACTGAGATGGGTTCCTGTTACTAAGACTGCAATCCCAGAGAGACGCAAGAAGGTTACTAATCTCATCCCTGGTCATGAATATCAATTCCGTGTCAGTGCCGAAAATGAAGTTGGACTTGGAGAACCAAGCTTGCCATCAAGACCTGTAGTAGCAAAAGACCCAATAGGTATCATGCTATTGTATTCTACTGTATTTTATTTTAATGTTAACATAACAGATTGCTAAATTGCACAACTGTGTTATTACTTGTAATTTTTATTTTCTTTCAGAGCCACCTGGTCCTCCCACAAACCTGAGAGTGGTTGATAGCACAAAGAGTTCAATAACTCTTGGCTGGGGAAAACCAGTGTATGATGGTGGTGCTCCAATTATTGGATATGTTGTAGAAATTAGACCAAAAGTTGAGGGTGCTGATCCTGAAGCAGGATGGAAACGATGCAATGTTGCTGCCCAAGTTATTCACACAGAATTTACAGCCACCAGCCTGGATGAAAACCAATTGTATGAGTTCAGAGTTTCTGCTCAAAACCAGGTTGGTCTTGGCCGACCAGCTGAACTGAAAGAAGCTGTGTCTCCCAAAGAAATACTTGGTGAGTTTTCCTGTTCTCTTTATGAGTATTGACATACAAACTTTATTTGCTCTGATTTTATTTCATGTGATAAACTTTGCATTTTTATTCCTTTAATTTTCTTTTTCAGAACCTCCTGAGATTGAGTTGGATGCAAGCATGAGAAAGTTAGTTACAGTCAGGGCAGGATGCCCTATTAGACTTTTTGCCATTGTTAGGGGTCGCCCAGCACCAAAAGTCACCTGGAGGAGAATGGGTATTGATAATGTTATCAGAAAAGGACAAGTTGATCTGGTTGACACTATGGCCTTCTGTGTCATTCCTAATTCAACACGTGATGACTCAGGCAAATATTCATTGACACTTGTTAATGCAGCTGGAGAAAAGGCTGTATTTGTGAACGTCAGAGTCCTGGGTAAGTAATGAAAGAAATATCACTAGACAATTTTTTAACTATATTAAATCTTCATTGCAGGAATTTTTATGACCCCAGTTTTTGAGCACAACTGTATCAGCTAACACTAACTCCCCTGTATAGGAAGCTGTTAGTCCCCTTTAATTATAGCTTATTAAAGAAAAGACTAGCATAAATTGAAATTTCTTTACAGATACTCCTGGACCTGTGTCAGACTTCAAGGTTTCAGATGTCACTAAGATGTCATGCCATCTTTCATGGGCACCTCCAGAGAATGACGGTGGTAGCCCAGTGACTCATTACATCCTGCAGAAACGTGAGGCTGACAGGAAGACCTGGGGAACAGTCACTGCAGAACTGAAGAAAACTAGTTTCCAAATATCTAACCTTGTACCTGGAAATGAGTATTACTTTAGAGTAACAGCAGTAAATGAATATGGGGAAGGTGTTCCAAGTGACATACCAAAACCGGTTCTAGCATCAGATCCACTAAGTAAGTATGCCTTTATGCACATTTTGAATTTTATTTCTAATTTTAGTAGGATTTTGTAATTTTTTGAAAGTTGGTGTTTCTAAATTGGACAATGCCACTAACTACTCAGTGATAAATGTGGATATTTCTGTGTCAATTTCATTCAAATAATAAAATCTATGAATATAATACCTTTCCAATTATTAAGAATTTTGTTCTTTGCCATATTGTCCTTGTTGAGTTAGCACAGATAATGTCCAATAATTCAACAAATATTCAATAGTCAGAAAATCTTGGAAATTCAATGTTTAATGTTTTTCATTTTTTGTTTTTGTTTGTTTGTTTGTTGTTGTTGTTTCCCCTTAAAGGTGAACCTGATCCGCCACGAAAACTTGAAGTTACTGAAATCACGAAGAATAGTGCTACTTTAGGCTGGCTGCCACCACTGCGTGATGGAGGCTCTAAAGTTGATGGGTACATTGTTAGCTACAAAGAAGATGACCAACCAGCAGATCGCTGGACAGAATATTCAGTTGTCAAAGATCTCTCCATTGTTGTAGCTGGTCTGAAAGAGGGAAAGAAGTACAAGTTTAGAGTGGCAGCTAGAAATGCAGTAGGAGTAGGTTTGCCAAGAGAAACCGAAGGAGTATTTGAAATCAAAGAACAACTCAGTAAGTAACAATCTAAATACTATCTGTATTGCAATATTCTGCTTTACTAATGAAACGAGGAAGAATTAGTTCGTTGAATGAGTCCCAGAAAGACATATGCTCTATGAACTCATATGGAGTATTATGTTTAACTGTATTGAATATTTTAACAAATTATAAAAGATGGGAGTTGAGCACTAATTGAGAATTATTATAGAATTCTGTAGGTATTGTTTCAGTTGGAACCAGAAGATAGAAACTAAGGACAAATATAAAATGTCCTTAAACTGAAAATGAAGGAGAAAAAGTGTCAAAATGGTAGTTTGAGACATAAATGGAGCCAAAAGTGGGACCTGTTTTAAGATAAAATGAGTTGTTTATATTGTAGAGTTGGTTGAGAATGTAAAGCAAAAGGCAGGGATGACAAGTTGGCCTAAGTAAGATGTCAGGGTGTCTGAGGCAGAGAAAGAAGTAGGGGTAAGGGGCAGATGAGAAGAACCTACTTTATTTGTGACAATGAAAGAGGAAGGTACAGGAGCAAAAGACAATGAAAACTAGCCAGTAGCAGGAAGAAAAGTGTATACTGCCAAGTTTCTTTTGGAAGAAATCTGAAAGATTTTTTACAAAAGAAGAAGAATAAGAATCCAAGAGTATAAAAGGACTGAATGTGGACATGGGTTTAGTTCTGCGAGAACTTCAGTTTTTCTTCTCCTTTGTGTTTGTCTTGTAGAAAGTGCAAAGAGTTAGCAACAAGTTCTGGATGAGGTATTTTATGTCATGCATTAGTAGTGCAATAGCCCCCACGTAAACATGTGAGAAGGCAATCCAAACTCAAAAATGTTCTCTTACAAAATGTATAAGACTGTAAAAGACTGAAATAGATATTGCCTACTGCAGAATCTCTACTTGTCCATAAGTGGAAGCTAAATTAAAAATTATGAAGTCATTCCTACTGGTGGAGGAAGTCTTTCTTACTACAGAGGGAAGCAGAGAATCTTCACGTGAAAACACAAGAAAAAATCAATATGTCACAGAAGTTGAATTTATATATCTCTATGTGATTTTCTTTCAGTCCCACCTAAGATTCTGATGCCTGATCATGTTCACATCAAAGCTGGAAAGAAACTGAGAATTGAAGCTCATGTATATGGGAAGCCTCAGCCAGTCTGTAAATGGTTGAAAGGAGATGAAAATGTACTTACATCCAGTCGCCTTGCTGTACATAAAGCAGAAAAATCTTCTGTTCTTATCATTAAAGATGTGACTAGAAAAGATTCTGACTTTTACACTCTTACTGCAGAAAATAGCTCTGGTACTGATAGTCAGAAAATCAGAGTGATAGTCATGGGTATGTTTCATTTGATTATTTTTATACCAAAACAATAGCTTTATACAAAACTAGTTTTAGTATATTCCAGTGGTTGCCATGTTCTTTCATCCCTTTTTTATTAATATATTTTTGAACAGATAAACCAGGTCCACCACAGCCTCCATTTGATATTTCTGAAATAGATGCAGATGCTTGCACCCTTGCATGGCATATACCTCTTGAAGATGGTGGCAGTAACATTACAAACTATGTAGTTGAGAAATGTGATGTAAGCCGAGGAGACTGGGTAACAGCTTTAGCTTCTGTCACAAAGACAAGCTGCAGAATTGGAAAACTGATTCCTGGAGAAGAGTATATGTTCCGCGTTCGTGCTGAAAATCGTTTTGGGATTTCTGAGCCACTTACTTCTGGGAAGATGATTGCAAGGTTCCCATTTGGTATGTGAATTGTTGATAGCAACGTTTCTCTTTTTAGTTCTCCCAGTAAGAAAACATGTAATTGATATCTATATTTGTATTTCTTTCTAGATGTTCCTAGTGAACCAAAGAATGCACGTATTACCAAGGTCAATAAGGACTGCATTTTTGTTGCTTGGGATAAACCAGATAGTGATGGAGGCAGTCCAATCACAGGTTATCTCATTGAGCGCAAAGAAAGGAACAGTTTACTGTGGGTGAAAGCTAATGACACAGCTGTGCGCTCCACGGAATACCCTTGTGTGGGGCTCATCGAAGGCCTTGAGTATACTTTCAGAATTTATGCACTGAATAGAGCTGGAGCAAGTAAACCTAGTAAACCAACTGAGTTTGTCACAGCAAGAGCACCAGTTGGTAAGCAAAACACACCAATAAATTGCAGGAGACTACTGTTTTTATGGTCATTTTTAATATACCTTCGATTCTTTATGATCTTCAGTTTGCCCTTATGTTTATATTTTCATGTTTGCCATGAGTGCAGTGTGTGGGTATCCAGTATTATTAAAGTATCCAGTATTATTAACATTGTTTAATATGTTAGCTTTTTTTGCAATACAGATTATAACATGATCTTATTTGCCTTAGATCCCCCCGGAAAACCTGAAGTTATTGATGTCACTAAGAGTACCGCATCACTGATATGGACAAGACCGAAACATGATGGTGGTAGCAAACTTATTGGCTACTTTGTTGAAGCTTGCAAATTACCTGGTGATAAGTGGGTCCGGTGCAATACAACTCCACATCAAATACCCTTAGAAGAGTATACAGCTACTGATTTAGAAGAAAATGCTCAATATCAATTTAGAGCAATTGCTAAAACAGCAGTTAACATTAGCAGACCTTCTGAACCTTCTGATCCAGTGACCATTCATCCAGAAAATGGTAAGAAATACAGAAGCATTTGAGAACTCTGATCAAAGTCTGTATGTATTGAACTAACCCTCATGTGAAGAATGAAATGTTTATCTATTACTGGATTGATTAACTGTTGGGCTTTTACCTTTCAGTTCCCCCCAGAATAGAATTGGATCTGTCTATGCAATCACAGCTTACAGTAAAAGCTGGAACTAATGTGCGTCTGGAGGCAAATGTATATGGCAAGCCAATGCCAGCAATTACCTGGAAGAAAGATGGGGAAGTTTTAAAGCCGTCTGAAGGTGTTAAGATCACCACTAAGAGAAATCTTGCTACAGTTGAGTTGTTCAGTGTTAACAGGAAGCAAACAGGAGACTATACTATTACTGCTGAAAACGCAAGTGGAACAAAGTCAGCAACCATTAAACTTAAAGTACTTGGTATGCTAAAGACTGTTGATAAATTCAGTTATAGTTAAATGATATAGCAAGAGACAGGGCTATAACAATGTGATGTTATTTTTTCTAGATAAGCCTGGTCCTCCAGCCTCTGTTAAAATCAAACATATGTATGCAGATCGTGCAATGCTTTCGTGGGAGCCTCCTCTGGAAGACGGAGGTTCTGAAATTACTAACTACATTGTAGACAAACGTGAAACAAGCAGACCAAACTGGGCCCAAGTCAGTCCCAATGTACCCATTACAAGCTGCACGGTGGAGAAACTCATTGAAGGACATGAGTATCAGTTCCGCATATGTGCTGAAAACAAATATGGTGTTGGAGACCCTATCTTCACTGAACCAGCGGTTGCTAAGAATCCATATGGTAAGTCCTTTGTGAGATAGTTTAATTGGTCATTGGTTTTTTGTATATACTTATGAATGCGAACATAACTTCCAAATAAATCTTCACAGATGTACCTGGACCTTGCGATCCACCAGTAATTAGCAATGTAACGAAAGACTTCATGACTGTTAGCTGGAAGCCACCAGCTAATGATGGTGGATCACCAGTAACTGGTTATATGCTTGAGAAGCGTGAAACTAAGGCTCTTAACTGGACAAAGGTAACCAGAAAGCCTGTCATTGAAAGAACTGTTAAGGCTACTGGACTCCAAGAAGGAACAGAATATGAGTTCCGGGTGATAGCGTTGAATAAAGCTGGACCTGGCAAGCCTAGCGCACCATCTAAAGCAGTGTATGCTCGTGATCCTCAATGTAAGCTAAAAGCCTCAGATATTTTCCATGGTTATTTCTAAATATGTTTGCACAGTATTTGGTACAATAACTTTGTTATTTTAATTCTCAGATCCTCCTGGCCCACCAGCTTTCCCGAAAGTGGTTGATACTACTCGTAATTCAATAAGCCTGTCATGGAGTAAACCAGCATATGATGGAGGAAGTCCTATTATTGGTTATCTAGTGGAAGCAAAAAGAGCTGACACAGACAACTGGGTCAGATGCAATCTACCCAAGAACTTACAGGCTACACAATTTGTGGTAACAGGGCTGATAGAAGATACAGAGTACCAGTTCCGTGTTTATGCTGTTAATAAGATTGGATACAGTGATCCAAGTGATGTTCCTGATAAACACACTGCCAAAGACATTTTAAGTATGTTTACTGAAAACAAATTACCTTATTAACTTCTGTTTGAATTCATGGATGAGTTCCAAAGACAGGGTCTGTCACAGATCACAGAAGCAGATTAATCTGGAATTTTCTCAAACAATGTAGGCTAAAAGTGTCTAAATTGGAGAAGAATTAGGACGGTTAGGAACTGAGGAGAATCTGACTGGTGTCTGCTTTTTTTCTTTTGTATGCTAGATACATTTCCGACTCCTATTTTGGATCCTCAAGAATTTTTTCTTTCTCTAATCCTAAAATCAGACTTTTCAGATCTCACTTCTATTCTTAAAACTTACATTCTTATTCACGTCTTCTAAATAATTTGAAGCAAATATTACTATTCTAAGAATCTGTGTGGCACACTATTTTATTGTATGACACTTAAACCATAAGAGCCATGCTGGCTTTTGTATGCATTTTGCTGTATGTACAAAAGCATTGCTTCACAGAACTGTATTGGTTCAACATAAGCAGTACAGAGTACAATCCAGGAGACTCTGAAATTTCTTTGAATTCTAGAGAAACTATGAGACTTCTTCATATTGTAGGTAATATAAATGGTGGAAAAGGCAGGAAAAAAAATAGTGAAAACAGTGCAAAAAAATGCCGAGTTTGACAATGATCTTGAAACAGGAGTCAGGACACTGACTAATTAACATCATTACAGGAATGAGAACAAGTTGGTCAATACAGTGAAATGCCAGTAAAGAGGGACTTTTTGTTTTGTGATGGTTTTAAAGAATGTGTTTTAATTGCACATTTTTTTTTTGTTAAACACACAGTTCCTCCTGAAGGAGAACTTGATGCAGAACTAAGGAAAGTCCTTGTATTGCGTGCTGGAGTCACAATGAGACTTTATGTGCCGGTAAGAGGACGTCCACCTCCAAAGATTACATGGTCTAAAGTGGGTGCCAACCTAAGAGACAGACAAGGATTAGATATCAAATCGACTGATTTTGATACCTTCCTGCGCTGTGAAAATGTAAACAAATATGATGCTGGAAAATACGTCCTGAGTCTGGAGAACAGCTGTGGCAAAAAGTCATACACTATTGTTGTAAAAGTCCTTGGTAAGTGTTATGGGTTTCCCCATTGTGGTATATTTGTTGACTTTTACTCATGTTTTTGGCTGGTTGGTTGGTTTTGTTGGTTACTAAATCAAATGTGGGGTTGTTGTGGTTATCTAGATACTCCAGGCCCTCCAGTTAACCTGATTGTAAAGGAAGCATCTAAGGATTCTGCCTTCATTACATGGGAACCTCCGCTAATAGATGGTGGCAGTCCAATCACAAATTATGTGGTTGAAAAACGTGATGCAGAAAGAAAGTCATGGTCCACAGTAACCACAGAATGTCCAAAGACAAGCTGCAGGATAACTAACTTAGAAGAAGGCAAATCCTACTTCTTCAGGGTTTTTGCTGAAAACGAATATGGCATTGGTGACCCCTGTGAAACTCGTGATGCTGTTAAAGCTTCTGGTAAGAAAAATTAATCCATTTTGCCTATTTTGGTATTCAGATCATTTTTATTTTTAGCTCAAATGGACACTTACTATGCTTTTCTTCTATCTAGAAACACCTGGACCAGTTGTGGATCTAAAAGCTTCAGCAGTAACAAAATCATCATGCAATTTAGTATGGAAAAAACCTATCAGTGATGGTGGAAGCCGTATTTTTGCATATGTTGTTGAGGTCCTCATTGGTGAAGATAAATGGCAAGAAGTCATGCGGGCAAAGAACCTCCATTTTTCAATGAGAGACCTAAAAGAAGGACAAGAATACACTTTCAGAGTGAGAGCCCAAAATGATGCTGGATATGGAACTCCAAGAGAGCTTACAATTGTGGCAAGAGATGATGTTGGTAAGAAGCAAGATCATTAATTCAGTGCTTCACTTACCCAAATTATATTTCTTTATGTGGTGGGTTGACTGTGGCTGGATACCACATGCCCAGCAAGCCATTTTACCAGTCCCTTTCCTCAACTAGACAAGGGAGAGAAAATGTAACAAAAGGCTTGTGGGTCAAGATAAGGACAGCAAGAGATCACTCATGAATTACCATCATGGCCAAAACAGACTTAGGGAAAAAAGTTCAATTTATTACTCATCAAATCAGGGTAGGATAATGAGAAATAAAACCAAATCTTAAAAACACCTTCCCTGCACCCCTCTCTTCTTCCTGTGCTTAACTTTACTCCTGAATTCTCTAACTCCTCCCCCCAAGTGGTGCAGAGGGAGGGGAATAAGGGTTGTAGTCAGTTCATCACACATTTCTGCTGCTCCTTTCTCCTCAGAGGGAAGACTCCTCATACTCTTCCTCCACTGCTCCAACAGGGGTTCTCTATGAGGGGTTACAGTTCACTACTAACTTTTCCAATGAGAGTTCTTTCCATGGTCAGTAGTTCTTCACAAACTGCTCCAGTGTGGGTCTCTGCCACAGGGTACAGTCCTTCAAGAACAGTCTGCTCCAGCGTGGGTCCCCTGCGGGGTCACAACTCCTGTAGCAAACATGCTCCAGCATGGGCTCCTCTCTCCATGGGGCCACAGGTCCTGACAGGAGCCTGCTCCAGTGCAGGCTTCCCACGAGGTTGTAGTCTCCTTTGGGCATTTGCCTGTTGAGTCCTCCATGGCTGGCTGCAGGTGGATATCTTGGTGTCTGCATAGCCGTTTCTCTTGTATATTCTCACTCCTCCCTCTCCAGCTGCAATTGCTCTTACACAGTAACTTTTTTACCCCTTCCTAAATACATTCTAGGGGTGCTGCCACCACTGCTGATGGGGCTTAGCCTTGGCCAGTGGTGGGTCTGACTTGGAGCTGGCTGGAATTGGCTCTATCAGACATAGGGGAAGCTTCTAGCAACTTCCCACAGAGCCCACCCCTGTAGCTCCATACACTACCAAAACCTATGATAACAAATACAGTTTTATGCTTACCATCATTACTGTGCATACATACAAATCAGACGCCTTTTAAATAACATCTTAATTTTATTACAGAGTTTATACATAGTTGAATAATTGTGGGGTTTTTATTTTTACAGTGGCACCTGATCTTGATTTAAGGGATCTACCTGATTTGTGCTATACAGCTAAAGAGGGTAGCAATTTCCGTCTTAAAATCCCAATTAAAGGCAAGCCTGTCCCATCTGTAACTTGGAAGAAAGGTGAAGACCAGGCACTTACTGAGAGTGGAAGAGTTGCATTTGAATCTACAGCAGTTAACACCACACTTGTAGTACATGACTGCCAGAAAGCTGATGCTGGAAAATACACCATAACTCTGAAGAATGTTGCTGGCAGCAAGGAAGGCACTATTTCTGTGAAAGTTGTTGGCAAACCTGGCATACCAACAGGTCCAGTGAAATTTGAAGAAGTCACAGCTGATGCCATAACCTTAAAGTGGGGCCCTCCAAAAGATGATGGTGGTTCAGAAATCACTAACTATGTCCTAGAGAAGAGAGATAATGTAAACAATAAATGGGTGACTTGTGCCTCCGCAGTGCAGAAAACCACATTTAGAGTTACAAGACTTCATGAAGGAAATGAATATACATTCAGGATCAGGGCTGAAAACAAATATGGAGTAGGTGAAGGTCTTAAATCTGACCCTGTCATTGCAAAACATCCATTTGGTAAGTATCTGTTATAATTTTCAAAACTGAAAAACTCCATGTGGTTTAGGGGTGATATTTATTTTTCATGTTTCATTTTTTTAAATGCTGTTTAGATGTTCCAGATGCTCCTCCACCTCCCAACATTGTTGCTGTGCGGCATGACTCTGTAGCTTTAACTTGGACTGATCCAAGAAGAACTGGAGGCTCACCAATCACAGGTATATACCCAAAAGCCTCCTCGTATTTCAGTCCTTGATAGGTCTTTCTCTCTGTCAAAGGGTAAGATAAAACTACCAGGTGCTTATGCTTTAAATTGATTGATTAATTGATTGATTGATTGTTTTATTGTTTTACTACCTATTTTTTATCCATGATGAAATTTTTAAACTTTAAATTTTAAATTAAAAGTCAGGAAAAGACTAACCGAGAAACAACATTTTTGCACAGAGCCAAAAAGTCTAAAGAAACAAAACCAAACTCACCTATATCTTACATTAATTGGGCCCTTAAAATTAGCAATTTGCATTTGCAAACATCTCGTTGCAATTACATGCATCTGTAGTGTATGTCCACATCCATTTCTTAATCTGTGTTTCAGTGTTCCTCTTGCACAATGCCTATGTGACATGCCATACAGGCAGTATGATGCGTTCACAATGCTGTGAGAAATGACGATTTCTAGAAAACCCCTCATATTTTAATCACACCATTTATCTTCTAGGTTATCACATTGAAGTCAAAGAAAGAAATAGTCTTCTGTGGAAGAGGGCAAATAAAACACCAATAAGAATGAAAGATTTCAGAGTGACAGGATTAACTGAAGGTCTGGAATATGAATTCAGAGTAATGGCGATCAACATGGCTGGAGTAGGTAAACCAAGTCTGCCATCTGAACCAGTTGTGGCACTTGATCCTATTGGTAAGTCATAAGGAAAGTAAAAAGGCAAATTCTGAAATTTGAAATAAGTTTTTTTTGACAACTATTGTTTTGTTTTTTTTTCTTTTAGATCCTCCTGGGAAACCTGAAGTTATCAATGTAACCAGGAACTCAGTAACACTCATTTGGACAGAACCGAAATATGATGGTGGACACAAATTAACTGGTTATATTGTTGAAAAGCGTGATTTACCTTCAAAGAATTGGACAAAAGCTAATCATGTGAATGTTCCAGACTGTGCATTTACTGTAACTGACCTCACTGAAGGCTCCAAATATGAGTTCAGAATTAGAGCAAAGAACACTGCTGGAGCTATCAGTGCTCCATCTGAATCCACAGAAACCATAATATGCAAGGATGAGTATGGTATGTAGATGACATTAAAGATTTAGAATTTTATTTGAATAATTAATATACATTTTTTTTCCTGTTTTCTTATTATAACATCTGGGGTTTTGTGTTTATTTGACAGAGGCACCAAGCATTGTTATTGATCCTACCTTGAAGGAAGGTTTAACAGTAAAAGCAGGGGACACCATTACAGTGTCTGCTATTAGTATCCGTGGCAAACCACCTCCAACTTCAGCATGGTCAAAAGCTGGAAAAGATTTTAGACCTTCAGAGCTTGTGCACATTGAAACCACACCAACTTCTTCTACTCTGTCTGTCAAATACGCAGCCAGAAAAGATTCTGGAGAATACACAATTACTGCAACCAATCCTTTTGGCACTAAGCAGGAGAGCATACATGTGAAAGTTTTAGATGTTCCAGGACCTCCAGGACCTATTGAGATCAGCAATGTTTCAGCAGAAAAAGCAACTCTTACATGGTCACCTCCTGCAGAAGATGGTGGATCACCAGTCAAATCATATGTTCTTGAAAAGAGGGAAACTAGCAGACTGCTCTGGACATTGGTTGCTGAAAATATTGAAAGCTGCAGGCATGTTGTTAGCAAGCTCATTCAAGGAAATGAATATGTTTTCCGTGTCTCAGCAGTAAATCAGTTTGGCAAGGGTGAACCGGTACAATCAGAACCAGTTAAAATGGTGGATAGATTCGGTATGTAGAACAAGCTAAGAGGTTCTGGTGTGCTTTTATTAATCTCTGAAGACTTGATATTTGTTTTAACTACTTTTTTCTCCCTTAATAGGTCCCCCAGGCCCTCCTGGAAAACCAGAAGTAACAAATGTGACTAAAAATACTGTCACAGTTACCTGGAAGAGGCCAGTAGATGATGGTGGAAGTGAAATCACAGGTTACTATGTGGAGAGAAGAGAAAAGAAAGGTTTGAGATGGGTCAGAGCAACAAAGAAACCAGTTTCAGATCTCAGATGCAAAGTAACTGGTCTCCTGGAAGGAAATGAGTATGAATTCCGTGTCAGTGCAGAAAATAGAGCAGGAGTTGGACCACCAAGTGATGCTTCAAAATCAGTCATGTGCAAGGATGTTGCATGTTAGTATCATGCCTTTTCTTTTTTCTGTGGGTGGGTGGCATGGTTAGAGAGGACATTCAGACAGTGTAAGAGTGAGTTCCTGGGTAATGCAATGTTTTATCTTTTGCTCACTTTTCAGACCCACCAGGTCCACCTGCAAATCCAAGAGTGACCGATACTACAAAGACAAGTGCATCTTTAGCCTGGAGCAAGCCCCACTATGATGGTGGTCTTGACATCACTGGCTATATAGTGGAGCATCAAAAGGAAGGAGAAGAAGAATGGGTAAAAGACACAACAGGGACTGCTTTAAGAATCACTCAGTTTGTTGTTGCTCATCTGCAAACAGGAGCCAAATACAATTTCAGAATCTCTGCCATGAATGCTGCAGGTGTTGGTGAACCAGCAATAATTCCAAATGTGGAAATCAAAGACCGTGAAGAAATTCCTGACTTTGAATTAGATGCTGAACTGAGAAGAACACTTGTTGTTAGAGCTGGATTAACTATTCGTATTTTTGTGCCAATTAAAGGGCGTCCAACTCCAGAAGTTACATGGACAAAAGATGATATTTCTCTCAAAGGACGTGCCAGTATTGAAAATACAGATTCTTTTACTCTCTTGATTGTCACAGAGTGCACCAGATATGATGCAGGAAAATACGTAATGACTCTTGAAAATGCTGCTGGTAAGAAAACTGGCTTCGTAAATGTAAAAGTCTTGGATACACCAGGTCCACCAATAAACCTTAAGCCTAGAGAAATAACCAAAGACAGCATCACTCTCCAATGGGATATGCCTCTAATAGATGGTGGTTCACGTATAACAAACTATATTGTTGAGAAACGTGAATCTACTCGGAAAGCATATTCAACAGTCACCACCAACTGCCAAAAGTGCTCCTTCAGGATTACTAATTTGGCTGAGGGGTGTGAATACTATTTTAGAGTGCTGGCTGAAAATGAGTATGGTATTGGTGAACCAGCTGAAACCACAGAGCCCATAAGAGCTTCTGAGGCACCATCCCCACCTGAGAGTCTTAATATTATGGATGTAACACGGAACTCAGTTAGCCTGGCTTGGCCAAAACCAGAACATGACGGTGGCAGTAAGATCACTGGGTATGTAATTGAAGCACAGAGGAAAGGAACAAACCAGTGGGCACACATCACCACTGTAAAAACACTGGACTATGTAGTAAAGAATCTAACTGAAAATGAAGAGTATACTTTCCAGGTTATGGCAGTTAACAGTGCTGGAAGAAGTGCCCCAAGAGAAAGCAGGCCAGTTATTATCAAAGAGCAAACAATGCTACCAGAGTTTGACCTCCGGGGTATCTACCAGAAAACAGTCATTGCCAAAGCTGGTGACAATATAAAGATTGAAATCCCTGTGCTCGGTCGTCCAAGGCCTACTGTGACTTGGAAGAAAGAAGATGAGATACTTAAGCAAACACAAAGAATAAATTATGAAAATACTGCAACTGCTACTATACTAACCATCAACGAATGTAAACGAAGTGATAGTGGTCGATACCCATTATCAGCTAAAAATATTGTTGGAGAAGTTAGTGAAGTAATCACAGTTCAGGTTCATGACATACCTGGACCACCTACTGGACCAATAAAATTCGATGAAATTTCATCTGACTCTCTATCATTCTCATGGGAGCCTCCTTTGAATGACGGTGGTGTACCAATAAGCAACTATGTTGTGGAAATGCGTCAAACTGACAGTACTACATGGACTGAACTGGCAACCACAGTGATACGTACTACATTTAAAGCCATTCGTCTCACTACTGGAGTTGAGTATCAGTTCCGTGTTAAAGCTCAAAACAGATATGGAATTGGTCCAGCCATTACTTCAGAGTCTGTAGTTGCCAACTACCCATTTAAGGTACCTGGGCCTCCTGGAACTCCTCAGGTGATAGCAGTCACCAAAGAAACCATGACCATTAGCTGGAATGAGCCAGTTACTGATGGCGGAAGCCCAATTTTGGGATATCACATTGAAAGAAAAGAACGAAATAGCATTCTTTGGCAGACTGTAAGTAAAATGCTGGTATCAGGCAATATCTTTAAATCAACTGGACTTACTGATGGCATTGCATATGAATTCCGTGTTATAGCAGAAAATCTGGCTGGGAAGAGTAAGCCAAGCAAGCCATCTGAGCCTATGTTTGCCCTAGACCCAATAGATCCACCTGGTAAGCCAATACCTCTGAACATTACAAGACATGCAATTACACTGAAGTGGACTAAACCAGAATATAATGGTGGGTTTAAGATAACTGGCTACACCGTTGAAAAAAGAGACCTTCCTAATGGCCGTTGGCTAAAAGCTAATTTCAGCAATATATTAGAGACTGAATTCACTGTAAGTGGCTTGACAGAAGATGCTGCCTATGAATTCCGTGTGATTGCTAGGAATGCTGGGGGAGCTGTTAGTCAGCCCTCTGAGCCATCAGATGCAATAACTTGTAGAGATGACATTGAAGCACCAAAGATAAAGGTGGATGCTAAATATAAAGACACATTAGTGCTGAAAGCAGGTGAAGTTTTCAGACTTGAGGCTGATGTTTCAGGCCGCCCTCCACCAACTATGACATGGACCAAAGGAGAAAAAGAACTTGAAGACACAGCAAAATTAGAAATTAAAATAGCAGATTTCTCTACTGCTCTCACCAATAGAGACTCTTCAAGAAGAGATGGCGGTGCCTACACACTTACTGCAACAAATCCTGGTGGCTTTGCTAAGCATATCTTCAATGTTAAAGTTCTTGATAGACCTGGCCCCCCAGAAGGACCTTTGGCTGTGTCTGAAGTCACTGCAGAAAAATGTGTGCTGTCATGGCTACCTCCACTGGATGATGGAGGAGCAAAGATTGACCATTATGTGGTTGAAAAACGTGAAACCAGTAGACTGGCATGGACAGCTGTGGCCACAGAAGTTCCAGTAACTAAACTGAAGGTTACTAAGCTGTTGAAGGGCAATGAGTATGTGTTCCGTGTTATGGCTGTTAACAAATATGGAGTTGGTGAGCCTCTGGAATCAGAGCCCATTCTTGCAGTAAATCCATATGTGCCACCTGATCCACCTAAAACACCTGAAGTTACAGCAATTACAAAAGATTCTATGGTTGTCTGTTGGGGCCATCCTGATTCTGATGGTGGGAGCCCAATAACTAACTATATTGTGGAACGTCGAGACAGGGCTGGTCTACGGTGGGTGAAGTGTAATAAAAGGGTTGTTACTGACTTACGTTATAAAGTGTCTGGACTGACAGAAGGTCATGAGTATGAATACAGAGTCATGGCTGAAAATGCTGCTGGTGTCAGTGAGCCAAGTCCAACCAGTCCATTCTATAAAGCCTGTGATACTGTATTTAAGCCTGGCCCCCCAGGTAATCCTCGTGTTTTGGACAGCAGCAAGTCTTCAATTACAATAGCATGGAACAAACCAATATATGATGGTGGTTCAGAGATCACAGGTTACATGGTTGAGATAGCACTACCTGAAGAAGATGAGTGGAAGATTGTAACTCCACCAATAGGTCTAAAGGCCACGTCTTTTACCATCACTAACCTAAAAGAAAATCAAGAGTATAAAATACGAATATATGCTATGAACTCTGAAGGTCTTGGAGAACCTGCTCTTGTTCCTGGTACTCCAAAAGCTGAAGAGAGAATGCTACCTCCAGAGATTGAACTTGATGCAGAGCTGCGTAAAGTTGTCACTATTAGAGCCTGCTGTACTCTACGGCTCTTTGTCCCAATTAAAGGAAGACCAGCACCTGAAGTAAAATGGACAAGAGAACATGGAGAATCTTTGGATAGAGCAAGCATTGAATCAACAAGTTCTTATACTCTACTTATTGTTGAAAATGTAAATAGATTCGATAGTGGCAAATACATACTGACAGTTGAAAACAGCTCAGGTAGTAAGTCAGCATTTGTGAACGTCAGAGTCCTTGATACCCCAGGGGCACCTCAAGATTTGAAAATAAAAGAAGTTACAAAGTCATCAGTTACACTCACATGGGAGCCTCCTGTCATAGATGGTGGCTCTAAAATAAAAAATTACATTGTTGAAAAACGTGAATCAACAAGAAAAGCTTATTCTACTGTTAATGCCAATTGCCACAAGACCAGCTGGAAAGTCGATTCACTGCAAGAAGGCTGCAACTACTACTTCAGAGTCCTAGCTGAAAATGAGTATGGCATAGGCCTTCCAGTTGAAACTTCAGAATCTGTAAAAGTATCAGAAAGACCACTTCCACCAGGGAAAATAACTTTGCTGGATGTGACAAGCAATAGTGTATCTTTATCTTGGGAAAAACCTGAACATGATGGTGGTAGCAGAATTCTGGGCTACATTGTAGAAATGCAAAGCAAAGGCAGTGAAAAGTGGTCAACTTGTGCTACAGTAAAAGTTACTGAAGCCACTATCACAGGACTGATCCAAGGTGAAGAATACACCTTCCGTGTTTCAGCTCAGAATGAGAAAGGTATCAGCGATCCTCGTCAGCTGGGTATACCAGTTGTTGCAAAAGACCTTGTGATTCCACCAGCTTTCAAATTACTGTTTACCACTTTCAGTGTTCTAGCAGGAGAGGACTTAAAGGTTGATGTTCCTTTTGTTGGTCGACCCAAACCAGCAGTGTTTTGGCATAAAGATGATATTGCATTGAAGCAGACTACAAGAGTAAATGCAGAAAGTTCAGAAAATAACACAGTGTTAACAATAAAAGAAGCATGCAGAGATGATGTGGGGACATACTTAGTTAAACTTACAAACTCTGCAGGTGAGGCAACTGAGACCCTAAATATTGTTGTCCTTGACAAACCAGGACCCCCAACTGGACCAGTAAAAGTAGACGAAGTAACAGCAGATAGTATCACCATTTCCTGGGAACCACCTAAGTATGATGGCGGTAGCTCTATCAGTAATTACATTGTAGAAAAAAGAGACACGTCAACCACAACTTGGCAGATGGTGTCAGCTACTGTTGCAAGAACAACTATAAAAGCATGTCGATTAAAGACTGGATGTGAATATCAATTCAGAATCGCAGCTGAGAATAGATACGGGAAGAGTACCTATCTCACTTCAGAGTCAATTGTAGCCCAGTATCCATTTAAAGTTCCCGGTCCACCTGGAACACCTTTTGTAACAAACGTCTCAAAAGACAGCATGGTGGTACAGTGGAATGAACCAGTCAATGATGGTGGCAGCAAGATCATTGGGTATCACTTGGAGCGCAAAGAAAGAAACAGTATTCTCTGGGCTAAACTGAATAAAACACCTATTCCAGATACCAAATTTAAGACAACTGGACTTGAGGAAGGTCTCGAATATGAGTTCAGAGTTTATGCAGAAAACATAGTGGGCATTGGAAAGGCCAGTAGAGCATCTGAATGCTATACTGCACATGACCCATGTGACCCTCCAGGTCGTCCAGAACCTATAATTGTCACAAGAAGCTCAGTAACACTTCAGTGGAAGAAACCTGTATATGACGGTGGAAGTAAGATCACAGGCTATGTTGTTGAAAAGAAGGAGCTACCTGATGGTCGTTGGATGAAAGCAAGCTTTACAAATGTCATTGATACCCAATTTGAAGTAACTGGTCTAGTTGAAAACCAGAGGTATGAGTTCCGTGTTATAGCACGAAATGCTGCAGGTGTTTTCAGCGAACCATCTGAGAGCTCAGGGGCAATTACAGCAAGAGATGAAGTAGAACCACCTCAGATAAGTATGGATCCAAAATACAAAGACACAATTGTAGTGAATGCTGGTGAGTCATTCAAGCTTGAAGCTGATGTTCATGGCAAACCAATACCTTCCATTCAGTGGTTAAAAGGTGATCGTGAGCTGGCAAACACTGCTCGTATGGAAATAAAAAGTACTGATTTCACAACAAGCCTTAGTGTGAAGGAAGCCATTAGAGTTGACAGTGGTCAGTATGTATTACTGGCAAAGAATGTTGCAGGTGAAAAGAAAGTTCCTGTTAATGTCAAAGTTCTTGATAGACCTGGACCACCAGAAGGACCCATTGAGATTACAGGCGTTACTGCTGAAAAATGCATGTTGTCATGGCAGCCTCCACTACAAGATGGTGGTAGCGATATTTCACACTATGTTGTAGAAAAAAGAGAAACCAGTCGCTTGGTGTGGACGGTCATTGATTCAAATGTGCAAACCCTAAATTGCAAAGTTACAAAACTTTTAGAAGGAAATGAGTATGTTTTCCGCATCATGGCAGTCAATAAATATGGTGTTGGTGAGCCTCTCGAGTCTGAACCAATAATTGCAAAGAACCCATTCGTAGTGCCACTTCCACCAAAGGCACCAGAAGTAACCGCCATTACCAAGGATTCTATGATAGTTGTATGGGAAAGGCCAGCCTCAGATGGTGGTAGTGAAATCCTAGGTTATGTCCTTGAAAAACGAGATAAGGAAGGTATTCGCTGGACAAGATGTAACAAACGCCTGATAAGTGAACTGCGATACAGAGTGACTGGGCTTATAGAAAATCATGATTACGAGTATAGAGTTTCAGCTGAAAATGCTGCAGGTCTTAGTGAGCCAAGCCCACCTTCCATTTACTACAAAGCATGTGATCCTATTTACAAGCCAGGTCCACCCAATAATCCTAAAGTTGTGGATGTTACAAGGTCTTCAGTTTTCCTTTCATGGGGTAAACCCATCTATGATGGTGGCTCTGAAATTCAGGGATACATTGTGGAAAAATGTGATGTAAGCGACAGTGAATGGGCAATTTGTACCCCTCCAACTGGAATTAAGAATACTCACATGGAAGTAGAAAAATTGGTGGAAAAACATGAATACAAGTTCCGCATATGTGCAGTTAATAAAGCAGGAGTTGGAGAGCATGCAGATGTTCCTGGTACTGTTATTGTTGAAGAAAAGATGGAAGCACCAGACCTTGACCTTGACATGGAATTAAGGAAGATTGTAAATGTGAGGGCAGGAGGTTCCTTAAGACTGTTTGTTCCCATCAGAGGTCGTCCAACACCTGAAGTAAAATGGGGTAAAATGGATGGTGACATCAGAGAGGCAGCTATTATTGATACCACTAGCAGTTTTACTTCCCTTGTTTTAGACAACGTTAACAGATTTGATACTGGAAAGTATACTCTGACTTTAGAGAACAGCAGTGGAACAAAGTCTGCCTTTGTCAGTGTAAGGGTACTGGATACCCCAAGTGCACCTGTTAATTTAAAAATCAGAGAAATTACTAAAGACTCTGTTTCACTTTCGTGGGAGACTCCTCTCTTGGATGGTGGAGCAAAAATAAAGAATTACATTATTGAAAAGCGTGAAGCAACAAGAAAGGCGTATGCAGCTGTTGTAACAAACTGCCATAAGACTTCATGGAAAGTAGATCAACTTCAGGAGGGCTGCTATTACTTCTTTAGAATCTCTGCTGAGAATGAGTATGGAATTGGCCTCCCTGCAGAAACCAGTGACCCAATTAAAGTTGCTGAAGTTCCACAGCCTCCTGGGAAAATAACAGTGGATGATGTCACAAGAAACAGTGTCTCACTAAGCTGGGAAAAACCTGAACATGATGGTGGCAGCAAAATCATACAATACATTGTTGAAATGCAAGCAAAGGGTAGTGAGAAGTGGTCAGAGTGTGCTCGTGTGAAAACGCTTGAAGCAGTCATTACTAACCTAACTCAAGGGGAAGAATATCTTTTTAGAGTAATGGCTGTGAATGAAAAGGGTAAGAGTGATCCTAGAGCACTTGCAGTTCCAATAGTTGCCAAAGACCTGGTGATTGAACCTGATGTAAGACCTGCTTTTCATAGTTATAGTATCCAAGTGGGACAAGATCTGAAAGTAGAAGTACCAATTGCGGGTCGACCTAAACCAACTGTAACCTGGGTAAAAGATGGCCAGCCATTAAGGCAGACAACAAGAGTCAATGTTAGTGATTTGACTGACCTCACTATACTGAATATTAAAGAAACTAGCAAAGAGGACAGTGGCACTTATGAAATCACTGTGGCTAATGTTGTTGGGCAGAAGTCTGCTTCTGTTGAAATTATAACTCTAGATAAACCTGACCCTCCAGTAGGACCTGTTAAGTTTGATGAAATAAGTGCAGAAAGTATTACCCTATCGTGGAATCCCCCAGCTTATACAGGTGGCTGCCAGATCACCAACTATATTGTTCACAAGAGAGATACAACCACCACTGTATGGGAAACTGTTTCAGCTACCGTCGCAAGAACTACACTGAAGGTGACTAAACTGAAAACTGGTTCAGAATATCAGTTCAGAATATTTGCTGAGAACAGGTATGGGCAGAGCTTTGCACTGGATTCTGCACCAGTTGTAGCACAGTACCCCTACAAGGAACCAGGACCTCCTGGCACGCCATTTGTGACAATTGTTACAAAAGACTCCATGGTTGTACAGTGGCATGAACCGATAAATGATGGTGGCAGTAGAGTGTTGGGCTACCATCTCGAGAGAAAGGAGAAAAACAGCATTTTATGGGCTAAAGTCAACAAGACTATTATTCAGGACACAAGCTTTAAGACAACTAACCTTGAAGAAGGAATCGAATACGAGTTTCGAGTTTCTGCAGAAAATATTGTTGGTGTAGGCAAAACAAGTAAAGTGTCTGAGTGCTATGTAGCTCGTGACCCATGTGATCCTCCAGGTCGCCCAGAAGCTATAATAATAAAAAGAAGTTCTATTACTCTACAGTGGACCAAACCAGAATATGATGGTGGAAGTAAGATTACTGGTTATATTGTAGAAAAGCGTGACTTACCAGATGGTCGCTGGATGAAAGCTAGCTTCACAAATATCATTGAAACTCAGTTCACTGTAACAGGGCTTACTGAAGACCAAAGATATGAATTTAGAGTAATTGCAAAGAATGCTGCAGGTGCCATAAGCAAACCTTCTGACAGTACAGGACCAATAACAGCAAGGGATGAAGTTGAACTTCCACGTATTTCAATGGATCCAAAATACAAAGACACAATTGTTGTAAATGCTGGTGAAACATTCAGACTTGAGGGTGATGTTCATGGCAAACCACTGCCAACTATTAAGTGGTACAAAGGAGATAAAGAGCTTGAGGAAACTGCTAGGTATGAAATCAAGAACACAGATTTCAGTGCATTAATTATTGTAAAAGATGCTATTAGAGTTGATGGTGGACAGTACATTTTAGAAGCCTCTAATGTTGCAGGAACAAAGACAGCAACAGTAAATGTGAAAGTCTTGGACAGGCCAGGACCTCCAGAGGGCCCAGTCCAAGTGACAGGAGTCACAGCTGAAAAATGTTCATTAGCATGGGCTCCTCCTCTTCATGATGGTGGCAGTGATATTTCTCACTACATTGTAGAGAAGAGAGAAACTAGTCGCCTAGCATGGACTGTTGTTGCTTCGGAGGTTTTACCTACAATGCTGAAAGTAACAAAACTCTTGGAAGGAAATGAGTATGTTTTCCGTATTATGGCAGTTAACAAATACGGGGTTGGTGAGCCATTAGAATCTGTGCCAGTAATGATGAAAAATCCGTTTGTGGTTCCTGGACCACCAAAGGCCTTGGAAATTACTAACATTACAAAGGATTCTATGACTGTCTGCTGGACCCGGCCAGACAGTGACGGAGGTAGTGAAATCATAGGTTACATTGTAGAAAAGAGAGACCGAGCAGGCATCAGATGGATAAAATGCAATAAACGCAGGATTACAGATTTGCGATTAAGAGTTACAGGCTTAACAGAAGATCATGAATATGAATTCAGAGTTTCTGCTGAAAATGCTGCTGGAGTGGGTGAACCAAGTCAAGTTTCTCCCTACTTTAAAGCTTGTGACCCCATGTTCAAGCCTGGCCCACCTACAAATGCCCATGTTGTGGATACAACCAAAAGTTCAGTTACACTTGGCTGGAGTAAACCTATTTATGATGGTGGTTGTGAGATCCAGGGATACCTTGTAGAAATCTGTAAAGCTGATGAAGATGAATGGTCACTTGTTACTCCACAGACAGGTATACGTGCCACTCGGTTCGAAATCAAAAAGCTTACCGAACATCAAGAATATAAATTACGAGTGTGTGCCCTCAACAAGATTGGTGTAGGAGAGGCTGCATCAGTTCCTGGTACTATTAAGCCTGAAGACAAACTTGAAGCTCCAGAACTTGATATTGATTCAGAGCTAAGGAAAGGGATAGTGGTTAGAGCTGGTGGGTCTGCTAGAATTCACATACCATTCAGGGGGCGACCAACACCTGACATCATGTGGTCTCGAGAAGAGGGTGAATTCACAGAAAAAGTTCAGATTGACAAAGGCATAAACTACACACAACTTTCAATTGACAACTGTGATAGAAATGATGCTGGCAAGTACATTCTTAAGCTGGAGAACAGCAGTGGTTCTAAATCAGCATTTGTTACGGTGAAAGTCTTGGACACACCAGGAAGACCTCAAAACTTAGTGGTAAAGGATATAAAGAAGGATTCTGCTGTATTATCTTGGGAACCACCCATTATCGATGGTGGTTCAAAGATAAAGAACTATGTAATAGACAAGCGTGAGTCAACCAGGAAGGCATTTGCAAATGTAAGTGCTAAGTGTGGCAAGACAAGTTTCAAAGTTGAAAATCTTACAGAAGGAGCAATTTACTACTTCAGAGTTATGGCTGAAAATGAATTTGGAATTGGTGTTCCAGCTGAAACCAAAGATGCTGTCAAAGCCTCAGAACCACCTCTGCCCCCTGGGAAAGTAACACTCACTGATGTGACTCAGAGAAGTGCATCGATTACATGGGAAAAACCTGAACATGATGGAGGTAGCAGAATTTTGGGATATATTGTTGAAATGCAGCCTAAAGGAACAGAAAAATGGAGTGTTGTTAGTGAGACCAAAACATGCAATGCAGTTGTGTCTGGTTTGAGTCCAGAACAAGAATACCAATTCCGTGTGATTGCCTACAATGAAAAAGGCAAAAGCGACCCCAGAGCCCTTGGAATTCCTGTGATAGCTAAAGACTTGACAATTGAGCCAAGTTTCAAACTGATGTTTAATACCTACAGTGTACAGGCTGGAGAAGATCTGAAGGTAGAAGTACCATTTATAGGTAGACCTAAACCAACTATTACTTGGACAAAAGATGAGCAGCCACTGAAACAGACAACTAGATTACATATTCAGGACACATCAACATCAACTATCTTAAATATTAAAGAAAGCAACAAGGAAGACTTTGGTAAATATACAGTAACAGCAACAAACACAGCAGGTATGGCAACAGAGCAGCTGAGCATAATTGTACTGGAAAAGCCTGGCCCACCACGAGGGCCTGTACACTTTGACGAAGTTAGTGCGGATTTTGTTGTTTTATCATGGGATCCACCTGATTATACTGGTGGCTGTCAGATAAGCAACTACATAGTAGAAAAGCGTGACACAACCACTACCACATGGAGCATTGTGTCAGCAACTGTTGCCAGAACAACTATCAAAGCAACAAAGCTTAAAACGGGTTCTGAATACCAGTTCAGGATTTCTGCTGAAAACAGATATGGGAAGAGCTCTCCTTTGGATTCTAAACCAGTTGTTGTGCAATACCCCTACAAGGTGCCTGGGCCACCTGGAACCCCATTTGTAACTGCAGCTTCCAAGGACCATATGATCGTAGAATGGCATGAACCAGTTAATGATGGAGGAAGCAAAGTTCTAGGCTACCATCTTGAACGTAAAGATAAGAATAGCATTCTTTGGACAAAACAGAACAAGTCACTCATTGCAGATACCAAATATAAAACAGATGGCCTTGAAGAAGGTCTTGAGTATGAATTCAGAGTTTCTGCTGAAAATATTGTTGGCATTGGCAAAGTAAGCAAAGTATCAGAATTGTATGTTGCCCGAGATCCTTGTGACCCACCTGGCCGCCCAGAGGCTATTGTTGTTACAAGAAATAATATCACACTGAAATGGAAAAAACCAGAGTATGATGGTGGAAGCAAAATAACAGGATATATTGTAGAAAAGAAAGAACTACCAGATGGTCGCTGGATGAAAGCCAGCTTTACAAATGTGTTGGAAACAGAATTTACAGTAAGTGGTCTTGTTGAAGACCAACGGTATGAATTTAGAGTAATTGCAAGAAATGCAGCAGGTTGCTTGAGTGAACCGTCTGAAAGTACAGGGCCCATTACTGCCAGAGATGAAATTGAAGCACCAGGGGCTTCACTGGATCCTAAATACAAAGATGTCATTGTTGTTCATGCTGGAGAAACCTTTGTTCTTGAAGCTGATATCCATGGCAAACCTATTCCTGACATTTCATGGTCAAAAGATGGTAAAGATCTTGAAGAAGCAACTGCGAGAATGGAAATCAAATCTACTATTCAGAAAACAATTCTTACTGTCAAAGACTGTATAAGAGTAGATGGAGGTCACTATACTCTTAACCTCAAAAATGTTGGTGGCACAAAATCCATACCAATCACTGTTAAAGTGCTTGACAGGCCAGGACCTCCAGAAGGACCTTTGAAGGTTACAGGTGTCACTGCAGAAAAATGCTACTTGGCATGGGCACCACCTTTACATGATGGCGGCTCTAGTATCTCACATTATATCATCGAGAAGAGAGAGACAAGCAGGCTTTCATGGACACAAGTAGCAACAGAAGTGCAGGCTCTTAACCACAAAGTAACCAGACTCCTTGCTGGCAATGAGTACATTTTCCGTGTAATGGCAGTGAACAAATATGGAATTGGAGAACCCTTGGAATCTGAGCCAATTGTGGCTCGTAATCCATACAAACCACCTGGTCCTCCTTCAATGCCTGAAGTTTCAGCAATCACAAAAGATTCAATGGTGGTAACGTGGGGTCGCCCAGAAGACAATGGGGGAGCTGAAATTGAAGGTTACATACTTGAAAAACGAGACAAAGATGGCATCCGGTGGACCAAATGCAATAAGAAAAGGCTGACAGACTTGCGACTCAGAGTAACAGGTCTTACTGATGGGCATTTCTATGAATTTAGAGTTTCTGCTGAAAATGCTGCAGGGGTAGGGGAACCCAGTGAGCCATCCATTTTCTATCGAGCTTGTGATATATTATATCCACCAGGTCCACCAAGCAATCCAAAGGTTACAGACACTTCCAGGTCATCAGTTTCCCTTGCCTGGAGTAAGCCCATATATGATGGTGGTGCTCCAGTTAAGGGATATGTAGTAGAAGTAAAAGAAGCTGCCGCTGATGAATGGACTACCTGCACCCCACCAACAGGCCTACAAGCAAAACAATTCACTGTAACAAAACTTAAAGAGAACCAGGAATATAACTTCCGCATCTGTGCCATCAACTCAGAGGGAGTAGGAGAACCTGCTACTATACCTGGTACAGTCATAGCAGCAGACAAGATTGAACCTCCTGAAATTGAACTTGATGCAGATCTCAGAAAAGTAGTCACTGTACGTGCTAGTGGTACATTACGCCTGTTTGTCACCATCAAAGGAAGACCAGAACCTGAAGTTAAATGGGAGAAAGCAGAAGGAAGAATTAGCGAGCGAGCTCAGATTGAAGTCACCAGTTCCTATACAATGCTGGTCATTGACAATGTGAATAGATTTGATAGTGGCAGATACAATCTTACTTTAGAGAACAACAGTGGGAAAAAATCAGCTTTCGTTAATGTCAGGGTGCTTGATACACCTAGTGCTCCTATAAACCTGACAATCAGAGAAGTGAAGAAAGATTTTGTAACGTTAGCCTGGGAACCACCACTTATTGATGGTGGAGCTAAAATTACCAACTATGTAGTTGAAAAGCGAGAATCCACAAGAAAGGCATATGCCACTGTTACAAACAACTGCATTAAGAATTCCTTCAAAGTTACTCAACTACAAGAAGGATGTAGTTATTACTTCCGTGTTCTAGCAGTAAATGAATATGGGGTTGGTCTACCAGCAGAAACACCTGACCCAGTTAAGGTTTCTGAACCACCTTCACCACCTGCGAAGGTCATTCTTGTTGACGTGACTCGCAATTCTGCTTCAATTAAATGGGAAAAGCCAGAGAGTGATGGTGGTAGTAAAATCACTGGTTATATAGTAGAAATGCAAACTAAAGGAAGTATAAAATGGAGTGCATGTACCCAGGTGAAAACCTTAGAAGCAACAATAACAGGCTTAAGTATGGGAGAAGAGTACAGTTTCAGAGTGATTGCTGTTAATGAAAAAGGAAAAAGTGATCCAAGAGAGCTTGGTGTCCCTGTCATTGCAAAAGATATTGAAATCCAGCCATCTGCTGAGCTCCTTTTCAATACATTCACTGTAAAAGCCGGAGATGATCTTAAGATTGATGTGCCATTCAGAGGGCGACCACTTCCAACTGTTAGCTGGAAGAAGGATGGGAATCCCTTGAAAGAGACAACCAGAGTAAATATTCATACTTCAAAGACTTCAACTTCACTGTCCATCAAGGAAGCTTCAAATGAAGATTTGGGACATTATGAATTACATCTTTCAAATACTGCTGGATCAACAACAGCTTCTTTAACTGTAGTTGTCCTTGACAGACCAGGACCACCAACTGATGTGCATATTGACGAAGTTAGTGCTGATAGTGTAACTCTGTCTTGGAAAGCTCCAGCATATGATGGTGGGTGCCATATTAGCAATTATGTTGTGGAGAAGCGAGAAACCACCACAACAACGTGGAGTGTAGTATCTGCAGCAGTTGCAAGAACATCAATTAAAGTATCTCAACTCAGCACTGGGTCTGAATATCAGTTCCGTATTTGTGCAGAAAACCGCTATGGGAAAAGCACTTACACAAATTCTTCTTCTGTTGTGGCAGAGTATCCATTTAAGCCTCCAGGACCACCAGGAACTCCTCATGTGGCACATGCAACTAAAGCTTTCATGATCGTAACTTGGCAGGTACCAGTTAATGATGGAGGTAGCAGAGTACTAGGATATCACTTGGAACGTAAAGAAAGAAGCAGCATTCTTTGGACAAAAGTCAACAAAAGCCTTATACCTGATACACAAATGAAAGTTACAGGACTTGATGAAGGGCTGCTGTATGAATATCGTGTTTACGCTGAAAACATTGCTGGAATAGGCAAATGCAGTAAGTCATGTGAGCCAGTTGCTGCAAGAGATCCATGTGATCCTCCTGGTCAACCAGAAGTTACTAATATTACAAGAACATCTGTCTCACTGAAGTGGACTAAACCAGAATATGATGGTGGAGCTAAAGTAACAGGATACATTATTGAACGCAGAGAGATACCAGACGGTCGGTGGCTGAAATGTAATTTTACTAATGTACAAGAAACATATTTTGATGTAGGTGGACTTACAGAAGACCAGAGATATGAATTCCGTGTGATTGCAAAGAATGCTGCTGGACTTTTCAGTCAGCCATCTGAATCAACTGGACCTGTGACTGTAAAAGATGATGTGGAGGCTCCAAGAATTATGATGGATGCCAAATTCAGGGACGTTGTAGTTGTGAAAGCTGGAGAAGTGTTTAAGGTCAATGCTGATGTTGCAGGACGGCCAATACCGGTGATTTTGTGGACAAAGGATGGCAAGGAGCTTGAAGGAAAAGCTAGAGTTGAAATAGCCTCAACAGATTACACTACTGCAATAACTGTTAAGGACTGTATCCGAGGTGATTCAGGACAGTATTTACTAACATTACAGAATGTTGCAGGAACAAAATCTTTGGCAATTACCTGCAAAGTGCTTGATAGACCTGGCCCACCTGCAGGCCCATTAGAAATACATGGCCTTACTGCTGAAAAGTGCCACTTATCATGGGGACCTCCTCAAGAAAATGGTGGTGCAGATATTGATTATTATATTGTAGAAAAACGTGAGACCAGCAGACTTGCATGGACCCTTTGTGAAGGAGAGCTTAGAACAACATCCTGTAAAGTGACGAAACTACTGAAGGGTAATGAGTATATTTTCAGAGTGATGGGAGTTAACAAATATGGTGTTGGTGAGCCTCTGGAAAGTGTTGCTGTCAAAGCCCTAGACCCATTTACAGTTCCAAGTCCACCTACATCTCTAGAGATCACCAGTGTGAGCAAAGATTCAATAACTCTGTGTTGGGCAAGACCTGAGTCTGATGGAGGTAATGAGATCTCTGGCTATGTAATTGAAAGACGTGAGAAAACTAGCTTAAGATGGATTCGTGTAAACAAAAAGCCAGTTTATGATTTAAGAGTGAAATCATCTGGTCTCCGTGAAGGATGTGAATATGAATTCCGGGTTTATGCAGAAAATGCTGCTGGCCTCAGTCTTCCAAGTGAAACCACACCATTGATTAAGGCAGAAGATCCAATCTTCTTGCCATCTCCCCCATCTAAGCCTAAGATTATGGATTCTACAAGGTCAAATATCACAATTGGGTGGACAAAGCCACTGTTTGATGGAGGTGCTCCAGTAACGGGATACACAGTTGAATACAAGAAAACTGATGAAACTGATTGGACCACTGCTGTTCAGAACTTAAGAGGCACAGAATACACTGTATCTGGATTAGTGTCAGGCTCTGAGTACATCTTTAGAGTGAAATCCATTAACAAAATTGGTGTCAGTGAACCAAGTGATGTCTCAGAACCTCAGCTGGCAAAAGAAAGAGAAGAAGAACCTGCCTTTGATATTGACAGTGAAATGCGGAAGACTTTAATTGTAAAGGCTGGTGGATCATTCACAATGACTGTTCCTTTCAGGGGCAAACCAGCCCCAAATGTAACATGGAACAAACCAGACACTGATCTCCGTATACGAGCAAGCATTGATACTTCAGATAGTTGCACATCTCTTACTATTGAAAAAGCAACAAGAAATGATTCTGGAAAATACACTTTAACATTGCAAAACATCCTGAACACTGCTACCTTGACTTTAATTGTCAAAGTTCTTGATACTCCTGGCCCACCATCTAATATTGCAGTAAAAGAAGTAACTAAAGAATCTGCTGTGTTATCTTGGGATGTTCCTGAAAATGATGGTGGAGCACCTGTGAGGAACTATGTTATTGAAAAACGAGAAGCTAGCAAAAAAGCGTGGGTCACTGTGACAAACAATTGTCATCGCCTGTCCTACAAAGTGACTGGCTTGCAAGAAGGTGCCATTTACTACTTCCGGGTTTCTGGAGAAAATGAATACGGTGTTGGAGCGCCTTCTGAGACCAAGGAAGGCACAAAAATAACAGGTGAGTGTTTCTAAGAAAAATATTTTTAATATTTAAAGCAAAATGTGTCTCAAAATGTTTACTTCAAAATAATAGAAGCAGCTTTAAATCTATTCACAGCAAAAGGATATTTTTGTGCTAGGTATGTTTGTGGTTTTACAAATGAAAAACAGCTAAGAAATAGCTTAAATTTTAATCTTGCTTGCATTTTACTTAAAATGTCTCTAATGTACAAATTATTTCAACACACATTTTCTCAATCCAGATGGTACTCCTGTGTAATTGCTAATATAAAATGTAAATACTTGCTATATTATTTAATCTGTTGCACATTTTTTTCTCTCAGAAAAACCCAGCCCACCAGAAAAACTTGGAGTAACAAATGTCACAAAGGACAGCGTTTCTCTTTCATGGCTAAAACCAGAACATGATGGTGGAAGCAGAATTGTGAGCTATCTGGTTGAAGGTCTTGAGAAAGGACAGCAAAAATGGGTTAAGTTTGCAGTTGTGAAGACAACTCATCATGTTGTTCGTGGTCTTAAGGAGAATGTTGACTATTTCTTCAGAGTGTCTGCAGAAAACCAAGCTGGTTTAAGTGATCCTAAGGAACTATTGGTCCCTGTTACAGTTAAAGAACAATTAGGTATGTTTCCTGACAAAAGACAAGGGTTGATACACATGAAATCGGATTCATATTTAAAAAGAATGAAATTTCTTAATGGTTTGAAAATGTTTTCTCTTTCAGAATCTCCTGAGATTGACATGAAGGGCTTCCCTCATAACACTGTATATATTCGAGCGGGATCAAACCTGAAAGTTGAAATTCCAGTTTCTGGAAAACCAGTGCCAAAGGTGACATTGTCTAGAGATGGTGCTCCACTGAAACCTACCATGAGATTTCACACAGAAACCACTGCAGATAGTCTCATCATTAACCTTAAAGAAAGTGTGGCTGCTGATGCTGGAAGATATGACATTACTGCTGCCAACTCAAGTGGCACCACAAAATCATTTGTTAATATTGTTGTGCTGGATAGACCAGGTCCTCCTGTTGGTCCTGTTGTCCTTAGCGATATCACTGAAGAGAGTGTAATACTCAGATGGCAGCCTCCAGCTTATGATGGTGGTAGTCAAGTTACCAACTATATTGTACTGAAAAGAGAAACGAGTACTGCTGCTTGGTCTGAAGTGTCTGCAACTGTTGCTAGAACTGTTATTAAAGTTATGAAGCTCACAACAGGAGAAGAATACCAATTCCGCATCAAAGCTGAGAACCGCTTTGGCATCAGTGATCACATAGACTCACAATGTGTGGTTGTTAAGCTTCCTTACAGTGAGTAATATGCTTCTCATGCTATAGGTCAATGTTTAAATGCTCTGATGTTTAAAATATTATTGTTAATAATTAAACACTTCTTTTTATGTCATCAGCTACCCCTGGACCTCCTTCCACACCATGGGTCACACATGTAACCCGAGAGAGTATTACTGTTGGATGGCATGAACCAGTCACTAATGGTGGTAGTGCAGTCACTGGATACCACCTGGAAATGAAAGACAGGAATAGCATATTATGGCAGAAGGCTAACAAAACTCTCATTCGCACAACTCACTTCAAAGTCACCACCATAAGTGCTGGCCTTATCTATGAATTTAGGGTTTATGCAGAAAATGCAGCTGGCATTGGAAAAGCAAGCCATGCTTCTGATCCAGTCCTTGCAATTGATGCTTGTGGTATGTATGTCCTAGAAAATAAAGAAGCCCAACCATTTAAGTAGTGTTTTGTTTTTGTTTGGTTGGGGTTTCAGCTCCCCCCAGTCCCCACCGTGATATACTGTCAGGTACAGTAAGCCAATATCCAAAACAGCTGTTATTCATTAGCAATACTGTGTTGTTTCCTACTGCAGAACCACCAAGAAATGTTCGTGTCTCAGATATTTCCAAGACTGCTATCACTCTAACATGGAAGAAGCCAGCATTTGATGGTGGTAGCAAGATCACTGGATACATCGTAGAAAAACGTGATCTTCCAGATGGCAGATGGACAAAAGCTAGCTTCACCAATGTTATTGAGACTCATTTCACAATATCTGGTCTGACACAGAATTCCCGGTATGAATTCCGGATCTTTGCTAAGAATGCTATTGGTTCCATTAGTAACCCCTCAGATGTTGTGGGTCCTATCACATGTGTGGATACATATGGTAAGTGTTTTTGCAATGCTGTAACAGTACTATTTTGTGGTAGTAGCGGTAGGAAGCTTAAAGGCAGTGCTGTTTTGTAGAACCATATTCTTTTTAAATATGGAAGGTTACTTTACAGTGATTGATTGATTCGATAAGCTTGAATATCTGTGAGCTATTTGGACATGATTGTAATGAACACCTTTGGCTGTATCTGTGCTCTTAAAGTCTCATCATAGAATAGAATCGTAGAATCATAAAATCAATTAGGTTGGAAAAGACTTTTAAGATCAAGTCCAGCCACTACCCCAGGACTGCCAAGACCACAACTAAACTATGTCGCTGAGGACCTCATCTATACTTTTTTGAACACTTCCAGGGATGGTGATTCCACCACTTCCTTGAGAAAATCTTTATTCTTCAAGCAACAGAAAGTCTACCCAGGCCATAGGGGTTATATACGTGGGTGCCTTTTCTTGTTAGAATTAGGTCTAACTTGTTCTAGGTTTATGATTTAAGTTATACATGCTATCTTTACTTCAGTCTGTATTTCTAAAATGCCTGTAATTAGATTGCTTAAGTAAATTTGCTTAAGTAAAATACAATTATTTTTGGCTTTGTTAAAAACAAGTCTAAAATATGTATGTTTTAAACTTATTCTTATGTTTTTTAAGGTGCACCTGAAATCGATGTGCCACCAGAATATACAGAAGTGGTGAAATATAAAGCAGGAACTTCAGTTAAGTTAAAACTAGGCATCTCAGGCAAGCCTATACCCACAATTGAGTGGTTCAAAAATAACAATGAGATACAAACCAGTGCACTAGTGTCTATTGAAAACACAACAGAATTTGCTTCTATACTTATCAAGGATGCAACTCGACTGAACAGTGGCACCTATGAATTAAAATTGAAGAATGCCATGGGTTCAGCATCAGCCCATGTTAGACTACAGATACTTGGTATGTCTTAAGATACAATTGTATTATACTGTTAAACAATAACTCAGTAATAAATACTTAACAGCTTTCTTCTGCCTACCACAGACAAGCCAGGACCCCCAAGTGGACCTATACAGTTTAAGACAGTCACTGCTGAAAAGATTACAATAATGTGGGACCCGCCAGTGGATGATGGTGGTGCACCTGTAACACACTATGTTGTTGAAAAGCGGGAGACAAGTCGGGTTGTATGGTCTTTAATTTCTGAAAAACTGGAGGGGTGTATCATAACTACAACAAAAGTTATCAAAGGAAATGAATATGTGTTCCGTGTCCGTGGTGTAAACAAGTTTGGAGTTGGTGATCCACTGGAGTCTGAACCCGTTATAGCCAAAAATTCATTTGGTAAGAAACATATAACTTATGCAACTTAATCATCTTGTATATTATTTGTGAGTGGTACTTATCTACTCATGTATTTTTTTTCACTCAGTTACACCTGGACCACCTAGTGTGCCAGAAGTCACAATGATAACCAAAAGTTCTATGACCGTTGTCTGGAATAGGCCTACTGTTGATGGAGGCAGTGAAATATCAGGATATTTTCTTGAGAAGCGTGACAAGAAGAGTCTGAGTTGGTTCAAGGTTACTAAAGAAACCATTCGGGACACCAGACAAAAAGTAACAGGCCTGACTGAAAACAGTGAATATCATTTCCGAGTTTGTGCTGTCAATGCTGCTGGACAAGGGCCATTCTCTGAAGCTTCTGATTTCTACAAAGCTGCAGATCCTATTGGTAAGATACAACATGCGGTATTTCTAATTGGTTAGAAACCAATGGATGAGCAATTAGGATGGGATTGCACCAATGGAACTGAGGGCAGATTTTATTCCTCTTTATATTTAATTGTAAATGTGTTTTCTATTTTGTCTCCCCCCATTCCCCATAAACTATCACTTACAGATAAGCCAGGCTCACCAACAAAGCTGAAGGTTGTGGATACAACCAAGACATCTGTCACCCTTGGCTGGGTTAAACCTGCTTATGATGGAGGAAGTCCAATTACTAGCTACGTGGTGGAGAAAAGAGAAGGTGAAGAGCAAGAATGGACTGTAGTCAGTACTAAGGGAGAAGTGAGAACAACTGAGTATGTTGTATCCCACCTTCAGCCAAGTGTTAATTATTATTTCCGCGTGTCTGCTGTAAATTGTGCTGGACAAGGAGAGCCTATTGAAATGATGGAACCTGTTCAAGCTAAAGATATTCTCGGTACTGTACTTTTCAGTATTGTTGGTTTTTGTCTTTTTTTTGTTTTGTTTTTGTTGTTTATTTGTTGTTTTTTTCCAAAGCATTTCTAATTTTACATTCCAAGAATGGATTATTAATTTTTACTTATTTCCACAGTGGCAGCAGAGATTGATCTGGATGTTGCTCTCCAGACCTCTATTATTGCTAAAGCAGGTGAAGATGTGCAAACAATGATTCCATTCAAAGGCAGACCTCCTCCAACAGTCACATGGAGAAAGGGTGACAAGAATCTTGGGATTGATGAAAGATATATCATCCAGAACACAGAATCATCTACGCTACTTACTATTCCTCAAGTTACCCGAAATGATACAGGAAAATATGTTCTTACAATAGAAAATGGAGTTGGAGAAGCAAAATCCACATTTGTGAATGTAAAAGTACTTGACACGCCATCTGCCTGCCAGAAGCTACAGCTTAAGCATGTTTCTCGTGGCACAGTTACACTGGTATGGGAACCACCTCTCATCAATGGTGGTTCTGAAATAACAAATTACGTTGTTGAAAAAAGAGATGCTACAAAGAGGGCCTGGTCAACTGTAACAACAAAGTGTTCTCATACTACCTTTAAGCTAACTAACCTGTCAGAGAAGACTGCGTTCTTCTTCCGTGTTCTTGCTGAAAATGAAATTGGACTGGGTGAACCTTGTGAGACATCTGAACCAGTGAAAGCTGCAGACATACCTGGACCAGTAAAAGACCTAGCCATGAAAGATTCTACAAAGACTTCTGTTAAATTGCAGTGGAGCAGACCTGACTATGATGGTGGTAGCATTATATCAGACTATGTTATTGAAAAGAAACTGCAGGAAGAAAAAGAATGGACATATGCAGGCACAAGCAAAAACTGTGAATTTGAAGTTGAAAAACTTAAGGAGCTCTCTGTCATGGAATTCAGGGTCTTTGCTAGAAATGAAAAAGGCAAGAGTGATGGTGTTACTGTTGGACCCATTACAGTGAAAGAACATATAATACCACCTGAAGCTGATCTTTCTGATATTCCTGGAGGTCAAATTTCAGTGAGAATTGGACATAATCTGCTTATTGAATTGCCCTATAAAGGTAAACCTAAGCCATCAATGAGCTGGCTGAAAGACAACCTGCCTCTTAAAGAAACTGAACATCTTCGTTTCAAGAAAACTGAAAACAAAATAAGCTTAAGCATCAAGAATGCGAAAAAGGAGCATGGTGGCAAATATACTTTAATTCTTGATAATGTAGTCTGCAGAAAAACATTCACAATCACTGTCATCACTCTTGGGCCTCCATCTAAGCCAAAAGCACCTTTAAGACTAGATGAAATCAAAGCAGATAGTGTAGTTTTGTCATGGGAAGCTCCTGATGATGATGGTGGAGGAGAAATTACTGGCTACAGTATTGAGAAAAGAGAAACTTCACAAATGAACTGGAAATTGGTGTGTTCAAGTGCTGCAAGAACAACCTTCAAAGTACCAAACCTTGTTAAAGACACTGAATATCAGTTTAGAGTTCGCGCAGAAAACAGATATGGAGTGAGTCCACCTCTTGTCTCAGCAGATGTTGTGGCAAAGCATCAGTTTAGACCACCAGGTGCCCCAGGCAAGCCTGTTGTATACAACATAACTGCTGATGGAATGACCATCTCTTGGGATGCTCCTGTTTATGATGGTGGCTCAGAGATTATTGGATACCATGTTGAAAAGAAGGAAAGAAACAGTATTTTGTGGCAAAAGGTTAATGTTGCATTAATATCTAGCAGAGAATACAGGATTACTGGACTGCTTGAGGGCCTGGATTACCAGTTCCAAGTATATGCTGAAAACGCTGCAGGTCTAAGTCGAGCTAGTGAGCCAAGCAAATTTATGTTGGCAGTCTCTCCAGTGGGTGAGTGAAAGATCAATCCAAGAAAATGCTGCCCTTGTAGAATATGGTGTGAGCAGTAATAAAATGAATTTTACTTATTTTCCTTTCAGACCCACCTGGTACTCCTGATTACATTGATGTCACCAGGGAAACAGTCACCCTTAAATGGACCCCACCACTACGTGATGGAGGCAGTAAGATTGTGGCTTACAGCATTGAGAAACGGCAAGGAAGTGAAGACCGTTGGCTCAGATGTAACTTTACTGATGTCAGTGAATGCCAATATACAGTTACAGGACTCAGTTCAGGGGACCGATATGAATTCAGAGTGCTTGCAAGAAATGCTGTTGGTACAATCAGCCCACCTTCACAGTCTTCAGGCTATATCATGACCAGAGATGAAAACGGTAAGCACTATTTCTTAATATACTTGTATTTGGGTACTGAAGCCAGCTAGAGCTTCTGGCTGTAGTGATGGGAAATGGGTGGCCAAGGGAGGTGGATTGTGTGACTGAGGTCCTTCCAGTCAACTCAGAACATTTCTGTTTGTACTCCAAGGTGGGAGTGTCTAAATTAAAGACCCAAATCTGGCAAACATAGGTAATCAATTGCTGAAAGGCATGGCACTCTTTTTGTTGGATAAGCAGCAGCAGGAAAGTTGGAAAGAAATCATAAACTGTGTATCATATTCTGATGCACTGAATAATTTAGACATGAAAATGTACCTCAGGTAGCTTAGTATACTCTAACAGTATATATTAATGGTGTCTTTCAGCCTAATATGATGCACTTTGTGCATTAGGGGAAAAATAAGTTTACAGTTCATATAAAAACTGCTTTTTAGAGAATACCAGAAGGAATTCTATATATAACAATTTTTTATAATTAGTTGTTGTGGTTTAAGCCCAGCCATAAATCAGAACCATGCAGTCTCTCTCTCATTCCCCTCCTTCCCCCCCACTCCCAGAGTGATGGGGAGGAGAATCAAAAGAATGTAATTCCCACAGGTTGAGATAAGAACAATCCAGTAACTAAGGTATAGCACAAACCACTACTGCTACCACCAATAATAATAATGATAAGAGAAATAACAAGGGAAGAGAATATAACCGCTCACCACCCACCAACCAATACCCCGCCCGACAGAGCAGTGATCTAACCCTTCCGGGTAACTGCCCCCAGTTTATATAGTGGGTGTGAAGTGCTGTGGTATGGAATACCTCTTTGGTCAGTTTGGGTCATGTGCCCTGTCTCTGCTTCCTCCCGGCTTCCCCTCCTCCCTGGCAGAGCATGAGACTCAGAAAGTCCTTGGTCAGAGTAAACATGACTTAGCTAGAAACTAAAAACATCAGTGTTATCAGTGGTGTTTCCAGGATGAAATTCAAAACCACAGCACTGCACCAGCTACTAAGAAGGAGAAAATTGACTGCCACTGCTGAACCCAGGACATTAGTACATTAAAAATATTATCAGGAAAAAGTATTTAGCTATATAGGAACTAAATTATATTTTCCTTTTTTAGTTGCTCCAACAATTGAATTTGGCCCTGAGCACTTTGAAGGCCTTACTGTTAAAGCTGGAGAGAGCATTAGACTTAAAGCTCTAATCAAAGGACGTCCAGTACCTAAAGTGACATGGTTTAAAGATGGTAAGGAGATTGAAAAAATAATGAATATAGAAATAACTACAGCTATTGGATATAGCACAGTCTTCATCAGAGATGCTATCCGGGAACATCGTGGAGTGTACACAGTAGAAGCCAAAAATGCATCAGGCACTAAACGAGAAGATATTACCATCAGAGTACAAGGTACTGCACCAAACACTTTCAGCATGCTCTTTTAAAATAGTATCTTATTCTAAGTGGTAACAAACTGTAATTCTGAACATTTAAAATTGCAGACACACCAGGAAAAGTTGGTGGACCAATACGATTCACAAACATTACTGGAGAGAAAGTCACGTTATGGTGGGAGCCTCCAGCTAATGATGGTTGCGCTTCTGTCTCCCACTATATAATTGAAAAACGTGAAACCAGCAGGATTGCTTGGGCATTAGTTGAAGATAAATGTGAAGCTTGCAGCTACACAGCACTTAAATTAATTAAAGGAAATGAGTACCAGTTCCGTGTCTCTGCAGTGAACAAATTTGGAGTTGGCAGACCATTGGAGTCTGATCCAGTTACTGCACAAATACCTTATAGTAAGTCTCCACCTCATCTTCTAGAAATAACTGTGGAGTTGCCATTTTTTCTTTCTAATGACATTTTTCTCTCTTTAGCTATCCCTGATGCACCAGGAACTCCAGAGCCTACCAACGTAACAGGAGATAGTATCACACTCACTTGGGCAAGACCAGCGTCAGATGGTGGAAGCGAGATAAATGAGTATATTCTAGAAAGGAGAGAAAAGAAGAGCATGCGCTGGGTTAAAGTATCCAGTAAGAGGCCTATTACTGAGAACAGATACAGAGTAACTGGCCTAATTGAAGGCAATGAGTATGAGTTCCATGTCATGGCTGAAAACGCTGCAGGAGTTGGACCTCCAAGTGATGTTTCAAAACTGATTAAATGTAGAGAACCAGTCAGCCCACCAAGTGCTCCTAATGTTGTCAAGGTGACAGATACATCAAAGACTAGTGTAAGCTTGGAGTGGACCAAGCCAGTTTTTGATGGAGGCATGGAAATAATTGGATACATCATTGAGATGTGCAAAGCTGATCTCGAATCATGGCAGAAGGTCAATGCAGAGACTGTTCTTGCTACTAAATATACCGTTGTTGATTTGGAGGCAGGAGAACACTATAAATTCAGAGTTAGTGCTGTCAATGGTGCTGGCAAAGGAGAAAGTTGTGAAATTCCTGCTTCAGTCCAAACTGTAGACAGGCTTTCTGCACCTGAAATTGATATTGATGCAAACTTCAAGCAGACTCATATTGTAAGAGCAGGTGCAAGCATTCGTCTATTTATTGCCTTCTCTGGAAGACCTGTTCCTACTGCTGTGTGGTCCAAAGCAGACGCTAATCTCAGCTTGCGTGCTGACATTCAAACAACTGATTCATTCAGTACATTGACTGTGGAGGAATGCAATAGAAATGATTCTGGCAAGTATGTCTTTACTGTGGAAAACAACAGTGGAAGTAAGTCTATTACATTTACTGTCAAGGTTTTGGACACACCTGGTCCACCAGGTCCTATTACGTTTAAAGATGTGACTCGAGGATCTATAACTTTAATGTGGGATGCTCCTGTTCTGGATGGAGGTTCACGTATCCATCACTACATTGTGGAAAAACGAGAAGCAAGCCGTCGTAGCTGGCAAGTGGTGAGTTCAAAATGCACTCGACAAATCTTTAAGGTCACCGATCTGTCAGAAGGTGTGCCATATTACTACCGAGTGTCAGCAGAAAATGAATATGGTGTAGGTGAACCCTGTGAATTAACAGAACCAGTTGTAGCCACAGAAGAACCTGCTCCACCTAAGAGACTAGATATTGTTGATACAACCAAATCTTCTGTAGTTTTAGCTTGGCTTAAACCTGATCATGATGGTGGTAGCCGTGTTACTGGATACCTTCTTGAAATGAAACAAAAAGGATCTGACTCCTGGATTGCAGCTGGACAAACTAAACAACTTACTTTCACTGTTGAAGGCCTTGTGGAGAACACTGAATATGAGTTCCGGGTCAAGGCAAGAAATGATGCTGGCTACAGTGCACCGAGAGAAGCTTTCTCTTCTGTTATTATTAAGGAGCCACAGATTGAACCAACAGCAGATCTCAGTGAAATAAGCAGACAGCTCATAACGTGCAAGGCTGGAAGCACCTTTACTATTGACATACCCATCAGTGGGCGCCCAGCTCCAAAAGTGACATGGAAACTTGAGGAGATGCGGCTGAAGGAAACTGAGAGAGTGACTATCAAGACAACAAAAGACAGAACCACATTGACTGTAAAGGACAGTATGAGAGGTGACTCTGGTAAATACTACCTCACACTTGAAAACACTGCTGGTGTGAAAACATTTGCTGTCACAGTGGTAGTCATAGGAAGGCCAGGTCCCATCACTGGCCCAATTGAAATATCATCTGTCTCTGCTGAATCCTGTGTGTTGACCTGGAAAGAACCTGAAGATGATGGTGGCAGTGAGATTACAAACTACATTGTAGAAAAACGTGAATCTGGCACAACAGCATGGCAGCTGGTAAATTCCAGTGTGAAGCGTACACAAGTCAAAGTCGCTCATCTCACAAAATACCAGGAGTACAGTTTTCGAGTAAGCTCAGAAAACAGATTTGGTGTTAGTAAACCCCTTGAATCAAAAACGATAGTTGCTGAGCATCCATTCGGTAAGTGAAACATTTTAAATCTGTCCTTTTTCCTCTGACTGAAGTATTTGTAACAACTAACATTTTCCTCCCCTCTCCATCTTTTTTTTTTTTTAGTCCCACCAAGCCCACCTTCTAGGCCAGAAGTCTATTCTGTGTCTGCAACTGCCATGGCCATTCGCTGGGAGGAGCCCTATCATGACGGTGGCAGCAAAGTCATTGGATATTGGGTTGAAAAGAAGGAACGCAACACTATCCTTTGGGTGAAGGAGAACAAAGTGCCATGCTGTGAATGCAACTACAAAGTCATGGGATTGGTGGAAGGCCTAGAATATCAATTCAGAACATATGCTTTGAATGCTGCAGGTGTTAGCAAAGCTAGTGAAGCTTCCAGACCTGTAGTGGCTCAAAATCCAGTTGGTAAGTATTACTTTTAGGGTTAGGTTGTTATTTAAGCTAAAATAGAATTGCATTTCACATTTTTCTGTTTTGTTCCTCCAGATCCACCAGGGAGACCAGAAGTAACAGACGTCACCAGATCTACAGTGTCACTGAGCTGGTCAGCACCCCTTTATGATGGTGGAAGTAAAATTATCGGATATATTATAGAGCGCAAACCATATAATGAATCTGGTGATGGACGCTGGCTGAAATGCAATTATACCATTGTCTCAGAAAACTCTTTTACTGTGACAGCTCTTAGTGAAGATGAAGCATACGAATTCCGTGTACTAGCAAAGAATGCTGCTGGTGTGATTAGCAAAGGATCCGAATCGACTGGTGCTGTCATTTGCAGAGATGAATACTGTAAGATATATTCACCTGGGACAATTAAAACCATAATGTTCTGTATTTAGTACTGTCATGTAATTTGTTTTAATCTTCTTTTCCTTATGACAGCACCACCAAAGGCTGAACTTGATGCCAGACTGCAGGGAGAAGTTGTGACCATCAGGGCTGGATCAGATCTTGTTCTCGATGCAGCCATTGGTGGGAAACCAGAACCAAAAGTCTTCTGGTCCAAAGGTGACAGGGAATTGGATCTATGTGAAAAGATATCTCTGCAATATACAAGCAAACGAGCCATTGCAATTATCAAGTTCTGTGACAGAAGTGACAGTGGAAAATATACTCTAACAGTTAAAAATGCCAGTGGGATGAAACAAATTTCTGTCATTGTCAAAGTGCTTGGTATGTATCCCATGATTAATATTCATACTTAGTATACTAAAACCCCACATTCTTTTAAATATGAGTGAGATGCTTTTCCTTAGCTGATAATGACAATACTTATTTTCATCTCTACCCAGATTCACCAGGTCCATGTGCAGGCAAAATCACAGTTAGCAGAGTAACGGAAGAGAAATGTACTCTGGCATGGAACATTCCTGAGGAAGACGGAGGAGCACAAATCACTCACTATATTGTAGAAAGGCGTGAAACCAGCAGACTTCATTGGGTTATTGTTGAGGCTGAATGCCAGACTTTATCATATGTGGTAACAAAACTTATTAAAAATAACGAATACATCTTCCGTGTGAGAGCTGTCAATAAATATGGACCTGGTGTTCCACTTGAAACAGAACCTGTGATTGCCAGGAATGCTTTCAGTGAGTATTAGTACCTTCCAGTCTGTGTGAGAATTTGTGGAATATTTCTCATAGCTAAAAAATTTGTTAAATAATTATTTTTTTCCACCTTTTTTTTAAAAAAAACAAACCAGCTATCCCATCACAGCCTGGTGCTCCTGAAGAAGTGAGTGTTGGCAAGGAACATATCATTATTCAGTGGACAAAACCAGAATCTGATGGTGGCAATGAGATTAAGAACTATCTTGTTGACAAACGTGAAAGGAAAAGTCTGCGCTGGACACGGGTGAACAGAGATTACACAATTTATGATACGAGACTGAAAGTCACGGGTCTCATGGAAGGCAGCCAGTACCAGTTCCGTGTCACTGCAGTGAATGCTGCTGGGAACAGTGAACCTAGTGAAGCTTCGCAATACATGTTATGTAAAGAACCATCATGTAAGTTATCACATTTAAAACACATTTAATATTTCCTTATAATAATGGAACATAAAACCACATTGGCACTGACTGAGATACCCAAAACCACATATGATCTCACTGAACTAGTTAGAATAAATAAACTTAAAAGCAGTTATAGCTAATTTTAAATGCATTTAGCATTTAGCTGTTTAGAAATTGATTTTCAATGTAACATGTTACCTGCACCAATGTAAAATGCATTTTCTTCTTTTTCACAGATACTCCTGCACAACCTTCAGCTCCAAGAGTTGTGGATACTACTAAGCACAGCATAAGTTTAGCATGGTCAAAGCCCACATATGACGGTGGTGCTGACATCTTAGGCTACGTTCTTGAAATGAAAGAAGAAGGTACTGAACAGTGGTATCGACCACATACAACTGCCACTCTGAGGAATGCTGAGTTCACTGTGACTGGTCTTAAAACAAGCCAAAAATACCAATTTAGAGTTGCTGCTACAAATGTGAATGGTATGAGTGAATTTAGTGAATCATCAGCAGAAATAGAACCTGTGGAAAGAATAGGTAATTTGAAAACCTAATGTATATTTTAAGGAATAGTTGTATTTTCCTTTAGAACTTCTAAAAGATTAATTAATTCAATATTTCTTACACCCTTCATCAGAAATACCTGAACTTGAACTTGCTGAGGACCTGAAGAAGACAGTTACAGTCAGAGCTGGTGGTTCCCTGCGCCTAATGGTCTCTGTATCTGGCAGACCTGCTCCTGTAATCACATGGAGCAAGCAGGGTGTTGACCTTGTAAGTCGAGCTATTATTGATACTACAGACAGCTACACTCTTCTTGTTGTGGATAAAGTTAATCGGTATGATGCTGGAAAGTACGTCATTGAGGCTGAAAATCAATCAGGAAAAAAATCTGCAACTATTTCTGTAAGAGTGTATGGTAAGTACTGTTACAATTGTGTATGGGCATTTCATCACTCATAGTGCACATTGCTCAAGAATCATTCACTTCCAAAAGAAGTTTAGTTTAAATAACATGAAAACATTTGAGAAGTCAGAGAAACAATCTAATCCAAAGGGAAATGCATAGTTTCTAAAGCTGTGCTAGTTTATAAATCAAATGCCAGAGCTGGGTTTTTTTATGCAGAAGCAGTGAGTGACTGTAAAAGGAAAGGATCCAAAAGGAAGAAAAAAATCTTTGTGGGGTTTTGTGTTTTTTTTTTTAGATACACCTGGTCCACCAGCCGCAGTGAGAATCAAGGAAGTATCAAAAGATTCTGTGACACTTACTTGGGATATTCCAACCATTGACGGTGGAGCCCCAGTCAACAATTACATAATTGAGAAACGTGAAGCTTCCATGAGAGCTTACAAGACTGTCACTACCAAATGCAGCAAGACATTTTATAGAGTTACTGGACTTCTAGAAGGAGCTTTGTATTATTTCAGAGTACTACCAGAAAATATTTATGGCATTGGTGAACCCTGTGAAACATCTGATGCAGTACTAGTATCTGATGTTCCTATGGTACCACAAAAACTTGAAGTAATTGACACCACTAAATCAACTGTTACTCTTGCATGGGAGAAACCACCCCATGATGGTGGCAGCAGGTTGACTGGCTATGTTATTGAGGCCAGCAAAGCTGGAACAGAAAGATGGTTGAAGGTAGTGACACTGAAGCCTACTGTCTATGAGCATACAATTATCTCTCTCAATGAAGGCGAACAGTATTTGTTCAGGGTCAGAGCACAGAATCAGAAGGGAGTGTCAGAACCACGAGAGATTGTCACAGCAGTGACAGTACAAGACCAAAAAGGTAGGTACCTACTGTTCAAAAAAAACAACCCCAAAACCAAAAAAACCCAGGGTGAAGCTTATCTGAAATAAATGTGATATTTATAAAATGGATGTTTTATTATTTTCTTTTCTAAGTTCTACCAACAATTGACTTCTCTGGAATACCTCAGAAGACAATTCATGTACCTGCTGGCAAGCCCATTGAATTAGCTATTCCAATCGAAGGACGACCACCTCCAGCTGCATCTTGGTTCTTTGCTGGTTCTAAATTAAAAGAATCAGAACGCATCAAAGTGGAGACTGTTGCGAAAATGACTAAATTAACTGTGCGTGAGACCACCATACACGACACTGGAGAGTATACACTTGAACTAAAGAACACAACTGGAACAGTTACAGATACGATAAAGGTTATAATCCTCGGTAAGGGTTTATGAAAATAAATGTCCATGCTCTTACTCCATCTGAACTTTGTTACATCAGCAATATGATTCCTTTTCTCCACTTTTCTAGACAAACCTGGACCACCTGTTGGACCTATCCGAATTGATGAAGTTGATGCAAATTATGTAACCATTTCCTGGGAGCCACCTGAACTGGATGGTGGAGCTACCCTGAGTGGCTATGTGGTAGAGCAGCGTGATGCTCACCGTCCTGGATGGCTGCCAGTTTCAGAGTCAGTAACCAGGACAACATTTAAGTTCACCAGACTTGTTGAAGGTGCAGAATATGTGTTCCGTGTGGCTGCTACAAACCGCTTTGGAATTGGATCTTACCTGCAGTCTGAAATTATAGAATGCAAGAGCAGAATCCGTAAGTCTGACTCTTTGCTTATTTTCTATCTTCAAAAACAAAAATATATATTTTAATGGGCTTATATATCAATGCATAGATATTTTTTTTCTAGATGTTACTGTTTCCTTTACTAGATAAAATGGTACATTATGATGCACAGTATTCTTCTTATATCTACTGAAAAAAAGACATCTGTAAATCTATATAGATTTTATAGATGCACTGCACAGAACCTGGATGATAAACTTGAATTTTCTGCTCAGGTCTACCATTAGCCTTGAAAAATTTCTTTACCCTGTTACAAAAAACAATACTTCACTGACCTATTTTGTAAAGTACTTTGAAATCTGCTGATAAAATGATTTTGATAGGACATCAATATTACATTGTCATTCACAGTATGTTGCATATTGTTAATGTGTAGAATCATTTGATGCTTTCTTCAGTAATTCTGGGTTATGTTTTTACAGGCATTCCTGGTCCTCCTGGCACTCCAGAAGTGTTTGATATCTCTAGAGATGGCATGACATTAACTTGGTATCCTCCAGAAGATGATGGTGACTCACAGATTACTGGCTATATTGTGGAACGCAAAGAAGTTAGAGCAGATAGATGGATCCGTGTAAATAAAGTTCCAGTCACTATGACTCGTTACCGTTCCACTGGCTTGGTTGAAGGATTAGAATATGAACACCGAGTCACTGCAATCAATGCCAGAGGCACTGGGAAACCCAGCCGTCCTTCCAAGTCTGCTGTTGCCAGAGATCCAATTGGTAAGTGATTTTCTACATAGATTAAGCACATTCTGGCAGAAGGGAATTATACTAGTAAAAGTTACTCTTTTTTTTTTTCTTCCCCTAATTTGGAAATTTATCTGGGTGTATTAACAAATCTGATTCTGACTGGAGAAGACCAATAAAATATTAGTGAAAAACTTTCATTCTAAGTTTTCCTGCATAAATCCAATAGATGTAATACAGATCATATGTTGCAAGTTAGCATTTGTTGCATCTTTTAAACATTCATTAACAAGATCCCACTCTCCCATATGATTTTCTCTTCCAGCTCCTCCAGGTAAACCACAGAATCCAAGAGTAACTGATACTACAAGAACATCTGTCTCCCTGGCTTGGAGTCCACCAGAAGATGAAGGTGGTTCTAAAGTTACTGGCTACTTAATTGAGATGCAGAAGGTCGATCAAGTTGAATGGACCAAATGCAATACCACACCAACCAAAATTCGTGAATACACCTTAACACATCTACCCCAGGGTGCAGAGTACAGATTCCGTGTACTAGCCTGTAATGCTGGTGGACCAGGAGAACCTGCTGATGTGCCAGGAACTGTCAAAATAACAGAAATGCTTGGTAAGATACTTCAAATCTTAACTCTCATTGAAATTTGTCCTAAAAAAATCTTCGCCTAAGCAGGCATGATTTCATCTGGAAAACAGACATAGCATGAGATGTTATTTTTGTTTGGGTTTTTTTTTATAGAATATCCTGACTATGAACTTGATGAAAAATACCAGGAAGGTCTCATGGTGAGGCAAGGTGGAGTTATCAGGCTTACAATACCCATTAAAGGTAAACCCATCCCAATATGCAAATGGACCAAAGAAGGACATGACATCAGCAAGAGGGCCATGATTGCGACTTCTGACACTCACACAGAACTTGTGATCAAAGATGCAGAAAGAGAAGATTCAGGCACCTATGATTTGGCACTTGAAAACAAGTGTGGCAAAAAAGCTGTGTATATTAAAGTCAGAGTGATTGGCATTCCAAATCCACCAGAAGGGCCACTTGAGTATGATGATATACAAGCTCGTTCCGTCAGAGTTAGCTGGAGACCTCCCACAGATGATGGTGGTGCTGATATCCTAGGCTACATTGTTGAGAGACGAGAAGTACCGAAGACTGCCTGGTACACTGTTGACTCTAGGGTGAAAGGGACATCACTAGTGGTGAAAGGGCTAAAAGAAAATGTGGAATATCACTTCCGTGTTTCTGCTGAAAACCATTTTGGTATTAGCAAATCTCTCAAATCCGAAGAACCAGCAGTGCCAAAGACACCTCTAAGTAAGTCCCCTTTTATATACTTTTAAAAATGATTTTTAATTACTACATTGTGGTTCTAAAAGTGAAATAGTAAATGCAAATGTTTTTTATTCTATGGCACTATTATTTCTATTATTTTTGTTACAATTACAAACAGATCCTCCAGAGCCTCCGAACAACCCACCTGAAGTGCTTGATGTTACAAAGAGTTCTGTCAACTTGTCCTGGGCCAGACCTAAAGATGATGGTGGTTCCCGTGTAACTGGCTACTACATTGAACGTAGAGAGACATCTACAGAAAAATGGGTCCGTCATAATAAGACACAGATTACCACCACAATGTACACAGTCACAGGACTTGTTCCAGATGCTGAGTATCAATTCCGTATCATTGCTCAAAATGACATTGGTGAAAGTGAAGCAAGTCCTCCTTCTGAACCAGTTGTATGCAAGGATCCATTTGGTAAGAAAATGTTTGCAATAACTGATCTTCTGAAGAGCAGCTTAGTGACCTTTAAAGAGGAATTTATTTTCTGTATCTATTTTACTTTTTAGACAAACCAAGCCAACCTGGAGAAATTGAGATCACTTCTATATTTAAGGACAGCATTACGTTAGAATGGGAACGACCTGAAAGTGATGGTGGCAAAGAGATCCTTGGCTATTGGGTTGAATATCGCCAGTCTGGAGAAAGCACCTGGAAAAAATGCAATAAAGAACGCATCAAGGACAGGCAGTTTACAGTAGGAGGTTTACTCGAGGCTACAGAATATGAGTTCCGTGTTTTTGCGGAAAATCAGACTGGTCTCAGCAGACCTCGAAGGACTGCTATGGCAGTGAAAACTAAATTAACATGTAAGCAAAACCATATTGTCTTATTTTCTGTGATATTGTGGTGATTTGCTGTGTCATAAACCACAGTGCTGCTGCACTTAACACACTCCCTATTTGATTTACATGCTGTTTGCCAACAAATCAGTCTTTTTAGTATAAGACACACAAGTATAAATGAAAAGTAATTCCCAGTAATAGAGTAATAGAGGAAAAATTCATAGTAATCTTAATTATTTTAAAATTTTCATTGTTGTAGCTGGAGAAGCACCCGCCATCAAAAAAGAAATGCAGGATGTTACAACTAAACTGGGTGAAGCAGCTCAGCTGACATGCCAGATTGTTGGGAGACCTTTGCCTGATATTAAATGGTATCGCTTTGGCAAAGAACTGGTGCAAAGCCGAAAATACAAAATGTCATCTGATGGTCGCAATCATACTCTGACAGTAATGACAGATGAACAGGAGGATGAAGGTCTCTACACCTGTATGGCTACTAATGATGTTGGGGAAATTGAAACTAGTGGCAAGCTACTATTGCAGGCTCCTCCTCAGTTCCACCCTGGTTTCCCATTGAAAGAGAAGTACTATGCAGGTGCAGGTGGCACCCTCCGCCTTCACGTTGTGTATATTGGCCGACCAGTACCAGCAATAACTTGGTTCCACGGCAACAAACCTTTGAGAGGATCAGAAACAGTTACTATTGAGAACACAGAGCATTATACTCATCTTGCTATTAAGAATGTCCAGCACAAGGCTCATGCTGGGAAATACAAAGTGCAACTCAGTAACACATTTGGAACGGTTGACACAGTACTTAATGTGGAAATACAAGGTAATTAATTTTATTTTCAGTATTTTTGTGGAATATTTTCTCAAATATTTACTGGCAAAATAACTGAAAATTACATGCTTTTTCTTTTACAGATAAGCCAGATAAACCAGTAGGGCCAATTGTTATAGAGTCTATACTGAAGAATTCTGTGGTGATAAGCTGGCAACCACCAGAGGATGATGGAGGTGCTATGATAACCAGTTATATCATAGAGAAACGTGAAGCCAAAGAAGGAGCAGAATGGCAACTTGTATCTTCAAGCATTTCAGGCACAACCTGTAGAATTGTTAACCTAACTGAAAATGCAGGCTATTATTTCCGTGTTTCTGCTCAGAACACATATGGCATTAGTGAAGCACTGGAGGTTTCATCAGTTGTTGTTATGAAGCCTCCATTTGGTAAGCAGATGACAAAATATCAGTTTCTGTGTGCCCCTGTAATTACAAAGGTAAGCTCACTTTCGTTTCTGCACTTTTTTATTCTTTACAGAAAAACCAGGACCACCAGGTCAGCCAGCAGTAAATGCTGTCACAAAGGATTCTTGTGTTGTCTCATGGAAGCCACCTGCAAGTGATGGCGGTGCAAAGATTAGAACGTATTATCTCGAGAAGCGTGAGAAAAAACAGAACAAGTGGATTTCTGTTACAACAGATGAAATTCGTGAAACAGTCTATTCTGTGAAAGATCTCATTGAAGGTCTTGAATACGAGTTCCGTGTCAAATGTGAAAATCTTGGTGGTGAAAGTGAGTGGAGTGAGATATCACAACCAGTCACCCCAAAATCTGATGTGCCAATTAAAGCTCCACATTTCAAGGAAGAACTAAGGAATTTGAATGTGAAATTCCAAGCTAATGCCACATTTGTCTGCAAAGTCACTGGTCATCCTAAACCAATTGTCAAGTGGTACAGACAGGGCAAAGAAATCATGCCAGATGGTGAAAAGATCAAGATACAGGAATTCAAGGGTGGATATCACCAGCTGGTCATCACAAATGTAACAGATGATGATGCCACAGTATATCAAGTTAGAGCTACCAACCAAGGAGGATCTGTGTCTGGGACTGCATCTTTGGATGTTGAAGGTGAATGAAGGGTCTCTATTCCTAAAACAAAGCCTTCTTAAGCTTTGAATATTTAGACTGCTGGTGCTCTTCTCGTGTGCTTTTGGTCATGTGTTGTTTTCTCTTTCTCTTTCTATTTCAGTTCCTGCAAAGATTCACTTGCCCAAAAATCTGGAAGGCATGGGAGCTGTTCATGCCCTCCGAGGGGAAGTAGTGAGCATCAAGATTCCATTCAGTGGCAAGCCAACCCCTGTGATCACATGGCAGAAGGGACAAGACCTCATTGATACTAATGGACACTACCAAGTCATTGTTACGCGATCATTCACATCTCTTGTTTTCCCAAATGGTGTTGACAGAAAAGATGCAGGGTTTTACATTGTTTGTGCCAAAAACAGATTTGGAATTGACCAAAAAACAGTTGAATTAGATGTAGCTGATGTGCCTGATCCACCAAGAGGTTTGAAGGTAACTGACATTTCAAGAGACTCAGTTAATTTAACCTGGAATGAACCAGCTACTGATGGTGGAAGCAGAATCATAAACTACATTATTGAGAAACGTGCTACAACAGCAGAGCAATGGATTCGTGTTGCACAGGCTCGTGATACACGATACACAGTGGTGAACCTGTTCGGCAAAACCACCTACCAGTTCCGTGTAATTGCAGAAAACAAGTTTGGCCAAAGCCAGCCTTCTGAACCTACTGATCCAATTATAACAAAAGAAGATAAGACCAGGGTAATGAACTATGATGAAGAAGTTGATGAGACCAGAGAAGTCACCACAGATAAAGCAGCTCACTATTCTACAAAGGAACTCTATAACAGATACATGATTGCAGAAGAGCTTGGACGCGGGCAGTTTGGCATTGTACACCGCTGTGTTGAAGCAGTTTCAAAGAAGACTTACCTAGCTAAGTTTGTCAAAGTAAAGGGTGCTGACCAAGTTTTGGTAAAGAAAGAAATTTCCATTCTTAGCATTGCTAGGCACCAAAATATCCTGTATCTTCATGAATCATTTGAGAGCCTAGAAGAATTGGTCATGATCTTTGAATTCATTTCTGGAGTTGACATCTTTGAAAGAATCAGCACAGCTTCATTTGAACTTAATGAAAGAGAAATAGTAAGTTATGTACGCCAGGTCTGTGATGCACTAGAATTTTTGCATCGCCATAGCATTGGACATTTTGATATTAAGCCAGACAACATTATTTATGTCACAAGAAGAAGCTCTGCAGTTAAAATTGTTGAATTTGGTCAAGCCAGACAGCTGAAGCCTGGAGACAGCTTTAGGCTCCAGTTCACCTCTCCTGAATATTATGCACCTGAAGTACATCATCATGATTTAGTCAGTACAGCTACTGACATGTGGTCAGTTGGTGCTCTAACATACATACTTCTCAGTGGCATCAATCCTTTCATTGCCGAAACAAACCAACAAGTTATTGAAAATATTCTGAATGCTGAATACAACTTTGATGATGAAGCATTCAAAGACATAAGCATTGAGGCCATGGACTTCATTGATCGCCTACTAGTAAAGGAAAGAAAAGCTCGGATGACAGCTGCTGAAGCGCTTAATCATGTATGGCTAAAACAGCAAACAGAAAAGACCAGCACTAAAGTCATCAAGACCTTGAGGCACAGGCGTTACTACAAAACTCTAGTAAAGAAGGAGTGGAATACAGTTGTTTCAGTAGCCCGTATTTCCTGTGGAGGTGCGATTAGATCTCAGAAAGGCATAACAGTGGCTAAAGTTAAAGTTGCACCAATAGACATTGGTCCCATCACAGGGCAGATAAAGCATGCTGTTGTGGAAGAAGGAGGGCATGCCAAATATGTATGTAGGATTGAAAACTATGATCAGTCCACACAAGTCACATGGTACTTTGGTATGAGGCAATTAGAAAGCAATGAGAAATATGAAATCAAATATGAAGAAGGTGTGGCAACTATGTATGTCAAAGATGTTTCTAAATCTGACGATGGTACCTACAGATGCAAGGTAGTAAATGACTATGGAGAAGACAGCTCTTACGCAGAACTTTTTGTTAAAGGTGTGAGAGAAATATCTGAGCACTACAGATGCAGAACTGTTAGGAAAGTGAAACGACGGGTTGATACTATGAGACTATTAGAACGTCCACCAGAATTCACCTTGCCTTTGTACAACCGCACTGCATACATTGGAGAAAATGTCAGATTTGGAGTAACTATAACAGTTCACCCAGAACCTCGCATAACCTGGTTCAAATCAGGCCAGAAAATCAAACCTGGTGATGATGATAGGAAGTATACTTTTGAATCAGATAAAGGTCTGTATCAACTCGTGATCAATAATGTCACTGAAGAGGATGATGCTGAATACAGTATTGTGGCACGCAATAAGTATGGTGAAGACAGCTGCAAAGCTAAGCTGACTGTGATTCCACATCCACCTCCAGCAGATGCCACACTAAGACCAATGTTTAAAAGACTGCTGGCAAACGCTGAATGTCAAGAAGGCCAAAATGTCAGTTTTGAGATCAGGGTATCTGGTGTACCAAAACCAACACTGAAATGGGAGAAAGATGGTCAGCCTCTATCCTTTGGTCCTAACTTTGATATAATTCATGAAGGTTTAGATTATTATGCTTTGCATATCAGAGATACTTTACCTGAAGACAGTGGTTATTACAGAGTTACTGCCACAAACAGTGCTGGATCTACAAGCTGCCAGGCTTATCTAAAAGTTGAACGCTTGAAATATGTCAAGCGTGAGTACAAGTCTGAAGAAGAGCGGGAAAAGCATGTACAAAGGCAAATTGACAAGACCTTACGAATGGCAGAGATCCTTTCTGGTGCTGAAGCTGTTCCACTGACACAAACTGCACAAGAAGCTCTCAGAGAAGCTGCTATCTTATATAAACCAGCTGTTAGCACTAAGACTGTCAAAGGTGAATATGAAATTAAGAAAGAAGAAAAGAAGGAAGAAAGAAAACTTCGTATGCCCTATGAGGTCCCAGAGCCTCGCAAACATGTGCGCACTACTCTTGAGGAAGATCAGAACATTAAACACTTCGTGCCTCTGTCAGACATGAAGTGGTACAAGAGGCTGCGAGACCAGTACGAAATGCCAGGGAAAATTGAAAGAACTGTTCAGAAACGCCAGAAACGCATACGTCTTTCCAGGTGGGAGCAATTTTATGTGATGCCACTGCCACGTGTTTCTGATCAATATAAGCCTAAATGGCGCATACCAAAACTAACACAAGATGATTTGGAAATTGTGAGACCAGCACGTCGGCGTATCCCGTCTCCAGACTACGAGTATTACTATAGACCAAGAAGGCGATCACTTGGTGACTTGTCTGATGAAGAATTACTCCTGCCTATTGATGACTATTTAGCCATGAAAAGAACTGAAGAGGAAAGACTGCGCCTTGAAGAGGAGCTAGAGTTAGGCTTTTCTGCTTCCCCTCCAAGCAGAAGCCCTCCACGCTTTGAACTTTCTGCCCTTCGGTACTCTACGGAAGCAGCACAGGTCAGTTCAGAGGAAGAAAGAAAAAGACAGCTGAGGTATTCAACCTATCACATCCCAACTAAAGCTGAGACCAGTGCTAGCTATGCAGAGCTTCGTCAACGTCACGACAGGGCTGCCTACAGACCACCTAAACAAAAGCAAAGGATAATGGCTGAAAGAGAGGACGAAGAATTGCTCCGTCCTGTTGGCACTGCTCAACGACTCTCTGAATACAGGAGTGAGCTCGAATACATGGCAGAGGAGGAAAAAAGGAGACTCAGAAGAAGGAGGGAAAGAGAAATAACTGAGATTACATCAGAAGAAGAAGAAGAAATAGAAATGGTGCAACAGGCTCACAGGGAATTTTCACCTCCCTCTAGATTACTAAGGAGGAGAAGATCTCTTTCTCCAACTTACATTGAGTTGATGCGTCCTGTATCTGAATTAATACGGCCTCGCTCACGGCCTCCTGAAGAAAGTGAGAGGAGATCCCCGACACCAGAGAGAACTCGACCACGTTCACCTAGCCCAGTTTCTAGTGAAAGATCACTCTCTCGGTTTGAGAGGATGGCACGATTTGATATCTTTTCCAGATATGAGTCCATGAAATCTGCTTTGAAAACTCAGAAAACTATGGAAAGGAAATACGAAGTACTTACTCAACAGCCTTTCACTCTTGACCATGCTCCTCGCATTACCCTGAGAATGCGCTCACACCGGGTACCCTGTGGCCATAATACTAGATTCATTCTAAATGTCCAGTCAAAACCAACTGCCGAAGTGAAGTGGTACCATAATGGTATTGAGCTCCAGGAGAGCAGCAAGATACATTTTACTAATACCAGTGGTGTATTAACTCTGGAGATTCTTGACTGTCACATTGACGACAGTGGAACATACAGGGCTGTATGCACAAACTACAAAGGGGAATGCTCTGATTATGCAACACTAGATGTTACTGGAGGAGATTACATTACATACTCTTCCCAGCGGAGAGATGAGGAAGTACCAAGGTCAATTTTACCTGACTTGACAAAAACAGAGGCATATGCAGTCTCCTCATTTAAGAAAGCAACTGCTACAGAAGCCAGTTCAGCAGTAAGAGAGGTTAAATCAGAAATGTCAGCAACAAGAGAATCACTCTTATCATATGAACACTATGCTGCTTCTGAAGAAAAACTCACGGCAGCTGAAGAAAAGTCATTGGAGGAAAGGACTGTACACAAGGCATTTAAAAGCACTCTACCCGCAACAATCCTTACAAAGCCACGGTCAATCACAGTTTCTGAAGGGGAGACTGCAAGATTTTCCTGTGACGTCGATGGTGAACCAGCACCAATAATAACATGGTTCCGTGCAGGTCAACCCATTGTTTCTTCAAGGCGCTTCCAAGTAACACGAACACAGTACAAGTCTACTTTTGAAGTTACTTCTGTCCAGATGTCCGATGAGGGAAGTTATACTGTTGTGGTGGAAAACTCTGAAGGAAGGCAGGAAGCACATTTCACTTTGACCGTTCAAAGAACAAAAATTCCTGAAAAAGCTATTGCAGCACCTCCAACAGTCAAATCTCCTGAGCCTCGTGTAAAGTCTCCAGAACTAGTTAAGTCTCCAAAACGAGTAAAATCTCCTGAACCCATCAGCAGCCCCCCAAAAGCAAAGTCACCTCCTGCAGACAAAACAGTACCAGCAGAGAAAGTACAATTACCAACTGCCTCTCCACCAAAGATAAAACAGCACCTGAAAGCAGAAACCCTTGGAGATAAGGTGAAGTTATCCTGTGCAGTTGAAAGCAGTGTTTTAAGTGTCAGAGAAGTGGCTTGGTATAAGGATGGCAAAAAACTAAAAGAAGACCATCATTTCAAGTTTCATTACGCAGCAGATGGCACCTATGAGCTCAAAATCCATGATCTCATGGAATCTGATAAAGGAGAATATACCTGTGAAATTACTGGGGAAGGAGGTGTTTCAAAAACTAACTTCCAGTTTACTGGCCAAGTATTTAAAAATATCCACTCCCAAGTAAGAGGTATATCTGAAACTCACAAATCAGTTCAGAAAGAAGATGAGTTGCTTACAGTTTCTTCCCAGAAGAAATCAGCAGTGGCAACTGAAGAAAAAGCAGCCATTGAGGAAGTCATTAAGAAGTCAATTGTTACTGAGGACGTCAAACAATTGAAAGCAGAAATCAAAGCATCTTCAACTAAAATGACAGTGTCTGAAGGGCAGAAAGTGACATTGAAAGCCAACATTCCCGGTGCCTCTGAAGTAAAATGGGTGCTGAATGGAATGGAGCTGAGAAATTCAGATGATTACAGATATGGTGTTTCTGGAAGTGATCACACACTAACTATCAAAAAGGCTAGTAGTAAAGATGAAGGTATCCTCACCTGTGAGGGCAAGACCGATGAAGGCGTTATTAAATGCCAGTACGTTCTGACCTTCTCTAAGGAGCGATCCAACGAGCCAGCATTTATCATGCAGCCTAAGTCTCAAAATGTCAATGAAGGACAAGATGTATTGTTCACCTGTGAAGTTTCTGGGGATCCTTCTCCTGAAATTGAGTGGTTTAAGAATAATCAACCTGTAAGTATTTATTTAATATATCTACTAGAAAAATTAGAATTATTCATAAAACCGATCCTAATGAAACCATTATTTTGCCCTCCCACAGATTGCTGTTTCATCGCACATCAGAGTAACACGCTCTAAAAACATATATTCTCTTGAGATTCAAAATGCAGCAGTAAGTGACACTGGAAAATACACAGTCAAAGCAAAAAATTACCACGGGCAGTGTTCTGCTACAGCATCTTTGACTGTACTCCGTAAGTTCATTCCCTGGGTCTTGTGTTCAGACTAATCACAACTTTTTGCTATCATGTGTCTACAAAAATTACTTATGATAAACAACACAGGTAATGTTGATTTAGGTATCTTAATGATTTCCTATACATTTTGTATATTATCTACACAGAACAGCATTAGAAATCTTTATAACATCCACAGAGGAGCACATAGATGCTCTATTACATCAACAAACGCATGTTAACGGAAGGCTATGAGAGTTCATTCTAGGATGACTGTGTTAAGACCTTGGTGCTGGCAATTACTCTTTCCTCATTTACTGACAGAACCTGTTCCAATAAAACAAAACAATTCCACAGTTAAAAACTTTTATGGTAACGTAACTGAACTGGGTTTAGCGTTTTACTTGCTGCATCATATCCCAGTTCCTAGCACCAAGGAGTTGCTATGATTTGCTTGTATGACTGTGCTTGGGTTTGGAGGAAAGCTGCAGTGATTGAGCTTTTCTGTTGCCTTTTGTAGCTACAGAGCAGTGCAGTGAAATACAGACTTTCCTATATCATGCTTGTAAGAACTTCAAGATGTTCACAATTTCTACAAACACGGACTGAACACACACAAATTCTCAATGTCTAATTCTAGTAATGGTTCTAACAGGAAATGCTGTGTGATAAACTGTTTCTTCATAAGCATGTTTTTCCTTCAAGCTTATACATTCTAGTAACTGTCCCATTTTCTACTTACCTATTTCAGTTATAAATTACTCTTTACGATTTCGACATCTTGAATCAAATTATTGTAAACAATACTATACTCCACTGCAGTTTTCCATGGAAGCTGTCTCTTCATTTCTGTAAAATTAACCATATAGAACTGCATGACTTTGTTAACATGACGTTATTGGTTTTTCCTTCTGTCTTTGCAATGCTCCTTCCTCAGCTCTAATTGAAGAACCACCAAAAGAGGTAGTATTGAAGACAAGTGGCGACGCAAGCATGCACGAAAGTTTTTCTTCTCAGTCCTTTCAAATGGCTTCTTCTAAACAAGAGGCTTCATTCAGCAGTTTCAGCAGTAGCAGCATGACTGAAATGAAATTTGCCAGCATGTCTGCCAAAAGCATGTCCTCCATGAAAGAATCCTTTGTAGAGATGAGCTCCAGCAGTATTATGGGGAAATCTAGTATGGCTCAACTGGAGAGTTCAACTAGTAAAATGCTTAAATCGGGTCTGAGAGGTGAGCAATACAATTACTAGTAGATTTAGTGCTTCAGATATCCTGAAGTAGTCCTCAGAATAGACTTGCTGCATGGCCTTGCAGAAAGACTAACTTGGTATTTCTTCTCCTATTTTTTAAAGGAATACCACCCAAAATTGAAGCTCTTCCATCTGATATCAGCATTGATGAAGGAAAAGTTCTCACAGTATCTTGTGCCTTTTCGGGTGAACCAGCTCCTGAAATAACATGGTACTGCGGAGGGAGGAAAATTACTAGTCAGGACCAGCAAGGCAGATTCCACATTGAAACCAGTGAAGATCTAACCACCCTGATCATCATGGATGTCCAGAAGAACGACGGTGGACTTTATACCCTGAATTTAGCAAATGAATTTGGTACTGATTCTGCCACTGTGAATATTAATATTCGATCAATTTAGAGAGCTTGATCTGTATAATTTACACTTGTCTTTTTACAAGTGATTCATATATGGACTGAAATATCTGATCTGTAAATATAAAGAAAAAATAATATTTTTGTACCTACCTGAATGAGACAAAAGTCCAGAGCTATACATTATGACTTATAGTCATTACTGACCTAAGAATTTTAAACATTTTTCACTGACATGTACATACTGTATATAGCCGAAGTTAACGGTTATGACGTTTTGTACCATTTATTTTATGACATTTTGAAACGTAACTTTTGGAATTAACAGTTGGCAGGAGAAAGTTTCCTAGCAAACGACTACCCTGCTCAACATTTAACTAATTTTTGCGCCTCAACTCATTGTTGATGTCTAAGAATGCCTCAACAGGTAGAGAGGCTCCCTGTTGAAGATTACCTACACCTAAGAGATGATACTGTGCATAGTATTTCATGCATGCACAAATATTTATGTTGAATCAGAAATGTAAGGCATTGGTGATGTTTGCAATTACCCTCCTGTAAGCATTGCTTTAATGTTTTACGTTGGATCTGATTATGTCATAATTTCCATACCTGACTGACTATTTTTGGACAAAGTGCAAGCGGCCAGCACTTTGTTCACCCACCATCTGTGTACTGTTTCTGACACACTGACTGCCTGAATAGCTTTAAAAAAGTAACATCACCTGGCCATCCCCTTAATCAACAAAGCTATTGAGGTACTCAAGTGCAGCAGCAGTACCCACTCTCGGAGGTTCGTAGGATGCAGTGATTGAGTGTGTGGTAGTATTAGACATCCAGTAGTCACTCCCGGGCAACTAAGCAGTGAACCACAGTTTGAAAACAAACTGTTGTTACAACAACAAATATCCTGAGCACTTCAATTTGCTTTAGTTTTCCTAATGTAGTAATAAATCTTGTTAGGTGTTGAACCTCCTTGAGATAGAATTGTTCATTTGAAATAAAGCATGCTTTCTGCACCATATTTCCTGCAAGTCCTTGGTTTTTATTTACTATGCTCTGTTTTTACAGTTCCTGTACTACACTACAAGAAGAGTTGCTGAAAGAAAATACAAGGTAGCAGTACAGTTCTCTAGTGTAAATTAGGTAGCTAACTAGCTGTTGAAAATCCAGCCATCTATCAGAAGCAGCCTGGCCACCACAAGGAAGTCAGATTCAAAAAAATGTCAGACTAAGTTTCCATCATGGGCTTTTTATCAATGAAGGATAATTTCTAGCATATCCCTAAACATTATGCTGTTCTTATTATCCCTCTGTTCAGTGAATTTACAGGTCTTTCATTACATCCCGTATATGTAAATTGAAAATCTCTCTTCTTTATAGATGGTCTCTGCTGAAAGTGGGTAAAAAACTGCCTCCCGGAAACCTGACTATTGCCTCCTTTTTTTGGCAGCTACAACTAGTACAGACTAATGACCCTAACTGCCCTGACCGAGAAGTTCTCACCTACCACAGGTGATGAAGGGCACAATGCCCCATCAGTTCTCCATCCCTCAAGTCAGCTGACATATCTAGAGAAGTAAAGCCTGTTTTCACATTTGGGAAGGAATCAAAAATCCCATGCAGGCAGGGCATAATTTTGGTTATCTATGGGAAGAGTATTAAATTCAAAGAAGCAATTCTGCTTCTATAATTCATTCTGGTCAGTAGGAAAAGCTTGGGAGGAAATACACACACAGCAATGCAACACTGCTTCGGTAGCTGCAAAATCCTCTTAAGTAGAGCAGGAGCGTTAGTTAGCAACACTATGCATATCACTGTGACTCCCAGCATGCTACTACTACTAAAATATCCTCAAGTTTGTTGGAAGTAGTAAAGCAAGTAGTATGTTTAAAAACCTATTAAAAAATCTCACTATAGAAACAGATTTTTTTTTCTTAATTTCCTATAAACCTACTACTGATCTCCAGAGGTCCCTTCCAACCTTTACAATTCTGTGATACTGTGATATGCTATCAACCACTAGCTATCCAAATGATGCAGGAAAAGCTAATAAATGGGGATGAAACAAGGACTGAAGTAAAAATAAGGATTTTGAAAGGGCTAAGTTGTAGGTCAGGACAAGATCCAGACTTTTACAAGTGATGGAACCAGGAACATTTAGAAGCGATATTACAGTGTTTAAGTGTGTGTGCAGATTTAAGCATGGACTCTTCTCCACAAATGCTACTGGAAACTTGGTCTTCTGTGGCCTCTACTGAGTCTAGACTTGATCAAGAGGAAAGCACACTGACTGTCACGGCAGTGTAAGAAAGTTCATTCTGCCTGGTCCTCTCTGGCCCAACCCTGTCCAGTACAGGCATACCAAACTTTAAGCAGATGTCTAAAAGTAGGATTTCTTACAGGCTTTGCTGAAACACATCTTTAATAGATAACTTTACATGCTGACCTGCTCAGCCAGTGTCGTCTTTTCTGGGTTTTTTTAGTTATATTTTTTTTACACAAGACTGATCAGTGAATGATGATATAGTGACATCGATAAAGTCACAACCTGAAGTTTCAATATTCAGCTTCACAGAACACATCCCTTAACAGTAACATTTTCCAGACACTAGATTAAGCAGTCTCTGGATAAAAAACAAAGCTAAAATGACCAACGAACATTTCAGATTATTTGCTTACTATATTAGGTTGAATACTGTACAAGTTAACATTTGTCTTCTTTAAAATCTATTGCACTATAGGACCAAACTCAGAAAAAGATCCTACCACGCTATGTGTGTAAGGCATTTGGACTTCATGTTTCCTGGGTCCCAATGCATAAGGAAAACTTTCTACACAACACCGTGAGCTGCTGTACAAATAGCACCTGTAGAAGGCTACAGTATACAGCATACAAGTACAGTACAGTACCTGCAGAGGGCTCCAGGTTCTGTACTAACATTTTACATTTGGCAGCCTGAGAAAAATAACTCTGATGATGGATAGCTGTCATAAAACAGATTCATTTTACCACACTAGCAAACAAGAAACCCTAGTCTTAACATTGCGTTGAAGTTTTTATCCTTGCCTCTAGTTTCAACAACTTTTCCCTTCAAGGGAGAAAACTGTATGAACAGAACACCTCTAATGAAGTAATAAAACTTCTTTAGTTGGGACTTTTTCCTTTTTTTTTTTTTTTTTCGGTTTTACAGCTTGGCTTTATAAAAAAAGATTAAATCTGAATGCTTAATGTCTATTAAAAAAAAAAAAAAACAAAAAAAAAAAACAAGCATTAACAGCCAAATATCAATCAGTCAATTATTCCCACAGTGGAACAAACCACAGTACTAACCACAGCAGTACAAAGGAGGAAGGATGACAGAGAAAATAAGTACTCTGACACACCAGAAAATGATAGTGTGTAGAAATATAAGTGTCAGACCCAGGTAAAGTAATAATGACCCACTTCTGCAACTGTAACCCAAACTTTGTAGAAAATGCCTAGGCAGCCTACGGAGTGTACTGAGAAAGGGCAGCTACAGAAGGAGCCAAAGCAGTATGAATCACAAGAGAACATGAAACACCGGGAAAAAGAGAAGACACTTTTAAATCCTGTCCAGTGACAGGATTTCAAGAATTACTTTGACATCTGCAATTAACAGCCTCGGAGATGGCTGTTTACCCTTCCCTCAGAAAAAGCTGAAGGAGGCCCATCTCTTTTTGTTGTCATTAAATACATCCATAGGATACAACTGTGCTCTCCTCTTTAACCTTCACTCCCATGTGTGATGACTAGAACAGTCAGGATATGGTTATTGGTGTACATGCTCTTACCAAGCAACATTCTGGATTGCTCATCCAGACTTACTTAACAATTATCAAAATGCCAATTAAATTACTAAACGACACCTTCTTATCACTACTGTACACACAGTGGGAAGAGCAAAGTTAAAGTGTTTCTTGTAGAATGTTTTAAAGTTCAGGCCATAACTCTGTCTTCTACTAAGTTTGTTTGGTAGTGAAGCACTGTTTCCTGCCCTGTATGGGAAGGGGAATGTCCAATTTCCAAACCTTAGTTCACTGCTTAAGCTAGCTGCTAAGGGGCTAAGCCCCTTCAAAACAGTGGCAATTCTAAGGAGGTACATACACCGTTCAGTAGGGTAAAACTAACCTGTCTCACGACGGTAACCCTGCTCGGTACGAGAGGAACCGCAGGTTCAGACCTCTGGTGTGTGCGCTTGGCTGAGGAGCCACTGGTGCAAGGCTACCATCTGCGGGCTTATGACTGAACACCTCTAAGAATCCTGCCTAGATGCTTGATGTTGTGCTGTTGCATCATTGGTCGCTTGTGATTGACCCAGGAGATGACAGTCTTGTTCAGAATGCGTGGGTAAAGCTATTCCCGAATCTTTGTTAGTGGAGACAGGCCTTCCTCATAGGAGAAGGAAAACTACCTTCAAACCCGGGCTGACAGAGCTCATCTAGCCTTGTATGGTCTTCCATCAAAGAGGATACTCTTACAAAACCTATGACCTGTGGACTTTGCTGTCACTGTCCTAGATAACTAGGCTGTGGCAGGTAAACCTCAGGTTTAAAGCGTGGGGCCAGTTCTGTGCAAGCTGCGCTTCACCTAAAACATCCACTGCGCAGGCTGGAAGGGCTTACTCTCACTTGTCTGTATGGATAGGAGAGGGTCGAAACGGTAGGTGACAAGGTGCATGGGAACCTGCAGATCCAACCTTGCATGCGGGTGGACCTGCGCATGGGTAGCTCGAGATTGCTCAGGAGATGACAGTCCTGGTCGGACAGTTCCTGATTGCCTTAGCACCCTTTTTTCAACCAGATTTGCATATCCCACATGCCCTTGGTCATCGTGCTTGTAGTAAGCATGGCTAAAGCCTTTCCCAAATCTTCACTTGTGAAGTTAAGCCAAGCCAAGCAAAGCCAAGCCACATACACCATTACCTTCATCTGTGGAGCTTTATAAGTGAAATAATAAAAATCCATATGGTCCTTTGGTCTTCAGCATTCTTGGTCTTCAACGTCTCCAACAGCAGAGATTTTCAGGATGGCAACTGTGGATTTGGGCACCCAGGTCCTATAAAAATCCCCTTTAGTAGTAACTTTCTCTTCTAGATCTGAAACTGTTAGGTTCAGCCCAGCAGGAACAACAGCTGCACTACAATACTTAAAACTGGTATGTCAAAAGAAGTAAAACTCATGCTTATAGTTTGTGAAAATAATCTTAACATAAATAGCTGTAATTTCAATTTTTAAATATATTTTTTTTTAAATGCAGAAGAAACCTCTTAAGTATTCCTATCCCAAAGGCTCTTTTTGCTGGGAGCAAAAAGAAAACAAACACCCAAACAAAACCCCAGGATACTGTTCACTAAGTGGAGAGAAACAGACATCAATTTTCGTAAGTTTAAAGCCCCTAAATGTTGCAATCTCAGTAATTTTCAGAAATTACTTCTTTGATCCAGATGCCAGAAGTTTAATGGCATATCAATCACCTGCACCGATTTCATTGAAACATGTTTTAGGGGTTTTGCCACAGAGTTTGGCACAGGTATAAATAGGCTGATTTAACCTTAGCAGGAACAGGTTACATATATTCAAAAACATCATTCCAGCTTTAGTGGCATGGAGAAACCCCCAAAAGTGCTGAAATAATATGCAAATTTTATGCTTGAATCTAATCATTACCAGTTTTGTCTAAACAATCCAGTATTGAAAATTATTATTTACTTCTACATTTAGTGATCAGTCTCAGAGGACTTTTGCACACTCTGAAGTCCAAAGTATTTTCTCTGTCATAGCTGAAAGCCAGAAAAAGGTATTTGTTAATGTGACATGTAATTAACACTGAACAGGCTGGCAGAAACACCAGTGAAATTGCAAAAAGGCAGCTCTAAGCATACGATTCAAGACAACACTCTCATTGCAATACGTATTTTACTTCTCTGAACATCTTTTTTTAATACTTATTTTTACAATTGTTGGGTTGTACAGAATACATTAAAGCAAACATTCAGAAAACAAAAAGTACAAGCATGTGTGTGGCTGATATGCATACACTAGTTGCATGAAAACTGACAGAACTGAGCACAGATGACAGCTCTGAGCTGATATCCACAAGTAACTTCACTTGTACGAATTATTCCGTTCCATCTGATCCTGACATAATGATTGATAAACTGGTATTTTATACATGGACAACAGCTGATATACTTTTCCTCAAAATTTGGACCTATTTTGTATAGATAAATCAGCATTTCAGAAATTTATAAGGAAACCTTCCATTCCATTCTCATCTGTCCTTTCCAGCTTGCTTCAAAAACACCAAACTATTCATAAACACAAAAGGAAGACTAGTTAAACCAAATTAAAGAAGATTTGATTACAGAAACAGATTTTGGTATGTGCTTGAGTGCAAAAAACCCTGTACATTTACTTAGCAATTATGTAAATCAAACACAGTAAATGGCTTGTTTAAAGTGCTCTACAGCTAAGATTTAATAGACCAAGTTTATCCCTAAATTAATACCCCCCAAATTCCCACAAGCTTACAATGCTAACACTAACAACCTCATGGACCAAGGTGCTAGTAGGCACTGTTATACTCTTATTTATTTATTAAATATTAAGAGACAGACTCTGATCTCACTTACAGTTAATGCAAATTTACACTGGCATTGAAATTTACACTGACACTGTAATTGAGCACAGAATCCATCTCCTGGTGTATACCATCCTCAAAAGATACAAAGGAGTTGCAAAAACAAAAGCTTCCTCTTGTATAAATATGTTATAAATAAAATAAGTATAGATACAAATATTGACTACAACAGCAGCTGAATGGGCTAATATTTCAGCTCTTGCTTCCAGAATCTTTTGCTAAAAATACATCTTAAGTGAGCAGAGTGAATCTCAACACTGCTGCATTAGCTACTTGTGACACTACACACCCCAGAAACAATTTATGCACATTTTGAAGCCTTTACTAGATCTTTAGTAGTGAAAGTAGGTAGAAATTTTTTATGCAAAAAAGAATAAATAAATAAAAATTATTAAATATCCAATGTTTGGTACAAATGCTTCATATTAAGTTATTTTTACACATTTACTTAGAAAAATACACTAAATATTTCTACTTCATTGGCTACAAATAAGGACCAGATTATGTATATCCTTGTGTTTTTAAAGAAGGCAAATGTCAATTAGCATCATGCTGCTAGAGTAGACCCATTAGTGCCTGTTCCCACAGCCCCTACACAGACACCAGAGGGCTTATCACAGCTCCTGGTAGATGACGTGGTACAAATGACCAAGAGGCGCATGGCACAAGTTGAACTTCAGCAAAAAGGTTTCGTTTTTCTTGGAGGATGTTTATAACCTGCAGGTTTACTAACGTATCAGTCTGACCTTCACACTTTTTAAAAAGAGCTACCTTTACAAATGTGGATGCTTATCTGTTAAGCCACCATTTGTTCCAAAAAATGCACATTCAAACTGTGAAATATTAGGAAAATACTCTTGCAAATAAACTATATAAAGATAAAATACACTTCAAAGATAGTTTTTATGTTATTCTATAAAGTGCAGAGAAATCCTTCTAAAAAGGGAAATGACTACTTCCTGTAACAACAGTATAATTACAGCAGCTTTTGCATAGCATTATTTATCGAAAATTAAATACTTTCAGTTGCTTCAGGAAGAAAAAGATGGAAAAGTCTCTTCCAGTTCAGATCTTTCCATTGATACTGATCTATTTTCTTCAGGAATGGTTGATGATACCAGATCTCCATTGACAGCACTTCTAGAACAGTGAGCAGATCCTAAGAAAATATCAGTCAGTATTTAATTGTCAACCTCAAAAAAACTCTGTTGATTATTCTATTTGCTAAGTATTTCCTAAACATAAGCAATCAGAAGCATAATTACTCTGGAATTTTCCTGAAAGATCTCAATCAATATCATGCCCAAGGATGATGGATATGGAGAATGTTCAGCTTGTCTAAATCAAGTAATAGCTTATTTTTTGTATAGACAATGATGTTTACATTCTGAAGGACAATAATCTGTGAGGTGCAGACATACTTTCCAAGAGGAACACATGAACTTTTTTTTAAAAAAAGAACTTTTGCATCAATAAGCATTTAATTAAAACATTTTCTATCATTAAAATGAAATGAATGACTTACTGCAAACTGGGCATTGCTAAGCTACCTGACAAGAAAGAATGAAGGATAACTGGAAGGTAGGAGAGGGAGCTTCCAACACAGTAAAAGAAAACCAACAAAAAAAAAAAACCCAAACAAACAAAAAACAGAGACACTGAGCTAGAAACTACAGCTACAACCAAAAAAGCCTTGTATTAGCAGAGGCGCAACAGTCAGACTCTTCTCAGCAGTCCTGAAAAGTATCAGACAGGGTAACTGACATTAGAAGCTCCAGATGGGTACCAATAAAACCTTTGCACTGTAGGAAGCCAGACTGCTGAGCACCTACATTCGTGATGAGACACAGAATAGGATCTAAACTAAGTTTTATTAGCTTGGGATATATATTGGCATATCCTATGCTGGTGGCAGATGAGCGAGGTGAAAGAGGTGGCCACCCTGCATCACGCAAGCATCAGAGAACCAAGGAAATGGTGTGCAGGTGCAAAAACTTGCTTCATGATAGAATATAAAGCATTAGTACCTCTGTGCTCACATGAGATTTCAGCAATGCACAGGCCTCAGGTTTTTTAATCCAAGTGAGGCACTAAGTACTCTGAAAGGAAGCAAGACTAAACTAGAACTAGTCAAAAAGAACCAGACAAAGTCTCCCTGAGAGGAATTAGGATGGAGTCAAAATGACAGCAAGATTCAAAAGGAAAGAAGACAGAACTGCCTACTAACTCAGTAGGCCCATCTAACCAGAATGGAACAATACTCTGACAACAGCATAATTTCTTAATTTTGGGGGCTGATTTTATTTATTATTGGCTAGGCTGCGCTATTTCAGAATAGTGCCGTTCTCTACAAAAAGCAAGCAGCCACTGAAATGAGCCATCTTTCTGCAACGCACTTGGTGGAAATTACCCCGTCACTCACAGAAGTCACAGAAAGTATTTGCTTTGTGACAACAAGCAGGTGGCAAACAAGAGTATTCCACACCACTTACCACAACATCATTCATGTAAGACTCTATTAGTACAAACATCCCTTTTCTGGTTATGTGTCTATTTTGTGAGTAGTCCCACTGATTTAAACACAACTACTCCAGCTGTAAGATCCTTTTCAATATGAATGAAAGCCGTAAGTCAGTCACATAACAAACTACAGAAGTACTCTGATTTGTAATACAGGAGTCCTACAACCAAATCTTTGCAAAAATCAGTAGACTTTTTTCCTCATGCTGATATAGGCTGTAAACGTACACTTTCACACTGCTGTACACAGTGTAATAAACTGTACAGAATGGGACAAAGGAAAACGACTGCTCTCGCAAACTCACTCTGAGAATCTTCAAAGGAAGCATCAGTGTAAGATTCTGTATCAGAGTATGTTCTTCTGCGCTGCTGTGAAAATCGGTGAACAGATGAAACTGGTTCTTTTACAGACTGATTACTCCTACAAAATAAGTGAGATCTATCAGTCAGCATAATCTGTATCAACCCACACAAACTTAATATACTTTAAATTAAAAATAACTTTGGTGCTTATATTAAACCATTAGCATCAATATTTTTCACTAGGCTAAACTAAATATGGCACAGTCACCAGAACATCATTTTCACAATTATAAAGCCTGAAAATGGAAATAATATATTATTTGCATGCAAATAACTCAAAAATCTGAAATACTCATCCAAAAAGAATGTTAGCATTCAAGCTCTATGTCTAATTTAATGGACTTGTCAGAATAAGTCATTTGCATAAAACTGATATCACGAAGAAATTTTTATAGTGCACTAGAGACAGCAGCTGCATTATTTGCTACCAACACCAATAATCTACACCTTTAGTTTTCAAAATTACATCAATTTATGCTGTTTAATGTACTTTCCCTGAGTGAACTATTCTTCTCAACATTTTGATTTTAATGCTAGCAGGTTTAGCAATATTTTTTTTAGACAGAAGAAAAAATGTTAACAAAATAGAAAATTACCTTTCTGAATAGCAAGGACCAGGGTGGCTAATGGAACGCTTCATCTGGAGGGGGGGAAATTCAAAAAACAAACCACACCAAAAAACGTCACAAGCTACTTATATGAATATATGCATACCTACATTAATTTTTACTTTATTTACAGTCTCTACAAAGAGAGAAGAAATCTTTTTATTATTAAAAGCAACCATTCTTAGTTAAAAATCTGATTTAACTTTATGAAAACAGACAGATTGCCACCAATAATTAATGTTTTAAAGCATTCAAACAGGAAACAGTTTATTACAAAAACTACTACCTTGTTTCTATGGAATTCACACTATCTTGCTCAAAAGTTACTCATAGAGCCATTTGTTAATTGCTATGATACACCAAAATATCAAGATATTTTTCCTCTACCAAATGCCTGCTTAATTTACCCATTACACAATAAAGCCATAACCTGCCTCTTGATTCTTTGTGGTTCTTCTACCGTCACTGTCAGATCTCTATGCATATCAAAGAAAGTAACTAATTTAAATCAATAATGATCAGCTTTGCAAGTAAACTGATTGAATATAATGAGACTAGAGATCCAAGTGCAAAGAAAGGGATTCCCACAACAAAATCCCACAATGCAGCTCATCTTGGAATCTATATGTACGATCAAGAAGACATTTAAGATGATTTCACATACACTGTCCTACTAAGGGAAGCAATCAGTAGTGAAGAGTTACCTAAGTAACATCCTCACCTTTTGTTAGATAAGGACATGTTAGATTAATACAAACATTTTGAATTACATATACCGAAAGATATGCTATCTTGCTGAAGTGCTTCAAGCCACAAGGCACTTATCTGTTTAAACAGGAGGCAAGGTAATGAAATTTTTAAGATCAGTGTACAGCTAGCCTTCTAAAAACCAAAGTAACAGTTGAACTGAGGAAAAGCTAAACCTCACGTCATTTATGAGATACTTCATGGAAAGGGTCCTGACAAGTATGATAAATTACTCTGGTCATGTAAAGGCTAGCAAACAAATACTGGGAATGGAAAACTATTGATTTATGTTTAGGACCAGCATTGGTCATAACAGAGTCAAGATTTCAGCTGTTGACATCACAGCACACAACAATAGCATAGTCTTCCGCCATTCTTCCCCCCATCCAACCAACAAAATGCCATTTAGAGAAAAATAGTATTTCAAAATGTCTAAACCATTTGGACAGGTGATGGTGACACAGGAGAAACTAAGGGATCAGGGTGAGGCAGCTGGAACATTTCTGGCTTAAACTTGGCATTAGCAATCTTCACACATTCTTCAAGCGTTGTGATAAACGTATTACATGTGGCACTAAGCAAGGAAGAGGCTTCATTCATGTTCTGAAAATAAATGAAAGCATAAGCAAGAATACAAAAAAAATAATTAGGTGCAAATACAATTCTGCCACCACTGCTCACACACACACTAATTTCCCTCATTACCCCTAAGAACTTCATTTTCCCATTTTATTTAATCAAATGTACACCTTCCAATGAGATTAATTTAAGCAAACAAATGTGACAGCATTATAATTTCTTTCTAACATCTGAATTTCTTTAGGGTATCAATCAACAATAGCAGAATTTTTTTACTGCAGAGCTTGTCTCAGAGTGACAAACATGTATCAGAAGATCATTCGGCAAGATAAATGAACTGCAGCAGAACATAACAGCTTTATTGCTTCAGTGCAAGGAGCCCGCAAGTCAGTTTTACCTCACTGTACATTGACAACAATTTGCTGTGTTGTGACTAAATGCAACCCCTCGCTTTGCCCTAGAAGTGGACAAGAATAATGCCCACGCACTGCTTAAGAATGAGAAGAACAAAGTCATTCATAATTTCCAGTCAACTTTCATTCCAAAGCAGAAATACTAGAATAATTCTACTTGTGCATATTCAGAGAGATGTATCTGCACTGTAGGTTTCCATTACCTGTAACACTAACTTTCTCTGAAAAAACAATGGAACACCCTGCTACAAAAAGAAGAATGGATAAACAAGGTCATTTCAACTCTGCCCACAACAGAGATGTGAAACGACAAATTACTGCATATCTCATATGGGAGTCTTTCTGGCCTTTTAACCAAGTGATAAATAACACAATTTCTTCCTAATGCACATTAGAATTACAGTTAAATCACCCAGGCACTTTATGCACATATAATCACTGTTAGCATTATATACAAACAAGCACTCAGAAACTGACCTTAGGCTAAATCTCCTCTCATTAGGGAGATGAAAAAGTAAGATGTCAACAAAAACTTGAGGTGTATTATATAATTAGTTTCTCCAATGGCATTTGAGAAATTCTATACCTCAATGCTGGGAGGAGAGTGAGTCTCATCATGGTGAACAAATTCTTGTATTGTATGAACTTGCTGCATTAAAAGATCACAGTAGAGACGAAGTTCGGACATTTTGGTTTTAAGAGATTCATTGGTCTCACTTATTTCTATAAAAAAACAATGGAAATATCAACTTACTGCATGCAATGTATGTAACCATTTTAATTTTTAAGCACTTTTCATTTTAAGTGTCAGTTTAAAAATTCACTTTCATTTACTTTTGACGAAAATTGGATTCTGCAGTGAGTCAAGAACAGTACCTGAAGCAGACTATAGTCTGTACCTTTGGATAACTGATGCTAATTTAATGACTATTATGAGAGAGACATAATACAGGAAAGATAAAGTTGAAATCTTTCTAGATACAAGGTAATTCATAAAAAAATAAATGAATGAAATTTACGTCCACAGAATTTGCTGGAAATGGTTACATTAACCCATCCAAGAAAAATTATGGGAAAACCAATATTAACAAGAAAGAATCAAACCAGCAGAAATAAAACAGTGTCACACAGCTACAAACAGTAGGTTTGTTCTTCTAATGACAAGAAATTGGTGGTATTTCAGCTTCTTAAAGATAGAAAAGGTCAATGGAGGTGACCTCTAAGACAAACATCAAGCAGGAATTTACCATATAGATGACTAGAAATAATTACAATTTATATTTAAAGAAAGACAATCAGCATTGGCTTTCTACCACAATATTTGCACTACTATTATCTAAAACCAAGCATTTCAAAAAGCGGTAAGATTGTACATGCTCTAAGAAATACATACATACCTTTTTCTTTTTTTGTTCTGATATCTGCTAAACAGGCTTTTGCACTCCCAAGTGCTACCAGCCACCTTTGCCTTTCAGCTGCATTAACTGCTTTCATATAGAAATGTTGTTCCCCTGGGATGATTAGCTCCATCCTTGTGTTGTCTGTTGCATGAACTTACGATAGAGGAGAAAACAAAACAATTTTGAAGAAAAAAATAAACTCAGTAGCAATTATTTATTAAAAACTGAACAAATTATTTAAGTATTTTTAAGTGTTTATTACAATCCCATAGTAATACAGTAAATCACAATGCACCACTACTAAATATCAAAAAGCCAAAGCTGCTCAACCCTTCTCCCCAGCGTGCCTTCAAGTCAGAAGGAACACAAGACACCAAACAGTATCCAGACTCAAGTACAATGAGGTTCCCTTTCTGCATTAACAATATACTGAATATGAATCTGTAATAACTGTTGTATTCCAAACCTGGTCTAAACATGACAAACTGAAGAGCTTTATTGTAAGGACAAATATTTATGAGGAGTAGACTTAAAAACTGAAGTAATCTCCCTTTGTCGTGGTTTAACCCCAGCCAGACATCTTTTCACCCACTCCCCCCCCTTCCTGCCCTCCCCCTATTCCCGGAGGGACGGAGAGGAGAATCATAAAGAATGCAACTCCCACGGGTTGAGATAAGGACAGTTTAGTAACTAAGGTATAACACAAATCACTCCTGCTACCACCAATAATAGTAATGATAAAGGAAATAACAAGGGAAGAGAATACAACACCTCAGCACCAGGCAACCGATAACTCGCTCCCCCCCCAGCCCGACCAAGCACCAACCGATACCTCCTCCAACCTTGCAGTCCACTTAGCCCTTCCGGGTAACTCCCAGTTACCTCCTGGGCATGACGTGCTGTGGTATGGAATACTTCTTTGGTCAGTTTGGGTCAGGTGTCCTGTCTCTGCTTCCTCCCGGCTTCCCTCCTCCCTGGCAGAGCATGAGGCTCACAAAGTCCTTGGCTAAACCAAAACATCATTTTTATCAGCTTTGTTTCCAGCCCGAAAGTCAAAACACAGCACTGCACCAGCTACCAAGAAAGAGAAAAATGACTGCTACTGCTAAACCCAGGACACCCTTCTAGATGAAATCTGTCTTCAAGTGGCAGAGACCTAGAATGAAGACCTGACAGGGACTTTTGTTTATAGTCTATTATACTCAACACTGCATCATAACTGAATATACTGCTGAGTTTCATGTTATCAACCACAGTCCATTCAGACTCACACCCCACTAGTCATGGATGCAGGAGACTCCACCAAATCCAGACTTCAACTATTATCTTTTCTTCACCAAAACAACAAGATGACAAGCAAGAAACTACTGAAATGGCCAAAAAATGGGATCTTCCACTTCACATTACTGATTTCATCTATGCTAAAGGAACAGCAACAAAAAGGGGTTACTACATGAAAAACACCTATTGGCCCATGTAAAATAAGAACCCCCACTTTTTCATAAAGTATCCACTTCAAAAGCCCAATCATCTGCAGGTATCTGGAAAGACGTGAAGAGCTGAAAACACTTAAGAGTTAGATAATGCCTTCCTATTAGCCAAGGAGGTTGACCTACAGATTAAGATACACCAAATGCTAAACTTACGGTCTGACACAAACAGTTCACTTACTAACTCTACTATATCCATCACTTATGCATGTGGGCAGCTGCTAACTGTGACTAAAGTAAAAATTACTCAGGAAAACAAAAGACTAAACATCTCTGGTTTATAATAATGTCCCCTTTTGGGTCACTGCTGGTGCTCTTCTGAAAAATTAGCATTCATGATTCAGTGTCTGTCCTGGGTTCAGCTGGGACAAAGTTTATTTTCTGCTTTCAGTGCAGTGTTTTGGCTTTAGTCTGAGAATAAGGTTGATAACACACAGATGTTTTAGTTGTTAAGAAGCATTTACGTTAATCAAGGACTTTCAGTTTTCCATGCTCTGCCAGTGTGGAGATGCACAGGAAGCTGGGAGGGAGCACAGCCAGGACAGATGACCCAAACTAGCCAAAGGGATATTCCATTGCACAGAACATCTTTCTCAGTACATGAACTGGGGGCAGTTGGCCAGAAGGGGCTGATCACAGCTTGCCGATGAGCTGGGCATCAGTCAGCAGATGATAAGCAATTATACTGTGCATCACTTGGTTTCCTTGGGTTTTATTTATCTCTTTTAATTTCCTATTAGTATTATATTTTACTTTATTTCAATTATCAAACTGTTCTTAATCCACGAGGTTTTATCTTTTTCCAGTTCTTCTCCCCATCCCACATGGGAGTGAGCAAGCAGCTGCCTGGTACTTAGTTGCCAGCTGGGGCTAAACCACAACAGTGATCTCTTCTACTTCCTTGGCAGCTAAAATTTCATCAAGCATAAATCTATTAATTCTTACCTTTAATTTCACACACAGCCATTTTTATACTTCCTTTGCTGCCTTTGCAAACATCATCCTGTGAATCATAGTATGACAATATCCCATTGTCTAAAACAAACCACCGAGGCTGCCAACCTAGTGAGAATAATGAAAAGTAAGTTCAGCCTAATTACTAAATTGCAAATCAAACTCAGCTCTTTGACTGTTAAAACTTTTATTAAAAATGCAAACATTAAACTATCGTTTTAACACACCAGGAAGTAAACAATCTGCAGAGGCTAAAGATCACAGCCCCTCTATAATAAGACTAGTATTATATGGATATTTTCATTCCCATTCTTTTTGGATGCAAGATAAGCAGTATTCCAGTTTTCACCATATTCCATTCTAAAGCAAACTTAAATATCAATTTAGCCACTAAGGAAGCCTATTTTGAAGGCTGATAAATTATGTACCTCTAAAGAACCATTCTCATTCAAGTGTATTTTTCAGGTAGACTTTCTGGAGACTGTAGGAACTTACTTGTAAGATACAAAAAAGTGACTGATGTTACCAGCTGCTACCGAGGCTCTCCCTCTGCCTATTCTGTGCCAGTGAAAACTTCGTATTTCACTCTAACTTTCTCTGAAAGAAGCCCAGCTCCATTGCTCAACAACAATCTAATGTCAGGTATTATGTGAAGAACTGAGACATGGCTTACAGCCCTAGTCCATTTGTGAGGACAGCATACACCAGCTCCTCTACTAAGGTTTTTATCAACTTTGCATTAGCAAAATTATATAATAATCTCTGACTTTACTACTTTTACAAAACAGAGCAGTTTATGCATAGACACAAAGATCTATGAGAACTCTATGCAGCATCACAACACATACTGAATTACTGTCATGGGCCTTCTCGGATTAAAGTATATTAGCAGTCTTCTTTTCTTTCCTTTTTTCCCCTTTTTCTAATCACAGCTTCATAGAACATCAGCCATTGGAATAGGTGCCCGAATGTCTAATACAACTAAATGCAAACCACTTTGCCTAGTAAATCACCTTTGTTTATAAAAATAGAATTAAAATATTCCAGTAGAGCGTTACAATTAAACTGGCCCACTACAGTCTAGATCAGCTGTTCAACAGAAGCAGATTATCCTTTTATTTTACACTCAACACCAAACTTGAACTTCCTGCTCAGTTAGGGTACTAAAGACCCTGTCCAGTAAAATGCAGCTCAGAAATGCACGAATGTGGTTTTTTTTCCTGCTATACTGTGTTACAAAACATTAACTCTGTGATGCTCTTATCTCCTAAGAGCATGCACAGTTGGTGAGTCAATGCCTGTCTCAATTCTCATAACAAGGGACCCTACACGTATGACTTTTCCAGCCTCCTATTATGCCGGTACTGGAAAAAACAGAAGCAAAGGACTTGAAAGACTCCAAATGCCTCACAGAAGCAAGCTAAAGAACAAAAACACCTCTTCTGATTTCAAACTGGGCAAACAAAGCATCCTATGCTTGACAAAATTTTTAACAATTCTTTAGTTCACAAATTCTTAGATGCACATATATTATTTGGGGGGTGGGGAATAAAGCTGCATTTCTGATTTGCTTTTAATGAAGGAGAAATTAAATGTTTTCTACAATGCTTCGGGTACAGTAACAAGCTCCTTTACTGCCTGGCTTCTACCATCAATGACAGACAGCAAGTCCTACAGCCTATTTCTGGCTACAGACACAGACAGTAGAGTTCCAAGAAAGTTGGTAATAATATCTAAAAACTTTACTGACTAGATTTTGCTTTTTAATTTGCTGCCCTCCTACACTGCAGAAATTGAGGGAATTCCTGAAGCACTGTAATTTTGAAAGGCAAGAGCAGATGCTATCAGCTTGCCAGCACACACTAAAGGAAGGGTTCTGCAGTTTGCTGTTTTAGAGGGCTACTTTTAGCAGAAGTTAGCTGTGTTGGTGTAACAGTCTATTGCCTGCACAGCAATCACAGTTACTGTTGAATATTTACTTCTTAAATAACAGCCTTCAAATGGGAAGTTTATACCAACCACCTCAAGGGCTCATTACCTGTGACCTTTTACATTTTGCTACAGTAACTTTTTTGTTCAGATAAGTGAAAGTGACATTTTCCATTCTATTTTGAAAAGAAACTTACGCTCATCGTTTCTTTCATAACCACAATTTTTCCTATATGCGTTTTCTCCACATTTATAACGAAGAAATGACAAAAATATCTTACCAAATAGCTATTTAATTACAGTACAACTATTCTCTTTCATTGGAACACCAGTATATACGGATATATATTTGCCCAGTAAAAGATTATGCTCTGTACACTTCGCTGGGCCGTTAGAACTGAACACTTCGGGCGGCGCTTCCCTCCAGCCTGTCCTGTTCGTAGTCCCTGACCAACTCAGCAAGGCGCTATCCAGGTCTCAAGGCGCACCTGCCCACCCAGTTCGCAGGGTAGGCGGAGGGGCAGGGCACAGTAGGGTTGGGAGGCTCTGGGGGCCGCCCTGGTGCCCACAGGGCTCATGCTTGGCCGCGGCCTGCCACCCCCTCCCACGCCACACACACGGAAGCGCGCGGGGAGCGCTGCCGAGCCGCACCGCCCCCCCGGGACGGCCCCGGCGCCGGTTCCAGCTCCAGGCCGCCGGTCTCCGGGGTGCCGCTCGGCCGCTACGCAGCGGCTCGGCCTTGAAAACGAACAGCGATCATTTCTCAGCCACCGCGATAAACACAGCTCCCAGCCGCCCCCGGGAAGGCGGGATGAGGCCAACTGCCCCTATACTGCAGGCCCCAGCCGCCTCAACCACCACCGTTCCCTGAGGCCCCGCTCCCGCCGCCTACCCGCCAGGTAGTTGGTCCACTTGTACAGGACGCCCTCCATCGCTCAGAGCCCGACGCTGGGCCGCATCCTCCTGCTCCACCGCGGGGAACTGGCGGCGACCGCCGCGGCGGGGATGGGCGCTCACCTCCCGTCCCCGCCGCTGCAGCTCCCTGCGCGCACGGAGGCGGGGCCGTTCAGCTCAGGCGCGGCGGCCCGCGGCGGCCCCGGCGGCGCCACCCGGCCCGCGGGGCGCTCCGCATCTCCCATGCGCGCCCGACCGCACTCCTCGGCCCCGACAGCCCCCGTCGTTGTTTCCTGACGTCCCTTTCACTTCCTGAGTGGAGGGGGCCGGCTCGCAGCACCGCCCACCCCGGAGCTGCCGCTGCCTGGGTTTAGGCCGGGCCCATCGCCGCGACTCAGCCCCCGCCCCGCCGCCTAGCGGGTCCAGTGCCACGCCGGCGACCTCCTCTCAACGACATGGGCCGCGGGCTACTGCTACTCCTGCCGCTGGCCTTGCTGGCCGCCCAGACGCAGGCTGAAGGCGGCGCGGCGACGGAGGAGGTTAAAATAGAGGTGCTGCACCTCCCTGAGGTCTGCAGCCCCAAGAGCAAGAAGGGGGATCTGCTGAACGCGCACTATGACGGTTTCCTGGCCAGCAACGGATCCAAGTTTTACTGCAGGTGGGCTTCCAGGGCACTGGGTAGGGTGGAAGGGAAGGTGGGCCCCAGGCCGGGTGGTGTACGTGGCAAAGCTGTCTCATCCCCAGGAGCCCTGGGTCCCGCTTACCCAGCCAGAAGGGTTACCTCGGCTGGGTAAGCGGGACCCATTGTACCCCCATTTTGGGCATAGATTGGGGTCCATACTAATGATGTCGTTTCTCCCCATCTCAGCCTTTTTTGGTTCCGCGGAGAGAATGCAGGATTTACCTAGGGTCAAGAGGGACCAGCACCTAGATGAGCTGTAAACCAAAGCCACCCCTTGACACTGACAGCCAGTTTGGAGGGTTGCTGATAGCACGTCACATGGAGAACCCCTTTAGCAGAGTGAAAAAACGCCCACTGTATAATCACTTGCCATGTTCTGAGCTGTAATCTGTACAGAAAAACTCGGGTTTGGAGGAGGAGCTCTGGTAGGGATGCAGGCTATTTTAGACAACTTCCACATAGTTCGCATTGTGCAGGGCACCCTGTAGTTACACTAGTGGCTTGCAGTATTTATGCCCCTGGCCTATCTCTGCTTTCTTCCTTGATTCTGCTGCCATCCTCGTTGTCCCAGTGTTAGCATTTAGGTTTTTACTTTTTCACTCTGTGCCATCCATTTTCAGGCTGTTTCAGCTTCTTCAGGCTGTTTTAGCTTGGTTTAGCTTGCCTTACACAGAAACCATTGTGCGGAAGCTTTATTTTTGCAGTGCCTTGCTTTTAATGGTGGGTGGTCCATCCTACTGAGCTGGGACTCACCTGGGCAAGACCTATGGAGGAAGATCTTTTCCTTCCTTCAGGTACCTGGCTCAGTCCTTACCCATACTGGACTGATCAGACAAAAGCATAGTTTAAAACAAAAGCTTAGTTTAAAATCTTTATTAATTCCCTCCACTTGTATCATTTAAGAAAAAAAAATTAGTATAGGATAATTCTACATTTAACTTTTTACTATAATTTTTACTTGCATTTTTTGGTGGTTTACTTGTTTGGGTTTTTTTGCCTCTGGAAGCAACTGCTTTTGGCACATAGAGTGGTTTTTTTACTGTATTTCTAAAAGAGATTGCCTCTTATACATCTCAAGATTTGACCTTAATTATAAATGTAGACAAAGTGTTATATATTCTTGCGCTGTAAGCATTCTTGTGTTCTAATAATTTAATGTATGCTTTTACTGACTACTAATATATTTATATATATATATTATATAAAAAAAAAACACCTAAACTCAGTGTTACCCATTCACAACTCTTTTAATAGCCGGACGCAAAATGAAGGTCATCCAAAGTGGTTCGTTCTGGGTGTTGGACAAGTCATAAAAGGGTTAGACATTGCTATGATGAATATGTGTCCTGGAGAAAAACGGAAAGTGATCATTCCTCCATCACTTGCATATGGACAGCAAGGATATGGTAAAAAAGTTTTAATACTAAACTTTGTCTTTCCTCTGTTACACCCTTTCTAACACATTATTGTAAATGACTCTTCAGAATTGCTGTTCCTGTTATTTGTGGAGGCACTGAAGGTGATGACTGCAGCTGTGCATCTTAATCCTGTTCATTCCTATGCAGTTTAAGTAGTCCTCATAGGCCCGCACCCAGGCTTTGCAGTTTGCAGTAGAATTCAGGACATGGGACCTCATGTATTTTTCCAAGTCTTTCCATAATACGAAAAATTGACAGCAAGAGGAAAATCTTCATTATTCATATCAGCATTTTTTGTCTTGATCTGTTATATTTTACTCATGTTTCTGTTATTTGACTCTTACTCAGCCTTTCAGTGACATTCTGCATCTTCTGAGCAAAATGGAATGTAGTCCAGTGCATGCCACAGAATTATCCAAGTATAAATAGGTTGTTTAAAATACTGCTTACATTCTGAATGGTTAGCAGACAATATCACGTTACGTAATTGCAATAGTACAATGCATTAAATCTGACTTGAATTCAAGATGCTTAAGTGTGCAGTCTAGTTAAAAAAAAAAGTTAGAGTTTTTATGCAGTGTTTCAGCACTTAACTGTAGATAACTTAAATTCAGCTCTGACTAGAGTGTAGTAGTTTCTGTGAAAAGGTAGCTCCTGCACGATAACAATGGCTTGGTAGTGATACTGTGTCAGAATTCCATGCACCAATTTTGTCTTTCATACAATTCCATTGTAGCCATTGAAGTTCACTAGGAATAAATTTTCCCCCTTGAGCATAATGTCTCATAAGTCTCATAACAACAAGGAAAAACACTGATACAAATCTTTAACACTAGTGTTGTTTGTTCTAGGTAGCATTTCAAGAAAGTGTTATTTCTCCTCAGCATACCTGTCCTCTGCGTATGTCTCAGCGTATTCCTGCATGCTGGGGAAGATGCCTGCCTAATCTTGATTAAAAAAGATGCATGTGGCTTTCTAAATCTTTACGTATCTTTCCTTTGTTGGTATGTATGTTTGTAAACTACTGGTACTGAATTCTAGTATTTTATCTTTCTTCTGTAAATAGTGTATAAAACATGATTTATATTCAGATATTTAAAGCTTCCACATTTCTAAAGTTTGTAAGAGGAAAATTTTCTGAACTCTAAACCTTGTCATTTTTACTATGGATATTTTAGATGAATAGTGTGAATAATAGTTTTGTTTACCTTCTGTTTACAAACAAAGTAGATTCTCTAATTTTTCTTTAAGGATGAGCACAAGCTCAAAATTCTGTCAAAATTTTGCGGTTACAATGTCATGCTCAGTGACTTTGGCTATGAATAGAAGCAACTTGCATGTTTACATTTTAATTTTATGCTGCATGATTTCTTGATGCTTTTTTGGCACTATTTTACATCTCATTAGTTTGTTACTGACTCTCTTCAGTTCCTTTTTTCTTTGCCAGATGCATGATATACTGACCTATAAGGCAGTGGTGTTTTTACATCAGATACCAGAAAATGCTTTGACACAGGAATAATTAAGTCTAATGTATTTTTTATTTCAGAGACCAGACAAAATATTCTAGTAGTTTGTGATTGTTTTTCTTTGGGGGGGGCTAGGATTTGTTTGTTTGTTTGAGGGTTTTTGTGTGTGTGTGAATAACTTACATTCTGTTGCTTCTTTCTAATGATATGTATATTTTAAACATTATTTTACATCAAGACCTTTAACATAGGTATAATTCATAGTAAGTTGGTAAAACTTGATTTTTCCTGCTTGTTTCTTCACATGGAAAATACATATGAGCATTGCTCTTTTCATATAATCTTTAAAATCAGATTGCAGATACTGAATAAAGGCATATGCCTTAGAACCACTCTCTCAATAAAATCCATCATCTGATAGTATGTGAAAGAGTGAGAACTTCAGAAAAACTTGTTTTTCATGATAACACAAACCTTCTTAATTTTTAAAAGTACCTGAATTGATATGAGCAATGTAATTTCATTTCAGGAAATTTCACTATTTGCAAATCTCTCTCAAAATCATTTATCTAACAGAATGTGAACAGTCTTGCTGTCTAGCTGTATATATTTAAATTCAGAGTTTAAGGTTAATATTAACACTGCCTTTTGTAACAAAACCCCAAGACTCTTTATGTGTGAATTCATCATGTGTGTGATCTCTGACCCTAGTGTCTTATTTCTTAAATGCTTTTTTTATTCATAGCACAGGTCAAGATTCCACCCAATGCAACACTGATCTTTGAGATTGAACTTTATGCAGTAAATAAGGGACCTCGCAGTGTTGAAGCATTCAATCAAATCGACAAGGACGGTGACAAGAAACTCTCTGAACTTGAGGTAATATGATGTAACATGAAATAAATAATGTATAAAACTATAGGTATAGCTGCATAGCATTATCTTTACATGAGGTGCCTCTGCTGCAGTTGATCGTGTAATGCTTCTGTGAGCTTACATAAACTACACCATGCAATTCTGAAATTTGCTTTAATTCCTTAGTATGTCTTGGACTTGCTGGGAAACAAACTTAAGGTGTGTCTGCCCTGGAGTCACAATAACTTATATATATATACCCCAGCTGTCCTTGAAGATAGCTTTTGAGTACTGTCATAAAAGCCACAACGGTTGGACTTTTTTCTTCTAGATAAGCCAGTATTTGAAAGAAGAATTTGCAAGAGACGGCAAAAAACGTCATCCGTCAGTCCATGATGAAATCTTAGCTGATATATTTAAGAAGAATGACCACGATGGAGATGGTTTCATATCAGCAAAGGAGTACAATGTCTATCAGCATGATGAACTCTGAGTACTTAGAAAAATCTGTGGCCATTTTCTGGACACTGAATTTTAAATAGTAATAATTTTGTCACAGAAATTTTTGTATTTTTTTTTATGGTGACATCTTTTTATACCTCTTAAAATGACTGTAAAAATCTTATTTTTAGCATTCAACTAATACAATGTTAGATATCTCAAAAGAAAGAAATAAAATTGAAAAACACTATGATCTGTTATTTGTGGTTCCTGCGTTATCTACAGTATTACTCAGTTGGTTTTCTCATTGTGTAAAATACTGATGAAAATAATAATTTCTGTCCTATCAAGCACACAAAAATGGTTTCAGTACCTGTTGACATCAGTTATGTTCTAACTAGTTCTCTATCTCCTATAAAATAAAAGGGGAAAATAAAATCCAAGGGACATATCTGTTAAACTTCTTCAGGCTCCTAGGCCAGCTTCTTGGGGAATTGCTGTTTACAGCAAATTTAACTGTAAAAGGCGTTAAGGGTGTCCTGGGTTCAGCAATAGCAGTCATTTTTCTCCTTGATAGCTGGTACAGTGCTGTGTTTTGACTTTTGGCCTGGGAACAGAGCTGATAACGAAGTTTTGCTGAACCCAGGACAAGGGAAATGAACAGTCTACTGAATGTCAACATAGAAACACAACTGTTTTTAAAGAAACTTAAAATAACCTCTTTGTTGTAATATTAACAAGAATAATGGGGTTCATGAACAGCTAGTATCTTAAGTGGGTTTTTAACTTTGACTTTGTAAAATTACAAAGTTAGCTAGTTTATTCAGCAGCACCACCTTAAAAATCTACACCATCATGATTTACTTGGATGAGATGTGACATGGTTTAACCCCAGCAGGCATCTAAGTACCATTCACTTCCCCCAATTCCAGGGGGATGGGGAGGAGATTTTGGGGGGGAGAGGGGGGGAAGAAGCTAAAAGCCCAGGGGTTGAGATAAGAACAGTTTAATAATTGAAATAAAATTAAAAATACACAATAATAGGAAATGGAGACGGAATAAACCCCAAGTACCCTCCAAAAAAGCAAGTCCTGCACAATGCAGTTGCTCACCACCCGCTGACAGATACCCAGCCTGACCCAAGCAGCAATCTGTCCCTCCCAGGTAACCCTCCTTGGTTTATGCTCAGTATATAATGTCCTATGGTATGGAATATCCCTTTGACCAGTTCAGGTATCCTCGTCAGGTATCCTCCCAGCTTTTTCTGCCCCTCCTCACTGGCAGAGCATGGGAAAGTCCTTGACTTAGTATAAGCGCTACTCAGCGACAGCTAAAACACTGATATGTTATAAACATTGTTCTCGGACTAAAGCCAAAATGCAGCACTGCACTGCTATTAGTGCCCAAACAACATATTATGTATAGGCCAGTGTGACTGCTTCATAGTTCAGAAATAATAATAAATGTGAATTATGAAGTGGTGACAAAGAAAAAAATGTTTTTGCCAGCTCTGTTTTGAGATTGAAAGCCATATTTATATTCCTTTTTGTTTTAAATATTTGTATGTGGTTTATTCCACAAGCTGGAAGATGATGGGAGATACTATATAGAAACATAAGTAATTATTTGGGCATCATCCTGCTTACCTTCACTTAGGAAAAATGTAAAGAAGTAGCAATAGTTAATAGACAGTACTTCAGGTTCATTAACTGTTCTCTTTATGCGGATGTCATCATAATACTTGTCTAACATCACTCTTTTCACATGAAAAGCAGTGGCTGCATTCCTTTCAACATGTAATAAACAGATGCACACAGTGGAAGTGGCAGCACAAGTACAAAAGCTTCCATACCTGGGTTATCCTTAAAGTCAGGCTAAAAGGTAGAAATGCTTTTCTGAAATTGTTTTCCCAGTTTAAAATAGCACAGGGAGAGCGTCAACCAGCGCCACTCCCAGCCACAGCACTGGACACAGCTCTGTAGTGCCCTCTGGTGTTTACATTCTCAACAGACAATTTTCTGTGGTTGAGATCTATCGGTTAAGACCTTAACCCCGAAGCTTTGCTGGAAGGATGTAGTTCTGTTATTTTTGTAAACTTCCAAAATACATTGTGAACACGTAAGAAAGTCAAGAGCAGCTGTGACCCAAAATCCAATCTAATGCAGACAGTGGACTACCGGGTATTTTTTAGTAATCTAAACTGTTGGCATATGGTAATGGTATCCTAATGTGAAACTCCTACCCTAGTTTTAGTTGTTCCCTTTTGTAAATGAAACACTAGACTGAGCTAAGTTTTAGCATGGTTTTAATCTGATACTTCAGTTAAGCATTCATGAGGACACTAAATTATTAACAAATACTTTCATCATATGCCAGGGTAGACAAAGGCAAGATTTTGGAGTGTAACAACAAGCTTGTGTAAACAACTTAAAGTAAGTTCTAGCATATATTTTGACATTATGAAAATACAATTTAAAAGTACATTTTTCATTATCATGATAATGAAAGGAGAAGGTTCTAAAAAGAAAAACAATGTCAGGGAATGCATTAGGGCATTTTCAAATAAAAGATCATGTATTGGAAAGCAAAAATTTCAAGATAATAGTGTAATAAAAAGTTTTGCACTTTCACTATTTTGCATTTCAACAATTTGAGTCATATTTACTAATTCTGAAAAGTGTGTGGCACAGTTATGCCCATGTCTGTAACAAAAGGCACTTACCTAGTTCGGCTACTTTACTCTCTTATGCCAGAGGTCAAAACAGGGCACAGCATGCAGTCGTACATACTTTTGTCCATTAAAAGAACACTCAAGGCACCCGTAGACTGTCTCCCTTTTAGAACTTCCCATTCCACAAAGGACACAGGGACCTTTTGGGATGTTGTTATTAAGTAAATTAATTCGGATGTGAGACCCTTCTCTGAGATAGCTTGTAGAGAGATCAGTCATGCTTGCAGCTTTTTCATAATAATCTGTAAAAAGGTCCTCCAAGTAAGCATCAGAATTAGCAATGGTAGCCATTACTCTTTTATCTGAAAAAGAACACACATACACACACAAAAAGCAGTGATTTGTTGTTACATTTTGGACCATTTACAAAACAACCTGTCAATCTAGTTATGAAAATAACACCTGATTCATGAAACTATTCTAAACAGGCCATGTTGTAGATTACTTCCCATCAGAAGCCCTGGGTGATGATTTTTTTTTTTAATTTTTACTTCACAAAAGACACTGAGAAAAGCCATAAATTTTTGTGTGCCCTACATATTTTTAGAAACACACCTAAAAGGTAGGCATGAGGCGAGCTTTTGAAGAATTTGGTGCCAAATCAAATCACAGCTGCGTACTTCCCTGTTCAACCGTTTTTATTTTTGCATTTCTAGTTTTATTTTGTAAAACCTGTAAATTCCTTTCTCTTCCCCCTAGTACTTATAAAAAACACCAAAACAAAACAACAAAACACACACACAAAAAAAACCCTACCAATATTTTAACAGGTTTAGAAAATTTGAAGGACTCCAAGTTGACCTCCTAGCAGATTTCTGAGCATCCAAACACTCCAGGAAGAAATTATGTTTGGAACTGCTTACCTTTTTCCTCTCTCTTCAGGCACTCATTAGTTTATATTGAATGACAAACTTTTAGACAGCTACAGCTACTGAGATATATCACACTCACTGAAGATTTATCCCCTTAGCATGAACTGGAGCAGTACTGGAGGCTTGGTCCATAAAAGCCCTTTGATCAAAACCAGGATACAATGGAGCAAGGACACCTATACAGACCAGGCTTTAGAAGGATGCGTTTACTACTCAACATTTATCTTCACACTCAGATTTGCAGATTTTCAAAATATTCAGGCTACAGACTGTGAAAAGCCTATGATCTTGATCTGAAGAAAATATATGTATCTACGGTTTTGTTGTATGTTGTGCTCATACCAGAATGAGAAATAGCAACTATGATGGTATCTTGCCTATGTCCTTGTCATGTGAACATACAGCCTAAAGAGTGTGTTCAAAAATTTAAATTAATATAGTTTGTTTTTTAAACTTTTAAAGATTTTTAAAGTTTGCCCTTAAATATTATTTATAGATTATAACTCATATTGCATAACACTAGCTGTAAATGGCAAGCATATGAAATAGGCTTAATGTTAACTGTAGTTATTTGTATAATTACTCCACACCAGTTTACTATCAGCCATAAATTTTTAGGATCTTTAGGGTTTTAATGAAGGGCAATACCATAAATTTGTTATTTGTGAGTCAGATTCTCAAAAACAAATTTTAATAACTTCGCAATTATTTCAATACCCGAGAAATTGAGGTACATTTTCCATCAAAGTTTTCTTCTTTAAACATTCATCTTGCACACAGAGAAACAAAAATCCACTCTTCAAGCATTAACTAAGACATTTGGGTATAAATATCAAAAGTCATACTTCGATGAAACAGATTACTCTTTAACGTCCTTAATTTGGTCAGTGAAGATGATCCAGATTTCTCTTTTTCAAATCCTCCTTTTGAAACTGGAGTCACACAGAGTTCTGTAAAAATTAAAATTAAGTTTTTATAAAAACAAAATACAAAAGCAGTAATTGCACGGTAGTTTAATATGCTTTCTAATGTAAACAGCTAACAGCGATTAAATTCAGCTTTGTTACTGTTTTTAATGGCTAGTACCACTTTTTAATACGAGTCTACACACAGTAATAGCCCATAAAATCGTGACAGGGATTCAATGGGAATGATAAAATAATAGTGGCTTTCACCTCAGAGTTTGGTTGGTTTATACACAATTAAGGCCATGTTAAGGTACTAACTGGAATCCCTGCTTCTGGAGGAGAAACATTTCTATGATTTCATTTGAAACTAATAAAGAAAAATAAGAATCAACGCTGTGAGCTCTTTAGTGAGCTCTTTAGTGATCTCTTCTAACACCGAATCAACTATTAACACTTTATTTTTTTTAAATAAAAACAAGTATCACCTACATTTCTATCCATAACTTGAAAGAAAACATTTGAAGTAAAATATAATGATAATCAATTACAAGTAACTGAAAAAAAAAAACATGTTTTAAACATTATCAATTGAGAATTCTCTTCAATTTGCAAATAAAAATATCAATTTCATTGACTATTTCACTAATAATGATTTTAGGGAAAAAACCCACTGTGCATGTACCTACCATTGCATAAAGGTAAAATTAAAACACTTCCAAACCTTAAATTAATGTTAAGC